CTGCTCCAAAAGACCAAGAAAATCAGGCATTCTGACTCTGATGGGGTTGCCTCTTCATAGATCTGTCCTGTAACTTGGTCTGGTTTGGGGTCCATGAAGATAGAAAGTTTTAATACCATACTTATTAAATATTCCAGATAAAGGAAAGAAGGAGAAAAGCATTTGATGGACACCTCATGTTACGCAATGCAAAAAGTAAACATCGAGAAGTTGTTGGATTGCAGATAACTAACTCAGACAGTGCTAGTAACAGTGTAAAAATACGATATAGTCTTGAATCGTTGTTCCAGGCTAAAGAATGTCTGGAGTGACAAATTTCTAACCTAAGGAAAAGTGGAGCATAACGTCCCTTGTATTGATAGGGCGATATGAGAGAGAGCAGGCTGCGCGCTCTGCTGAAGAATCACTAAAGACAGCTTACATTTAACCGCACAGAGGCCGCAGGGGCTTATGTGACCCTCCATCAGAGACTCTGCCTGCTTTGGGCTGGTGAGCATGTATTTTGTTGTGATGCTAAGGTTAAATCTGCCTGCATAACACTATAAAAGGTATACATTACATTCAGATTGCATTAGACCCATTACACTACATTAGTTGACAAGTCGTGAAAGTAATATCTATATTGTAATTGTCAATCAATAAAGTGTAAATTTAGATGTTACTTAAACTTTTATCTGGCCCACTATTGCAATTGCTTTTATAGCAGTTCTACTATTACTACTATTATAACTACAACTATTGCTGCTGCTACTATTGCTACTACTGCTATTACTACTACTCCTATTCCTACTGCTGCTACTACTCCTACTCCTACCGCCACCACACCACTACTACTACTACTACTACTACTACTACTACTACTACTACTACTACTACTACTACTACTGTTAAAAATGTCTTAGTTGAACATTAAAATGGATAAAAATGTGTTAGAGAAGTAGTAGTAAAATATTATCAAGGTGTTCACCTCATAATTGTTATTGCAGTATTGTGATGTGAGGCAAGCATTGTAGAAATGATAAAGCAGCCCTGGATAGCTTTTAGCACTGTCCATGGGTTTCAGAGTGATTAAAAATTAGCACTGTTACCATAGCAATTAACAATTCAAAACATCTATAAACAAGAAGATGAAAACCATGAAATATTACCTGTCGTATTCTAAAAGTTTATGATTATAAAATGTTTTGTAGCCAGAATTTCCTCATGTTGACTGCACTAAAACATAACACTGAATAATATACTTCCCTTCTTTATGCTAAAACTGCAAGAAGACAAGGGCATGTATCTATATTTTCTAGGGCACCATTTTGTCACAAACCATCAAGCATTTAATCATTACTTTTGGAAGTAACTAACAATGTCTGCTGCTTCTGAAAGGATATACTTGTCTGTGATTGGTTAAATCCTCCTGTCACTCACTCATTGCGGAGGTTGACCAATAGGAGGAGAGGGTGGGGAAAAAGGTTTGTGCTTGAGCAAAGAGTTACATTCAGTGGAGAATTATTGAATCTGCTATATGACCAAAATAGCATTCAGTTTTCACAGCCCTACATGGCGGTCCATTTTATTTTAAGACTGAAATTACATCAGAACTGTTCACAACATTGCATAGCTAAATTCTATATATCGGTTTATACTACCATATTATCATCAGAAACATATAGGAACTGTAATGAAGTTATTGTACTGCTCAGTGGGGCCTCTGCACTGTGAATTTGCCCTGTATTGATATGTGAAGGGTGATTAATGTTACCGCCCACTTCATCTCGAGCCAATGAATCACTGTTACACTCCAATCTTGATAAGAGCCACAGAGAGAGAATCAATAAAAGCAAAGCAGAAAAGTATGTCTTGGGAGTCTGGCCATACTGATGAAAATGGACACGTTTTCTTGCATCCATCACAACTGTAACTAATCAAGCAGCTCTTTGAGTCAGCAATCAGCCCGTGCCACACTGCAAAGGCTTTAGACAGTTGATTTGGTAATTGAAGTCTGCACATTTGGTTCTTGTGTCAATTTTTTTCTCTTTCTCACTTGATTAGGATTTTGAAGGCTGATCGAAGTATTGTTGTATTCTTGGTGTTAAAGATGCATTCTGTAACCTTTCTGATGGAGGGTACAGTGTGCCACCTGCTTGACTCCATGGAGATGTTGTTGCTTGGATGTTCCACAGTATGATATTAAACTTCTATCTCTATGGAGACAAGTACATGATGGCACCACGTCAAGTTAAACACTAAAGTGAGATGACCCAGTTCATCATAAAATGCATGTTTTTCAAGCTGTTTCTTAGCAATAACAAGTAAATAAATAAAAGATAGGCAAGTTTCATGTCATGTCATTGTGGAACATTTCAGGCAAAGGACAAACATCTCTATAGAGACAAGCAGGTTGTGGACCCCACAGCAGAAAAACTACACAGTGTATCTTTAAAAAGCCTTCTACATATGTCCATTCTATACTGTAATACTGCATAGTCTATTGGAAAAGTATTAATGTTGAAAATGTACACGGCAACGTACTTAGAATTCATAGTTAAAAATTTATGTATTTTATGTCCTTGCTGCGAGCTGACATAAAGTTGCAAGTTTAGTTTTACCTAAAATATTCCAAAATGTTCAAATTTGATGAAAGATTTATCTTCATTTGAAAATAAAATGAGGGCTCTAACCTCTAGATTCTTTAATATTCCATGACCAAGGTACTTGAGTCTTACAATGAGTATTTTGTGTATGTTAATTTGAGAGTAAACCTTATGAATTGAATTCCCAGTCCACATATGATAGTGTATGATGAGAGCTGACTGGAGCGTCTCTGCAGAGCAGTTTGATCTGCATATTGTGGGTAATATAACATGGCTGCACCTGTGGATGTAGTTTGAACATTATGGCATGTTAAACAGAAGCTTGGGCGCTTCTCATTTGTCTTTAATCTCGCATGTAGCGACTGCAACGAGCTGAGACTGAAGCAGGAGCTGCACTATTGATTCCACTGTTGCTCATGTGTTCTGTTTTAAGAGGATGCTGCTTTATGGGCAGACATAAAAAAAAAAACAATTTAGAGGATTACAAATGTTGCATATGGTTTAGTGTTCTTCTGTGGGACTGCCTGACTTACTGCCTGATTGATGATGAGTTAGAATCAGTTTTTTTTTTCCTTCTTCTTCTGGTGTTGCTTCAGTCTTCATGTTATTGCTATAGTGGGTTGTAGACAGTGTTCAGAAATAGCTAAATGCACATGCCTATAACTAGAATGCTAATTTTGTAGTACAGACCCTCCAGAATACAGTTGCTTTCCAAAGAAATACATTGTAGTACTTTATCATGTAATTTAGACCAAACTGCAGAGTACAAAAAAACAAACAAACAAAAAAAAACAGTGATCTTTTGTCACATATTTTACACTACAATATAATGCAACAAAATACATTCAATGCATGTATCCAGTATTCTGTAATTAAACCCATTTTATAGACCGTAATTCCCATCAGTGGCAGTAGAACAGTGTGTTCTTGGATGCCTAGTTTCTTCTCATTATTGTTTCGTGAACACACAAGGGCAGTGCAGTGATTGTTTGTTAGCCTGTATGTGTCCCGGGTCTGAGCTCGGCGTTTCCCCTGACCCCATTAGGGCCCTTTTGGTTGTATGATGGCTGGTTCCTCTGGTGCTGGGATGTGGTGATGGACACACAGATGGTGCAGGGACTGCCTCACAGGCACATGACAAGTGTGGGATTTTTCCACAGCACTCCTACACTCGAGTCTGTCACTGTGTGTGTGGACTTTGTGAGCTCTCTTCAGCAGCAGGCCTCTATGCTGCAGAGATGTAATTTGTGACAGGGCTAACAGCTCAACATTAGCATGAGCCAGTTATGTCCGTTCATTTTCTGGACATTTTAGATGAACTCTGAGCTGTACTAAGGCAAATGGAAGACTGCTTGAGTTTCATAAAATTTTACTTTTCATACAGTCTTCTCTCTCAGATCATCTCCTGGTGTGCATATATTAGCGTCCAAAAAAAAAAAAATCCATACCCAGACTCTAACAGGTACTAAAACTAGTACTGAAAATAGATACTAATTTGAACTTTGAGAATGGGCTTGAGCATAAGACCACATGGTTGTACTATCTATAATTTTATATTGAAAACTACATTCATTTACTTAAAAGAAATGGTGTTTTTTGTTATCATTGTGGAATCAACTTTTGTTATTGAGCCTCATCATTAGATTGAATGTTTTGTATTCTGATTAGTATGTATTCAGCATAGAACATCAGAAATCCTTTGTTTTTCAACCATCTCACTCAATCTGTCGAGAGAAGCACCATTTGACTTACACATAGCTTTCATAAGACACAAATGTACTTCTGTGCCCATAAGCATCACAAAACCAAATAGGACTGGCTTTGAGGCGACCACTGTCACTTTTTCCATTAGTAAAATTTATGACGGTCCATAAACAGCTGACCTACATAGAGGTGTATTGTATTGTACAAGAGGACTCCTTCTGCTTTGATTTAAATATTCTCTTAATCTCTGCTTTGGTTTGCTGTTTAAGATTGCGTTTTGTGGAGGTTGTTTTAACATCTGGTAGTTTTACATGAGTCCAGCATAAGTAGGGCTTTTATTGTGTAAATACTTTCTTATCCCAAAAGAGCTTCTTTGCCTAGCTTGTAGTAGGAGGTTTATTTTCTGTCATCATTATATTTCTGTAACTGCAGTAAAGCACAAATTATTTTCTGCATCTTTGCCCCTGAGAACACTAAAAGTTGAAGTATTTATCTTTAGCCTTGTGCTCAGAGTTTCTTTAGACTTTATAGAGCTCTGATGTTAAATCCATAATTCACTCCCAGGATTTGATATCTCACACTGGGAATCCTCAAGTAACCTGTCATCTGAAGAAAGGTCTCTGTGGTCAAAACACACACACAAAAAATCAACTGTTCATTTTTTGTTTTATAACTTTTCTAACTTTGGCTTTTGTTTTTGATCTCTTTCAGATTACTAAGCAACAGCTCCAGCAGACCAAGGACCGCTTCCAGGCCTTTCTCAATGGAGACACACAAATAGTGGCAGATGAAGCATTCATCAATGCAGTGCAGAGTTATTCAGAGGTAAGTTTAACCACTACTACAATGGGCTGGACTAATTTTAAACTTTTATTTGTACTACTTGACTGCTGCATCTCTCGCTGGCATGCATAGATGACTTGGACATAATGAATAGCTTACTACCACTTCAGTATTAGCATGAGCATGAGCATGAGCAAAGTGACAATATTGCAATTATTTCACCCTTTTTTTTCAATGAATGGATGCTGAATGCTGTGGGTGACGTCACACTCGTCCACTTTTTTTTTATACATGGTTTCTGAACATAGAAAAGACAATGCTACTACAGTAACTTAATACTTTTGATTAAAAAGCTTCAAGCACTGATGATTAGAAATGACTGAATATTGATCTCAATTAAAATTGGATTAATTGCACAACCCAGTGTAGACTGCCATCATACACGATATTTATGTTTCTGCTAAAAACTAAATGCAATATATTCAAGTTGACTGTCAGGTTAGTTTTCCTTTCCCTGTCGATGGAAGGACAGAGTAGTGAAGCACTATTCGCAGCACAGTTTATGAGTCAGAGCATGTGGCTGACACAACCATCGGTCTGTAACCTCACTTTCTTGATCCTAGATGAAATGTCCCTATTACTAATACATTACCACCATATTCTACAAACCACTGAGCTGATATCCTGATGTGCTCAGGCTAAATCCACCAGAAATCCATTATTTTGCCAAAATGAAGTGTCAGGGGAAAGCCATCTGTAAATTACTTCCAGGGAATTAATTGCAGAATAACCTTCCTTCCATGCAGCCACTAATCTGACTTATGAGTTTAATATACAGTGATTTTAAATGTGGATTTGATATTGTAGATTTGGTTTATTGATAAAATTTTAATGTAATACCATAATAATACTTCCTCTAACTACACGTGAATGTTTCTCCATTGACCAATCACAATAGAAACTTTTGAAGAGCCATATATTGCTACAGAAAATTAGCAGGGGAACCCCCAGTATGTACTAGAGCCCGACCGATATATCGGTTGGCCGATATTATCGGCTGATATGGGCACCTGGAGGCATATCGGCTATCTGCCGATATGCTTGCTGATAGGGGCCGATATTTCACGTGGGCATGTGATACATCGTTAAAAATCTTAGACGCTCTACATTCTGTTCATTTAATCCAATTTACAGACGGATAAATGTCCTAATATGTGGCTCCACATCAGTATTTATCTACGGAGTCATTTGTCTGTGTGTGTCCATACTGTCCCTGAACACACCACAGAGTCGCGTCACTCACGTGTGTTTGTTTACACCTGCAGACACAGATCCAAACACTGAGATTATATTCTTTTTACGGACAATCGGTTTGAGTCTGGATTAAAAGGACATTTATTAGTGCATACTTGTGATGTGAGGAGGAGCCTGTATGAGCGGTTAGTGTTGGAAATATGTCGACTCTGAAGCTAGTTTTGGTCATTTGTTATGGGTTAGCTGCTGTAGCTCTCGCACATAAACAGGCTGTTTTCTATTGGCATATTGTAAAGTGACTGTATTGGCCGTATATTTGTTACTGGACCTGCACTGATATGTAAATGAGCTGTGAATAGACGTGTGAATTATGACATTTGCGCATATAATTAATTACCGCGGCGCGCACGTATTTACGGCTAAAGGCTAATAGCGATTGTTTCTTTACTAGTTATGGGTCGGTCGCGAACGAAATGACTCTTAGAGCCGACTCTTTGAAGCGAACGACGGGAGCCTGATCCTTACTGGGAGTCGTGTTTTCTCTTTCTCTCACTTTTTTTCTCTTCACGCCGTGTGCAGACTCGTGGTAGTTTGACAGCAGCAGCGGCTGAAAACGAAACTTTGAGAAATTTGCGTGTGCATAGGATAAAAAAAAGGAGCATATTTGGCTGTAGTTTAACATAAAATAAATAAGTCCCGGTTTAGTCCTTTTTCAGTCCTGGTTTAGACCTGGTTCAGTCCTGATTCAGTCCTGCTTTAGACGTGCTTTAGACCTGCTTGCAACAAAACAATCTGAAGAGCCGCTTGGGAGCCAAAAGAACCAGCAGCTTTTAGTGAGCCGAGCCAAAAGAGCCGGTTCTCTAAAAAGAACTGGAATACCCATCACGAGTGTCTAGAATGTGATGCAAAAATGCCATTAAACCAACCTACTGTCTGTAAATATGATGTAAAGAGGCAGAATAACAATAAATGTTGCCTAAATAAACCCAATTTAAAATCCACCAGAGCCAAACCTAACTTTTTTAAACAATTCAACATTTACAGTGAATTTTTACATCACTAAATATATCGGCGATTATATCGACTATCGGCAGCTCCAACTCTCATTATATCGGTTTCATATCGGCCACAGCAAAATCCATATCGGTCGGGCTCTAGTATGTACAATGTACAATATAATTTAAAACATTATCTGGATTTTTTTTTTTTTACAATGAGTCATTGGCAAAAGAGTAAGTGTAAGAAAAGGGTAAACCTTTTATGACAAAAAAAAAGAGAACTGTAATAATATAAAAGCTGTATGAAACACTTTTGTTCTTAGTTTGTCTATGTTTCCTAGCATAGTCATAGCAGTTGCCTATCTGACCCCCTCCAGCTCACATGCGATTGTATGGGCTGTTTCTGTTACATATGAGTGCATTAGCCTGACTCACTATTGCTCTTGTAATTATCCACAGGTATTCCTAAAGAGTGACCGCGTGGCTAAGATGGTGCAAAGCGGGGGCTTCTCGGCGGGCGACTTCAGAGAAGTGTTCAAGAGACACATTGAGAAGCGTGTGCGCAGTCTGCCCGAGATAGACGGGCTGAGCAAAGAGACGGTGCTCAGCTCGTGGATGGCCAAGTTTGACACCATCTACCGCGGAGACGAGGACCCCCGCAAAGCCCAGCAGCGCATGACCGCCAGCGCAGCCTCAGAGCTCATACTCAGCAAGGACCAACTGTATGAGATGTTCCAGAATATTCTCGGCATCAAGAAGTTTGAACACCAGCTGCTGTACCAGGCCTGTCAGGTAAGAGACAAGAGGTAGAGGATTTCATACATCCGCTCAACAGAGCATAGATAATGCAAGATCACAGTACAGACACAAGCTATTCAGGGCAGAGCTGATATTAGCTATATATTTCCTCTGGGATCAATAAAGTAGCTATTTATCTATCTATCTACCTAAATGTACCAAACATACACATGTAGAATATACATTTTGGAAGTATTCAGAATACCTTAACTTCCCAAAAGGAATTCACTGAGGTACTTGATCATGCACTTTCTGGTTCATAATGTACAGTACAGGAAAAAGAGTAAACAACATACATGACTTATTTTTCCTAATGTTAAATAAAGATAGCAGAGAGTAAGATAAAACAGTAAAATAAAACCTTTTTTCCAACCTTGAAACTGCCAGTGCTATGTATTGCAGTTTGAAGCATATTTGAGCTGGTGTATCTAATAAAGTGTAGTCTGTATTTTTATTCTCGTCTTCTTCTCTGTGTAGTACCCAGCATGGGCAGGTTGATTTAAACTTTACAGGGCTACACAGTCAGTGCAGTGATTTCCTTTAAGATAAAACTTGTTTTATGTTTCCAGGCCATCAATACTTGATTAGATAGTGGCCTGTGTTGAGATTGCGGGGAGACATTTAAGTGCACATGTGGAACAGTGCTATCCTTGCCTTATTGTCTTTACTGCAGCGGTTATAGCAGCAGTAATGACTTCTCTCTTCAGGAGCTGGATTAAAAGTTTAATCACAGCAGGGTAGGACGGGAGCTTTTCTCCAAATTTGCATGGACTAGTCATTTCAAGTATGACGACAATGGCACTATTTTGCCTTTTTATAGCTTCACAGGCCTGCAATTCAATCAAGCACTCCGGTTGTAATGTTAAAATGTAAATACTCCATCTGCTTCTAAATGTAGAAGCTTCTTAGGGCTAGTCTGCACAAACAAAACTTTTGTGTTGAACTCAGTGGGTGGTGTGAGGCCTACATTTCACTATATATAAAAAAATACATATTTCTCATTGGGCTGTTGTTGGATGTTTAGTTTTATTTCTTATAGCAGGAGATTTACTTTGAGGTCAGAAATAATCCAGAGAAAATGCTACTAGTATCTTCCTTTCACACTTCCCACACTAAACATGGAGACACGACTAAAGAATGGCCCAGGCTAAACAAACAGTTGTAAAACATATGTGCTTTTGTAGCCGGCTGCCTCTGATCATGTTGTTAGAAGTCGATTTATACATTGACTGGAGCAGCCTCCATGTTGTGAATGTACAAGGCTCAGTGAGAGCAGCAGAGCACAGCAGCACAGCTCGCGGCAGCCGGGATTTTGATGAAAGCTTTCCAGGGATTGGCTGAGAATCAGAGCTCATGTTTTTGAGCATGGATTTACATTTATGCAGTAAATGGCAAAAGGGAAGAGAAGAGCAAGCGCCCCTCATGACAAAGTAAAGATTGAGAAGAAAGGTCAGACTGACTGTACTAACCAGCCTCTGGACTCTTGTCCCTGATGAATACCATAAAACGAGATTTTTGAGGTGCACTATGTACTTAGACTGCAGTGTCCTACAGTATGGTATAACCATAATCTATCTTTCATTTATTAGTTTTTTTTTTTTCCAAAAACCGTGATATATTTCAAATATACCTGTATATATAAGGAAAGAAGGTTTTGGATCCTCCATCTAAAAACATACATAGTGTTCATTTAATTACTTGGCACAAACTATTTCAAACCTGGTATATATCAGCAACCCAGATTATTTGTGGTTACAAAAAAATCACTATGACAAATTGCAATACACTGATACTACTTTAAATACTCACTTAAAGGAATCTACTGTACGCCTACATTGAAATCAGATTATTCAGTTGTTATTAATAAACATTGTATTCAATAAAATAACACTGCAGGTCATTTAAACCAAATTGGCAGATTAAATTACCTGGGCTGGTGTAGGTATGATCATTGGATTCAGACTCCCCCTGAACGTGCAGTAAATCTCTGCCTATGGGGCTCAGACTGAATGCATGCTCAAATCAGCTTTCCTCCGGGGCATTGAAAAAGAGCCCCCCTCTTCCACTTTAATTTGTCTTGTCAGCAACTGTTACTTGGGAAATGAGGCTTGCTTGGCTTCCTGGTTTAGCCCTTAGCTGATATAATTGTGTAATGGAGCCCCTTCGCTGCACACAGGATTGGGAGAGGAGCAACATATTTATGCCTGCCCAGCCACGTCCAAGCAAAAACAGGCAATCATGTTCAAAATGCAGACGGCGCCAGCATGCACGGTGAGCTCTGAAATCTGATGTACGTGCAAAAGTTGAGAATAACCCTAAACCCATTTGGAGGTAAAACTGGATTATTTTCAACCTTTATATGCAGGGAAATTCACATTGAGAATAACATCTCTTCCTCCCAAGCACAATCGCCAAGAGGGAACAGTAGAAATTGCATGCCAGTTACAATCAGCACACTGTCACATTCTCACAAAATGTGTTAAGAAATTAAAAGCTATCGTATCTTATCAGCACAAAACCAAGAGTATCAAGCACAATGTAAAACTGTATTTATTTACTTCTTTTGGAATGATCCTGTTCTATTGCAGGATAGGGCTTCATGCCTCTCCAACTGGTGAAAGTCTTATAGTATAGTTAGAAATATTATTGGGAACAGTGATTTTGTAACACCCCAAGAAGGAACATTTTCAGATTAGAGAATTTTTCAGATCACAGAAGCACATGCCCTAATTAGCATGTTGTGCTTGTGGATACAACTAAAGCATTTAAAACAGACATCAGATGCACAGTGCCGCTCTAAATATAGCACAGATGTTGAAATTCCAGCCCTCATCTAGTTTTAAGCCCTGCCCACTCAGCCTGCTTTTGTTTTGTACCTCATTCCAGAAAGCTGTTAATATCCCAGCGGCCTCCAGGATTGAGCCGTGAGCTGTGCTGTTGACTAGAGCCATGTTTGTGCTGTCACCTTTAACCTGCTGTCAGTTTGGCTAGCACTGAGCCTGTGTCACCTTTATTCAGCCACTGTGCCACTGTCCACTTTGGTTAAAGCAAAACTCATTGTATCTGTGGCTGCTCAGTGAAATTTTGAATGATTTTATTCAGTTGCTCATCATAGAAGGGAGGGTTATTTTGTCCCTGTGACATTAAAAAAAACATACAATTGTGATGCATTATGTAGTAAAGATAAATATGCAACGAACAATTATTAATTAATTATTTATTTGGCATTTTTGACCTTGTAAATGAATATGATAGAAATGCCCAGATGTTACTATCAATTACGGAATGTTATAAAATGGAGACCAATTGCAGAAATATCAAATGTAAGAATTGTTTATTGCTGAGATATATTTGTATTTCTATATTTTACACTTACAATCATATAATTGACACCAGTCTCTTGCTATTTTTGTTACTTATTCAGAATTTATTATTACCATATTTTTGCTTTTTGTTATTATAATATATTGTGATGTGTGGGCTACTGTGTCCAAATAATTTCCCTCATGGATCACTAAAGTCTAAGTCTAAATCTAAATGAGACTAATGACATAAATACAAATCAATTATACTGTTATAATATGTAATTTTCTGTACTGGACAGTGCTCTCAAATAGATTTCTAAAATAAGTAGAATAGCTCTCTACACATTGTTAAGTAATATTAAGACTCTACTTCATTGAATGTAGTAGTATTATTAACTTATCACCACTATAATCTCCCACTACGCCCATGTCATCAGCATTAAGTAACACAGGGGCAACAACAGCAGGGTCTGGCCCATCCCCCCTTTACACTATCTGCTCACTTCCCCCATCTCCCTATAAGCAGCAACATCCAAAACTGCAGTGTCAGACCTAAAGTACTGGGTTTCCGGGCAGGACACTGACATGTCTTTGGGGATTCAGATGTCACAAACTCTGCAGCTCGATCTTGCCCATGGTATAATTTTTTTGAGAAGTGTTTTGACAGTTGGTGCAGTTTTGCTATAGCAGCAGGGGGAAAAGGTCAACTTCACCACATACTCATGGCAAGAACACAATCAGTCACAGTTATGGCTAGGGCTGAATCTGCTTTTTATGGTGTGAGACAGGACTAAATGGGACATAAAAGATGGTTGTAAGGCCTCCCTCGTGAAGATGGTTTGTGCTGTTTGTGTGTCATTGTGCGGTGCAGTCGTGTAGGAAGAGCTCAAGAGCCTGTATTGTGTTGCAGCTGGTGGCAAAGTCACATTATGTGCTCTACTAAACAGGAACTCTGAGCTGAGGAGCAGAGCGGCCGTCGGAGCACTGGGCACCACTGGTTATGGCAGCAGGCTTTAGCTAACACTATAAGACCTGCTGTAAAAGTGACAATCAAACATCACTCTAAGACAGGCATGTCCAAACTATGGCCCGGGGGCCAAATGCGGCCCTCAGACAAATTTTTCTTGGCCCTCAGGCTTCCAGGTGAATTGGCCCAAATTACCTTGCATCAATTAAAAAATATTTTTTTACTGCAAGTTTTTTGAAAATGTACCTTGATAAAGCTAATATTTAATATTTCGTTTGTGATTTTAAGGATCTTAGCATGAATAAAAACTGGTGGCTCATTCTAACATATTAAACATGCACACATTTCAATTATTCCCTGTACTGAGCACCAGTCTATGGCCCTTGATCGGCCCTCTGCTTCATCTGTGTTTAGATATGTGGCCCTTGATGAAAAAAGTTTGGACACCCCTGCTTTAAGATGAAGACACAATAACAGCACTATCAGTTACATAAATGGGAAATGAATGAATGCAGTTTTCCCATTAATGTAAACGTTATGTTCTATTTAATTTTTTCTTGTGTCTCTGATAGTTGAACTGATGTGTCACAGGACTACTTTTCGGCCTCCTGCCTTATTCATATAGTGTTATTATGAACACATAAATAATACTGGATGTTGAAACTTTGCCTTGAATATTTCACACTATGACATTAAACTTGTCTTGCATTTTTTATTACTTTTTTATGGCTGTGAATGGGCTCGCCAAGATCTTACCTGTAACTTGATCTAGTGTCAGCTGCTTGTCTCCATGGAGATAGATAGGTTTAAAGTTAATGTAATATTATAGTAAATTTGAAAGCCATAAATATGATTATTTACCCCATAGAGATGGCCAAAGTAAATTCTATGCCTCAGCAAGCATTGATTTAGATACTGGTCTTGCCATGCATTCTTGCCAAGAAATGCTGGCTTGTAACTCCCTGTGGCTTAATATTTACAGATCAAATAAGTAAACACTTGCTTAAGGAGCAGCACTTGATTTTTTCATGTAATAAGTCAAATCTTTTATACCTCAGCACTTATATATCATACATGCAGCACAGAGGGTCAAAATGAGACTGCTGTACTATTTGAAATCTAATTATAAAGCATTTTTATCAACCATGAACCAGGAAGTAACTCTGCCTGGTAAGCTGTTTTTCACTTTTTTTTTTAAGATGCCTTTAAATAAAGGCCTGTTATAAGTTCACATTGTAATGGTGAGAAAGATTAGAAATGATTTAAATGATACTTATTCTCTGGTAGTCTTCAAATGGATCAATACCAATGCTGATCATGTGTGGTCCATTCACTCATTGTTCCTGTCTTTTTGACCCTCTGTGCATCCCCTCCCTTTTGCTAACAGCTGCTCCGTGACTTTTGCTCACTCCCCTTTAAAAGGATCTTTGAAAGGGGCAGAGAATCAATATGATAAATCCAGAAGGACAGGCCGTTTTAATGTAATCAAAGTGGGAAAAGTACCACAAAGCCAAAAGCCAATGTGAGGTCAGTGTTGGCTCTTCTCCCAGTGTCAAAAACTATGCACAATTTAGACTAAAAACAGGCAAAAAGTCTGAAATTTATATTTGGACATTTTATAACCAAGGATAAATTTTTTTGTTGGAAATTCTAAATGGAAAGGCCAAATCAACATTTTTAAAAGTAATATTATTTTTGAGTGTTAGTTGTTATTGTTGAATAACCTTGTAAAAGTGAAATCAGGAAACGCTGAAGCACAAGCCTTCATTGTTTTCATTTTCAGTGGTAAACAGGTGTAAAAGCAAGGATGTCCTGTTGGTGTCTTATACAGCATAGCTCAAAATGCATTGTCAATGCAACATTACTTACTCATGAGACCCATCCTGTTATAGGCAACATTTTTGAGGACTTTTTCATTCAAAAGATATAATATTTTGTTTTCAAATACTGCTATGGAGATGGTCATAATTTCTCATCATTCTGGACCCATGGATAATTATAGTAGCAATGTAACTAGGAATATTATTGCTATTCTCACTTTCATTACCACTGCTTTTATAGGGGTAATAAAACAAGAAGTTGAAAGCAGAGAAAGACATCATGGTTCTGTTCTGTTTGCTTGTGTCAGCTAATATAAAACTCTCATTCATTATTGATGTGTCAGAGGGGGCCTGGATTTCTCTGCGGGGCAAAAACTAGGCTAACTGATGTCAGATGACTCCTGATGTGGTACCACTCTGCCCAACATCACCTGCCTATTTACACTGGTGGGCATGTCATAACAATAAAAAAATGTCATATGGTGAATTGCATTTCTGATAAAGATTCAAAGAGAGAATTATTCAAACATTTTGTCATAAATTAGGTTATTGTATTTGCGTATTAGCCATCAATGCATTACACAAAACATTGAGTGCTCTTTGTTTGTGTCCTCAGCCTGGATAAAACACACAATAGCATATGGATAGGCATACAGGATTGTCAAAAAAAAAATAAAAAAAATATATATATATATATATATATATATATATATGTATTGATACTGGGAAAAAAAACAAAAACAAAAAACTGATAAATTAGATAAAATTTGACTTAAATAGTTTCGAATGGTCTAGATCTACATTAGACATGGTAAACTGTTTGTGTTGAAAATTACACACTATTGTCTTTTTAACATCATTGGTCATCATTTAGCATTGTGATACTATAAGAGCATATAGTTTAAAACAATGCAACATTAATATGCTAATGTTAGAATGCTTGGAGGCAAATGGTTTGACTTTTTGAGGTGAGTGAAATCAGCCTCAGTGCGTTGGTCCTGCTGGTCTCTATGGTGATGGTCCCTGTGAGGCTGTCATGTGCACTGCCACACCAGACTGCCATGATTACAGCTTTCAACAAACCATTTTAGCTTTCATGAATGCATTTTCAATGACAAAATCAGTGCTTGTTTTTGCTGTCACATTTTCTTTTTTCCAGCTCATTAAAAAAATAGCTCAGTGTTTTCATCATTGTAGGTATTGTATTAAACTCTTAAATGCTAACAGACCTTGACACAAATGAAAAAGCCAGGCATGTCACTCAAGTCAGCCAATCTAGCCATTTCTATATAAAGTGTGTGATTACTGATGCAAGATGTATAAGATGCAATACAGGCTATATACAGTATGTGTTTGTGTTTTTGCATGTGAATTTGGCATTCAGGGTAGCTTATACATCAAGCATGTGACAAATGCATTGATTGATTAATCTACCATACTTGTTTATTGTGTCACAATTTTGTTTTATATTATCTCTAAGAATAATCTAAATATACTATTAATTGTCATTGGCTTGGGCACCTATACCAACATAATGAGATAGGAACCATATGTGAATATGTGAATTATATGTGAAGCAATAGCATATAAATGGTGTTTCATACTGTATCATTGAGGCAGTTCCTGAATTGAGCCCAATGAGTCTTGATATAGACTTGGTTTGGTCCTATTCTAGTCCTGGTTTAGTTCAGTTTTAATGTGGCATGTGTTAGTGTTGCCACAATGTGGAAATTTTAAACTTGATTTTGATACTTTGCGAAAGGCTTGGTGATAATTTAAGTACCACAAAATGTATCCATTTTGTTTAGGCAATTTATTTAATTGATTAATGTAATATAGTTTTGTTAATGTTATCATTTGTTCTTATTTTAGCTAAGATATAGATCAAAACAATTCTAAAACTCAATCAGAAATTTAAAATTTTGTCCTGTTTTGCCAGTATTGACTCTTAGTTTACATAGGCTACTATTTTAAGTGTTTATAAGTGTCTGAGTATCATTTTTTACAGCACTAGCTGAGTACCTGTTATAGAAGTTATTAAAGTAGCTCAGTAGGAGGAGACTCTGGATGTAGTGTCCATTCAAGTCTGGCCATGCATCTTCTTCTGATGTATTACAGCAGAGCAGTCTCCTTAGTGGTATGTGTAAGTCTTAAAGGTGCTGTACCTGATTTTATTGCCTTTCAATTTCCTAATGCATTCCTTGCATCATAATTATTCATTGTGATGAGTTTATAAGCACTTTTTAAGGCCAGTTTTAAGAGGCCAGTTTTAGCATGCTAACAATGCACTGGAGGGTTAAAAAAGTACTTATAATTATATACAGATAGGACACAGCAGTCTCATTTAGACCGCTGTAAAATAAAAGAAAGTTTTGCTCAACTGCCTAGAAAAAAAAGAACTATGGTGCACCCTTCGTATTTGTGTGGTACTCATTAGTTCCATACCGCTGTCCTGCCATGTGACCTTGTTGACCTCTTCCTTTGTGTTTTGCAGTTGGATAACCTGGACGAGCAGGCTGCACAGATCCGCAGAGAGCTGGATGGCCGTCTTCAGATGGCAGACCAGATTGCCAGAGTGAGTCAGACTCTGCAGGAGACTCTTCAGATTCCCTTTAATAAGCCCTGTTGTATAGTTGGTAGTATGTTGCTAATATGGTGATACTTGGTGTTGGGAGCCTACTGTGAGCAAGCGGCCACCCACTCACCTGCTCTCATCCAAAGTGGGACACATTCCTACTCTGGCTGTGTATCACAATGTCTCAATATTGCTCAATATTTTGAATGTTTTTTAATACCCTCACCTATAACCCAGTAGGGCTATATATAGTACAAAGAGAGGTTTTGAGGTTTAGAATGTATGTAACATTTGGTTAGTAGTTACAAGTTTGTTTTTAATTTCTTCATTTATTTTGTTACCAGGGTGGCAAGTTCCCTAAATTTGTGTCCAAAGAGATGGAGGCCATGTACATCGAGGAGCTGAAGTCATCCGTGAACCAGCTAATGGCCAATTTAGAGAGCATGCCCGTGTCGAAAGGAGGGGAATTCAAACTGCAGAAGCTCAAGCGGGGACACAATACCTCCATCATCGACATGGGCCAGGAGGACGAGAACACACTGTCCAAGTCCGACGTAGTGCTGTCCTTCACACTCGAGGTATGCACACGCCCCATTAGGAACTTTATTTGAATAGGCCCATTCTCGTAGATTCTGTCACATTTCAACCACTCCACTCTCAGAAGTTGGAAGTACTGTTCCTAAAAATGTCTTAAAATATGAGTACTGACATTTCAGAATAAAGGTGAAAAGTCGTTTTAAAGAGCACTGTAAAGCACTGTAAAACTTTTCTGGTGGTGGGTCTGTCACCTGCTGGTCCCCATGTGGATGCTATGCCAGGAATGGTCCGTATTATGGTATTAAAATTATTGATCTCCAGGAAAATAGAATGCATGTGTCTCAGGTTATTTTGAACAATAAAAAGACACATCTTCAATAAACAGAAAAGAGATATGTTTAATGCCACACTGTGGAACATTCCAGGCAAAGCAATCACATTTCCATGGAGATGAGTTGACCAGCCCTCCACCAAAAAAGTACATAGTGCACCTTTAATTATCATTTAGTTGAACTAAACCAAACTGAAGAAACCCATATATGAAAGAACTTTGAGACCAGCTCTAAACAGTCACAGAGGACTGCGCTTCCAGCTCTCTCACTCCTGAGACAGAGCCGTATCAAAGATGCCCTGAGTGTTTTTGGTGATGTCATGACCCATCACTACATTTGGTGGGAGTCACAGTCACCAAGACAAGCCCTGATGAAGCTGCCTGGTTGGTAGCTAAATGTCAGCTTCAAAACTAAGTCCAGTTGGTTTGATTTAACTCGTTGATAAAACCTATTCCTCTCCATATTTATTCCTTGATGTCTTTGCATCAATTAGTTTTAAAGTAGTTAATTACAAAAGGTAATACATACAACTGCAAAAGACAATTATTAAATATTTAAAAAAACAACAATGAATTCACATAGACAAGATCTCTTTTCAGATGGACATATGACCTCACTGTCAAAGGTTATGTCATTAATGCATTGAAACAGGCTTTCTTCTTCATTCCATTATTACTCAACTTAAGAGTATGTCCATAAAGCCCATACATTCCACCACTATAACAGCTAGACTTATTTCTAAGAGCGCCGCATGTGAAACCAGCCGCAGCCCTTTTAACCTGCTCCTTTAATGTGAATGTGAGTCATCCTATTATCAGCTCATCATCGAGGTGCTCTCACCAGTGAAAGAGGAGCGGTCACACCTCCATTTATGATAGCGTGTGAATCCACAGTCGTACTGTTCTGTGCCGGTGACGCTCATTGTGAACTCAAATACACCGGAAAACAAGCCAGTCAATTATTTGCACAATATCACCTGACCAAAAAACACAAAACATTCTGTCTGTATCCTGCAAAATGAGTAACTCTGTAGTTTAGACCTTTGCAAAGATGTATATGGGATTGTATTTAGTGTTTAGCAGTTCAGTATGTTCTCAAATGTTAATGCTGGTGGACATGTGAGCTTTGAAAAGAGTCCTATTGAAATATAAACTGCAAATCTATTTGCAGTAGCAATGTTTGAAAAATATTAACTGAACAAACCCCCAGCTGTCAGATAACTATAACAGGTCTGGTTGCTGTTACTATATAGAATCATTTACCACTAATGTTAATTAATTGTTCATTAAAGTAACATGATGATATAAGTGTTAATAATACTGTACATACACATACCTTAAACTAATCAGCTTAATGCCTACCGGCCAATCTTGATAATACTTAATATTGCCTGTCACTCATTTATAGTGTTTGCCTCCAGCAGAACATTTCATTCTTATTGGTATTAAATAGTGCCTATGTAAAACATACAGCCTGTAAATGTGCATTGCCCAGTTCTGTGTTCTGCTATGTGGACTCTAATACATAATGAATGTTTTTAGTGTTACAGTTACTAATAGGTAGCCTTAATAATAGTCAAAATTTTATCTAAATAATTTCAAAATTACACTATGGACAGTGTACTCCTTCTTCTCTGCATGTCTTATGGTATTACATTTTTGAACACATCTGCTTCTGCTTTTCTGAAGGACAAACATACTGACCACACATTTTACTATTGCATCTAAAATTGACAGCAGCCCCATGTGATGTATAGTGTTTTGAAAAGTCATAGTAGAATTTCAACAAAGTTATTAATAGTGCAGTGCAGTGCAGTGCAGCAGAATGAAAATTTTACACCAAGTGGGATTTAAACATGTCCCCACTTTATGTACATTGTTCTGTCTGATAACACCACAGTGATAACACAAAACATCTAACTATCCAATCATGGTATTTAGTGTTTAGTTTTGATTTTAGTTTTAAATTTTAGGGGTATCTGGGTATCACATGAAAAACCTACTTAAGTAAAAGGATTAAAGTACCGTTTTAAAAATGTACATAAAGGTGCACTATGTAACTTTTTGGTTGGGGGTCCGTCACCTGATTGTTTCTATGGATATGCCATTTCTTTGCCTGGAATGTTCCACATTAGGACATTAAACAGCTCTCCTTTACATGTATTTAATTACAAGATCTGACTTGTAACTTGGTTTTTCACACAAATTTTGAGGTTTAATAAAGATTCAAATGTAATGACTTTAATAAAGATTTGGCAGAACTTTGAGGAAACAATTAAATCGATCAGAATATCTTTTTTAAACCCTGTGCTATCAATTGCCTCCCGCCTCATGCCCAAAGCTGTTGGGATAGGCTGCTGCTGCTGCAAAGGTTAAGCAGTAGAAAATGAATGGATTTGACATGTCATGTTGCTGGTGAGTCATTGCTTGTGGCTGTATGTGCTTGCAGGTAGTGATCATGGAAGTACAAGGGCTCAAGTCACTGGCTCCGAACCGCATTGTGTACTGTACCATGGAGGTGGAGGGAGGAGAGAAGCTCCAGACCGACCAGGCTGAAGCATCCAAGCCCACGTAAGCCATAAACTGTTAAGCACCTTACATGAGCCTACGAACTGTAATCAACTGCTGTTGGACCAACCACAGTCAAATCATTCACTTTTGTCATAAGATAAATCATTTCTATTTTCTACATATTGACTTATTAAGTTACACATGTTTAAAGTGCCCATATTATGCTGTTTTTGGATCTATTTTATAATGTTGTTTTTTCATCACAAACATGTGGAGTTGTGTTTTGTTTCAGTCACAAATGTTTATCACACAAACCCTGCATATTTAGGCTGTGTTCTTCTTTAAAACGGAAAACAATCCTTGTGATGTCATGTGGTAATACAGGAAGGGCTCCACTGTGTTTTAAAACTTCATACACCTTCACTTGAATCATTTACTGTAGATGACTTCAGGCGAGGAATTGCCTTTCTCTACTGAACAATATGTAGAAGGAGCTGTTCACTGAAAAAAACAGCTTCATGACATCACAAGGTGGACACAAAGAATTATGAGCTTTGGAGATGTAGACAGACCAATAATGCAGGATTACTTAGACATATGTGAATGAAACAAAGCATAGCTCCAGGTATGTTTTTGAGAAGGAACAACATTCTAACTTATCTTAAAGCTCACAAGAGTCAATTTGGCAGAATATAGGACCTTTAACAGAAAAGGCAAATACAATGCAAATCACTACATTCTTGTAATTTTTACTATGGGGATTGTAGACCTCAGAAAATAATCACTAGAAGGACAGAAGATTGTTGTAACTGCAAGTACAAAGACTGAACATTCAAGTTTTTCTGTTCAAAATGAAAATAGAGCTTTTCAAAGGTTTCAATCATTTTTTTATCCAATGGCTATTTCTCATCTCTTCTGTTTGTATGACCTTGGGTTCCTTGGTTGACTCTTTTTCTCTCTGCTTCTTGCACAGTTCAATGTTCTCTCAGTGTCAAATACTTTTAAAATACCTGCCATCAAAATGTTAATTGTCAGAGTTGTCTATCAATTAGCAGGGCAAGGTAGTAACACTGGCTAATGCTAAAATGTCCTTCAACATCATTGTAAATCAAGCTGCTATTACTACTGCTATTACTTCATTAATTCAAACCTCATATTTCAGAGAGCCTCAGATATGAATGAGAAAGGGATTACAACAAAAAGAGGCTTTGTGCGCAGGTAGAAATTGCATGTGCACAAGAGGAACACAGCAGTTACCAATAGTGTTTCTATCACCAATACGTAACAAGCTGCCATCTTTAAAATATTTCAAATTCATGTATTTTATCTCATGTTGTCCGTAATTGTGTGTAATTTGACCTGGCTGAGCTTCAATATCATTTAGAGGAAGAGTTGTAGTTGCACAGCGATGTCAGGTCTATTAATAGAGCTTAGATTGATCCACAAGGTCACCTTCATAGTGCTACAATGGCTCCCTTCAGCTGCTGCTTGGGATGTGGGAACTGCAGTGTCCGGGCTTTGCATTCATCACAATTACAAAAACACCATGCTGCATTTCGACACAGTGGGAGGAGAGGAGAGAAAGCTGTGTACAGTGTATATAGTTCCATGTTAGTATCATATTTTTTGACAGTTGACCATTTAAGCATTTTGTTTTGTTAGTGTAACCTTATCAAATCATCGCTCTGTTTAGTCATTTAAGGATAGGTTTGGTTTACTCTTTGATCTTGACCCAGCCTTTTTTATTCAAAGTTTAAGATTGGTACAAAGAGCATCCTAGCGACTCTCTGGTTTCCCAGTCAATAAAAGTGCACATAGCCCCTTACAAAAGACAGACCTTACAGAAGTCATGGAAAATCAAAAGCAGATATAATCATTCATTTGTCATTGTGAAACTTATCCCTCTATATCTTTTGCACATTTTTCTTTTATAATAAACAATTAAAATTAAACATGCAACTTGATCACATCTTTATTGTAGTCTTTATTGTCACTGCTGGCAATATATTTTTTCATTTTGTGCTATGTTGCAATGCTATGTCTGTGTAATATTGTTATGTTGATTTGTTTTGTCACATTCAAGGTCCAGCTTCACAATAACAAAGAAAAAAACATATGAAAGGGTTATACAATTCAAAGCAACACAATAAGCAAACCAGTGGGAGGTAAAGAGGACATATTATGTATTGTATAATCTAATCAAGAACAGGTATACAACAAACCATGTTTAATGAACATGATGTCATCTTGACCTTTTGCTTCTACCTTACCATTGTTTCTGGCCAAATTGCTCATTTCAATAGTTTTTTATAAAGGCTTTTTCTAATGAATAAAAAACCTGTCACCTTACGTAACTAAACAGAACATGCCTGACTTTGCAAAGTTAATTTTAGGACTTCTGCCGTTTCTTGTTTTCTCTTTTCTCCAGCTGACACACTCAATAAATGTTGCTGATAGGATGAGCGGTCTTTTATAGAGAAATCATGAAGGTTTAAAAAATGGCTGGATTATAAATAGAAGGGACAGTGCTATTATTCATTGTCTCATCCTGCCTCTTCTGCTGCAGTGTCCCTTTGTGTGTCATGAACTACATAAATGTATTATATCTCTCCTGCAATGTGGACTGCAATCCCAGTGGTGCTGAAAGTGTCAGCTGTTGTTGTGTGTTAGTGTCTAGTCCCCTCTGCACCTGCATCGTTTTAATTTATGGCCATACTGAAAACATTCTATGATGTCATGGAAGCTACACTCATGAGACTGTGTGTTATGTGTTTCAGCTGGGGCACACAGGGGGACTTCACCACCACACACCCGCTGCCTGCCGTCAAGGTGAAGCTGTTTACGGAGAGCACTGGCGTGCTGGCGCTGGAGGACAAGGAGCTGGGCAGGGTGACGCTCCCTCTCTCTGTTTTATACACCTGTTTACAGCACACAGTCAACACAGCATCTGCACATAAAACATTAGCACTTGTCAGTCTAATACAAGGCTAAAGTGCTTCTCACAACTAACACAACATCATCTTTTGAGTCGCTTTATAAAAATAGTTGATAAGCTCTCAGCGCAGACACCAGAGGGGACAGCAGTGCTGTATTTGTTCCCCAGTCCTTAAGCAAACATTTGTCCATGTTTATTCTCAGAAAGATTTCTGTTCTGTTATTGTCTTAAGTGTGCAACTAGAGGTCTGTATTGGACAGCACCTGGTAATATGGCAATATATACTAATGAAAGGGTATTGAAACTCACTAGCACTGACGATGATCATAGCAGAGAAAGTGATGATCAAAGGCAGTCTGGGATCTTCTGAGTTAATTGGTTCTCTGGCTTTATATCCCCCTCATACCTGAAAGATAGAAGTAATGAGAACCAGAAGAGAGGGTCAGAGGGCACATAAGTGAAAAGGTGGAGTTTTCCTCATAAGACTCCATGATTGCTTTGACACAAACAGCCCATGCATTTTTCTGTTTGGTTAATCCGCCTGTCAGTCATCCCCACTGGAAATCGGGGGGACAAGATATGCCTCCAGACCTTGACGTCTCTCTGAAGTATTATACATAACAGGACATTGGCAGAGTTATTATTTCAAATGCATCTAATTGAAACCTTTCTTAGATATTCCAGAGGTAGTTGGACCTACTTGTAGTCCAAGTTAGTGTGTTCTAGATGAGGCAGAGGTAGGCTTCTTGTTGTAGCTCTGACCTTGTGTGTACAGGCCTGTTTGATCCCCTCTGCAGCGGCGATGGCAGAGAGGCGCGTTTCCTGAAAGCTCTTTAACTCGCCAAAGAGAGATTAGGCCTCCTCTTCAGGGAGCCACTGCAAAGCACCGCTCCACAACACTTTCATTCTCTCACTTCCCATAAAAGTCAAAGACTCACAGCAGCTTCTTTCAAGCACTTTTCCTCTTAATGTTGCAGGAGATGGTCATTTTATTAAATCTGTTACATTATGTTCTCTGAGTGCAGGTTGTGCTCCACCCCACTCCCAACAGCCCCAAACAGTCAGAGCTCCATAAGATGACTGTTACTAAGGCATGCCCAGACCAGGACCTGAGGATCAAACTGGCCATCCGCATGGACAAGCCTCAGAACATGAAGCACTGCGGGTGAGGCAGGCCTGGACTACGGAGCTCCAGCTCTCACAACTCCTTGGCCTCATTTTCTAGTCACGTACCATGGAAAAATACTGTCAAGTGCACTACACCCCCTGGTGGACGCTAAGGTGTACTTGAAGCGTTTAATGTAGGGCTGCTTAATATAAAACAGAAAAGAGTAATGCTTCAGATATACAAGGGTATTGAAGATAACCTTGACTGGATTAAGAGTTTTAGTTTTGTGAATTTTCTGTGGCAGGTACCTCTGGGCATTTGGAAAGAATGTTTGGAAGCGCTGGAAGAAGCGTTTCTTTGTCCTTGTACAGGTTAGTAGAAAAAAAAACAGCAACATATTTGCAGCTTCATATTTGCTTTGCAAGTCTATAGTAGCTGTAGTGATGAGGCTACGGAGGCAGAATAACTTGGATAATTTTTGCAATCTTTCTCATTAACTCTTACATTTTTATTATTATTTTCAGGTGAGCCAATACACTTTTGCCATGTGCAGCTACAGAGAGAAGAAATCAGAACCACAGGAACTTCTCCAGCTAGACGGATACACTGTAGACTACAGTGACCCACAACCAGGTCTGTGCAAATTATAAACTCAAAACATGAAATGGTAATCCTATTTATATAAAGTAATGATTTTCTATATATAATATAATATGAAGTAAAATAAATTACCAAGTACTTTCATATGAACAAATGAATACATTTAAATTAATAAATGTACAAAAAACAGAAAAACAAATTTTATAATGCAAGATTATTGATAAACATGACATTTGAATGTACACCTAAATATTTTAACTAACCACCTATAAAATGTTGCATGTGTTTGAACAGGTTTGGATGGGGGCAGAGCCTTCTTCAACGCTGTAAAAGAAGGTGACACTGTGATCTTTGCCAGTGACGACGAGCAGGATCGCATCCTGTGGGTCCAGGCCATGTACCGCGCCACAGGCCAGTCCCACAAGCCCGTCCCACCCACTCAGGTCCAGAAACTCAACTCAAAAGGGGGCGTGTCTGCTCAGATGGACGCTCCCATTTCACAGTTCTGTAAGTAGCACCACACGTGTTCCTCACCAATAAGCTCACCTATAGCAGGCAGCAGTTTTCATCCACAAATCAATGTTGAAGTGTAACTCATTGTTGTCTCACGCCATGCGCTCCACACTGCTGTCACAAATGTGCTGGTAGAACTAACACACAAGCACGCACACACAACTCACAGAATCCCGTAGCATCTGATGGACCTCTACTGTTTAAGGTGCAACCCCATAAATGATATAATACTGTAATCTTCCAAAATTGGCCTGTCAGTGTAAAAATATGCTTTAAGTAAGAATGACTAAATGGGGTTGGATTAAGACAGTACAACGTTTGCCCTTACTATAGTTATTCATAGCTGTAAAGGGAAGTTGTAGCACGTGCTAACCACTCTGCTAATATACCCTTAGCAGCACCACTCTTGTAGCAAAGGTGAAGGTAAGATCATGTACAGTAGTGTGGCATCTGTACGAATTCCTGTCTGTTCAATGTATCATGTTCTTGATCATTACTGAGGAAAAATAAATCTAGTAGTATTAATATTATATGCCCAAATATTTCATGTGTATTTTCATTATAATTTCAAAATAATAGATCCTGCTATTCGGAACAATTTCATGCAAAGTACAGTATTATTTTTTATACAATTGGGACTTTATCCAATGTAATTAAGCTCTCTGTATTCTCGTTACATACTAGTAAATCTAAAGACATGAACTGTAAGAATCTTTAACCACCTAAAGTCTATGTTGTTTCTCCATTGGTTTCTTTGTCCAGTATGTGAGTGTTCTTGTGGTTAGTTGACTTCTCTGATGCCAGCTGTTGCCATTCAAAGCGTCCCCACAGTGGCACAGACCCTCCTCTTCCTCCCTGAAACATTGTGGCACACCACGCAAACATGTTTCAACCCTGGTGCTCTTGAATGGCACTGGGACCATAACATACACAGCCTCCTCACTCTGCTGCGAAAAGGCTATTTAAATGCTCAGATGGGGAGTAATTATTCCCATGGTCAAGTGTGTCGTGACCGACATATTCAGAGGTATACAAATTGTATACAAATTGTGCTGTGGAGTTTAGACATACAAAACAGCTATCCAAAAGTTTGCATTTTTTTTCTTGGTTTAGGCTCTTGGAATCTTAATGGGCTGTGTGGTTGATTTGCCAAAATACAGTATTATGTAAGATGGTACTGTCAGGAATTAACTCTTCAAAACTGAAACTGCAGATTAGTGCACTATTTGTATGGTATGAAACTGGTATGAAATTTGGAACAAATAACATCGAAATGTCATGTAAAACGCTCTAGCCTCTTGAAATTCCAAAGGACAGAAACTAGAGAGTTTGTAAATGGTAACTATATTGTACATAAGGCTCAGTGTTAGAGCATTGTGATTTATAAAATTTTTGATTTTCGTTTTTGGTTATATTTTTTTATTATTCTTGTACTAAACTAAATGATTTGGCCAGAGATAAAAAAAATGAGAGATACATCTTACACTTTTACCAGAGATAAAACCTCTATTCAAAACCATTCCCATATCTCTAGACCAAACCAACACACACATATATAACACAGTGTGGACTTAAGGCGGAAAGAGACCAGATGGGAGCTTAAATGGTCTCCCTATGTTTTATATATATGTATACCTTTTGACAGTAAGACATTATTTTGATCTTCAGCTTTGGACTTTGTCAGTACTTAAACTGAAACCCAGATCAATACACTGCAGCAGAGTGAAGAGGACACATGACTTTCTTTTTTCTGCCTGTATCTGTAGCTCTTTTTCACAGTCCTCTTCCTGTCTCTATCTCTCCCTCTTGGCCTGTCTCTCCTTCTTTACACAATGTCTCTTGCCACATACCCACCACACACGCTCATGTCGGTATATAGGCTGTTGTTTTTTCAGTTGTGTTTTCTACTACTTTCTCATGCTTTCTGCCTGTTACCCTTCTTGAGTGATGCTAGTAGCTGCTAGGTCAGGGTATCTCTTCTCTTCCTCCAGCCTTGTTGCTAGTCTTTATGTTATATTCTGGTTTGTCCCTTCTTACCCTGCTGTCTTCTAGCTGGACTCAAGGGTAAGTGCTTCCCTGTATAGCCGGCACAGCTCAGATAATCCCCGCTGATTATCTGACCAATGCAACGTTCTCTATCTCTCTGAACCCCCTTCCTTTCTCTTCTCCTTTCACGTCTCGCTTCATGTCTTCTTACTAGATCTTAGTTTATTTTTTAATTTCTATTTTTTCCGACGACCTCTAACTTGAGGATCGAAGTATCTAAGCATCCATTTGTGCCAATATAGGATGCATGTAAGAAGTTTTTGATTTCAGCAATGGTTCAACTTGATCTTACAGCTGTTACTGCATAATTGCCTTCTCTCTGTATTCTCATTGGTGAGCAGATCCCTCAGTGTAAAGCCTTACGTAATCTTATAACATACGCACATTTCCTTTGGCAAGTTTATTCAAATCTTTATTAGATTTTCAACTGCTTTACATCAGAGGGCTCAATCTTTTTACTTATTTTCTTTTTATTTGAGAGTTGGCAAATATGTACGCGGAGTATTCTGAATGCCCAGTAGACAGAGTATAGCTTATGCCGCCCCCTACTGCCAGTAAAATACTCCGGACCTATCCCATGATTAGCTTAGTAGCTTGTAGTCATAGAAACCACAGTTAAACCCAGAGTAAAGGCCAGAACTCATTTTTGTTTTTGACTGCCCTTTTGTTTGCCTGTATAGGACCACACCTGTGTCATGTGACCATAACTAAAACATTATCAATACTCTTATCCTCCCCATATACCCCGGAGAATGTCAGCTTCATGCTACTTTACCCATGCACCAAATTGTATTGCTCCCCCTTAACAGACTTCTCCAGTAGTGGTATGCCTTGTTAGAGAACCATGAATACACTGCAACATACTTCAAGTATTGTCAACTTGCAAATGCCTCTCGAAAAAAAAAAAAAAAAAAAAAAAAAAAAAATGAAGGAATGCTAGAAAAAATGGAAATACTATTGAATTTGCAAATGTGCATGGTATTTAAAAGTTAATGAGGAGTCACGCTGATCTCCAGCATGTAATGATTTATCAATGAATGCCAACAGTACGTGCCTATTCACAATTTATTACTCATGGGTGATTATTGACAACTGTTTATTCCACTGTTAGTATTGACTTGTATTCTTGAGTGTTTTTTTTACAACCAGCCAGAGGAGAATTAGTCATGTTGTCTCATAGCTCACCCCTATAGCATTTTCACTCTTTGAATGTATTTTCATGCTCATTTTTGACCACTTTTGCTCACTATTCCTCTTCAATATTCCTTTGCACTCACTAATAACACGTTTTAATCTAAATGTTTTGCACAATGGTGCCCTCTACCTGTCACTTGTCCATGTTTTACCTGTTGTCTCGCGTTTTTGTGTCTCTTAGATTAACTAAAATAACTTACAGCTCGCACCTCTATATTAGAAAGTTCCCGTAGTACTTGACCTTTGACCCTCTTAAACCTGTAGGGTAGGCAGATGTCACTCAATGCCTGATTTGGTCCATCAGCCTATAGCTCTCCTCAAAATAATTGTTCCGCCTTCACGCTCCAATCATTTCCATTCACAGAGTGTTTCATGACATAGCCTGTTTCTCACAGAGGACACCACTTCATCTCTCTATACAGTTTGCCTGAATGTCCTCATCATCTTGTGTATTGCTTCGAGATATCACTGTTAATCTAATCTTTAAATGTTTTACTAATTTTCATATTTCTGAGACAGCAAAAACATAGTAGAATTAGCTTTTCCAAGGCTGTTCTTGTTTTCACTTTTCCAATATGCAGTAATTGTCATTTAGTGATTAAGAATGGCAGAATCTATTGAATATATAGTTTAGTTAGTATGCATTACAGGTATCCTTAGAGCATTTTTTGTCATCACAGATATTGACTTTTTATATTAGAACAACTCCAGGGAATGAGATAGTCTTGCATGCACACGGTGTCCAAGCAGTTGTTCCCTCTAGCATAGTTGTAGTTTTCCAATCTCTTTACGCTGGCTTGACACAATGCAAGTTGACAATGTAAGCTGTAAGTGTTTATAATTTGCCCTTAGAAGTAGCCAAATAGCTCCCCCTGTTTGTGCTGTGATGAACTGACTGTCTGGCCCCACTCATGGCTGTCCTCTGAACCGTGTGCTTCTCCCTGTGCCGTTGGCCGGATAGATGCTGACAGAGCTCAGAAACACGGCATGGATGAGTTTATCTCGGCTAACCCCTGTAGCTTTGACCACGCCTCCCTTTTTGAGATGGTGCAGCGGCTCACACTGGACCACAGACTCAATGACACCTTCTGCTGTTTGGTAAGAGCCTGAACACACATACATTCCTCTGAATGAAGTACTCTTATAATGAATTACTCTTTTGTGTAGGGATGGTTCAGCCCAGGCCAGGTCTTCGTCCTGGATGAGTACTGTGCCAGGAACGGAGTGCGAGGGTGCCACAGACACCTGTGCTACCTGCGGGACCTGCTGGAGAGGGCAGAGAAGGGGGCCATCATTGACCCCACTCTGCTGCATTACAGCTTTGCTTTCTGTGCATCCCATGTCCATGGGAACAGGTGTGCACAAAACCCTCACAAATGCATCCACAGTCCTCACAAATCAGCCCACCGAACTAGAGCAGTGAACCATGATCCTAAAAAGAGCACAAACAGTGACCTCTAAGCACACACTCATTCTGTCTCATTATTCACCTGTTTAATTTTGTTATGATTTGTGTTCAGTGTTTATGTTGGAATTTTGTGTTGCTTTTGTGTTATGTTTTTAATCAGTTGTATATTTCTATACTTTTGTTTCTATCATTTTGTTTTCTTTTCTTTTTGTCCCTTGTTGACATAGTTTCTTACTTTCCATATTATTCATCCTCCCACGCGTCTGTAAAAGTCAGAGAGGGCAGCTACTGGGGGCCGCTGGGCTATGAGGCCCTCCAGTCCCCAAAGAGCAGCCCAAGTCCAGACCCCTGCACTGCCACATTACCGGCACGCATGTTCAAGTTTAGAAAGAGAAAGGAGCTCAAATTTCCTTTCTTTCAAGTGCCTAAAAGGTGAGCCCAAGTCATATTTTGTGATTGTTACTAAGAGATCTCATCACCATGTGCTCCTGCTGAGCGTAAACCTGGCAGCACATTGCTCTTGTCAGACTCAGACCACGTTGCATAAGTGAAACCTCAGCAGGACGTCAGCTCCCTTCAATGTGTGGTGTGATCTCCACAGGCCTGATGGGCTCAGCACAGTCATTGTGGATGAGAAGGAGCGCTTTGAAGACATCAAGGAGCGGTTGCGTGTGATTTTGGAAAACCAGATTGTAAATTTCAGGTGATTAGCTAATCACTCACATCATATAGCCTTAGGTCACTGAACATTTTGACAGATTTCTTGACCTAACGTTATGTCCTTTCTTGTAGATATTTTTTCCCCTTCGGTCGTCCAGAGGGGGCGCTGAAGGCAACTTTATCTTTGCTAGAGCGGGTGTGTAGATTTAGAACATATTTTAACATAAGTAAAGGGAGGATGAAAAATGAGAGGATGAAAAATACCAAACCCTTTGACTGTTTCTGCAGGTCCTGATGAAAGACATAGTGACCCCAGTCCCTCCAGAGGAAGTGAAAGGAGTAATCCGCAAATGTCTGGAGCAGGCAGCACAGCTCAACTACCAGCGGATTAAAGACTATGCCAAAATTGAAGGTAAACAACATACACAGGAGTTACTGAATGTGCCTCAAAGTGTAACATAACTGCCCATAAGGTGACTTTATTCTCTCATGGTTGATAATGTGTGGAAAATAACACGTTCTTAGAGTAATTCTTAAGTGACTTGTTGTCATGATTTCTTTCTGAGCACGCAGTGAGCTCACTTGGCATATGGTATATTTGTGTCCATATCCCAAATGACCTGTGACAGTGTGTGGGTCCTTTTGTCTCTCAGTCCAATAACTTTCTCCTTTGTTTCAGGCCCACTTTAGCTCTGTGCTGTTCTGTAGGTCAAGTTGGCTTTTGTGTAGAGGTGTGTGAGTAAAAATGCATTCAAATCCAAAGCCCTGAAATCTGTTGATTGATGTGCTGATCTGTCATTGTGACTATATGGACTCCAGCTGTGTCTCTGGCCCTTTTAGACATTAGGTGACTGGACCCCCTTTCGCCCTTTGGACAATCTCTCTCTCTCTCTTCACCTCTGCCTCAAAATCTGTCCTTCACTTCCCTCTTGTACATGTTGCTTCCTTCTCAAACTAACTAAAGAAACTCTGGAATTTAAAGCAACAGACATCTCCCCGCACCGCTTGCATGTGCTTTGACACATAACACATGACAGCATGGATTAAAAAATCTAAAGACATTTATGGATGGCTTATTAAATCTACCAGGGTGCTAAAGATACTAAGGACTTTAGTATCTTTTCTAATGATTCCCACTGTCACTGTGAGGCCACTTTACTAGGTGCCTCCTGAACTCCACTTCCCATAATCCCTCTCGCTTGTAGCCTTCCCATGTCTGACCCTAGCTTCCTCTTGCACGGTCCCATCCTTTTTTGTAGGCAAAAAGAGGGAAATGTTTGAGCACCCTGTCTTCTGCTTGGCGTCTCAAGTGATGGATTTAACCATCCGTGAGTACCTCCATCTCCGCGTCCATGAACCTCCTCAACCTCAAAACTTTCTTTTACATTTTTTTACCTTCCAGCTCACCTCATATACCAACTTTCCTCTTTTCAAACTCTTGAGACATAAAGTATTTGTAAACATCCGCGTCTTTGTTTGTGAGAGTGAATGACTGGAGTGAAACTGTTCAAAAGCAGCACTAGTCAATCAGTGGACACGAGTGAGCATGTCTGTAAGCTTTTTGATTTTGTTTTGGGTTCCCATGTTACTTTGACTTGAATGCATTTTTACATTGCTTACATTGTGATCTCCCTCAGTCATTTGGTTCGGTTCATGTGTCAGTGGCGTGTTGTGCCCGGCAGGTAGGATGTACAGTATTTCTACAATGAAAACAATTTGACCACATAGAAAAGACAGCATAGGGGTTATTTTTGAAACCACTCAATGTCTCGTCTGATGCCGACAGCTTTCCGTTCGTCTCCTGTGTATTTGGATAAGTTTGAGCTTCTTTCTTTATGTTTGTGATCATCTTTTTTAATTTGACTTTTCACAGGCGCTGTTTTGATTGTATGTTGTTGTGTGACGTTTGTTGTTTGTTGCCTAGAAACCCCACTGTCCCCGGATCAGAGAGCGGCCCCAGCAGATCTCAGTGAATCCCCTGTAACCTGACAGAAAACCTTAGCTCATGCTATTGCTAAACCTCTCCTCTTTATCTTTTCTCTCCCTCCTGTCCGTCGCTGCAGTTGAGAAAGGGCAAAAGGATCAAAAGGATCCAGGTGAAGCCATGTTTAGTTTGTGGTTTAGCCCCAAACACACATTTATGCATTTAATCTACAGAATACATAGAGATTATCAGACATAACTGCTAGCAAACTCTTATATATGCATGCTTCAGATAAGATAAAGACTACACTAACCTATACACTACACATAGCCCGTTTGTCATTCTTCAAGTTTTTCTAACACAATATGTATGTAGTAAATTGTATTTATTTTTATTATTTCAAATGACCTGAGTAGATAAAATGCTATTGGCTATTGTCACAACAATAACAGGCCATACATACAACTGCATCGATCTTGATTATAAAGTACCATTACTTAGTATTTTTGTAATCTAAAACTTAAAGCAGCGCTATATAAATTTTTACCTTGGTATATGGAGTTATGTCATAAAATCTATGACATAGAGACAAACGTATTATTGTGAGACATGTTATGCACATCTTGATCAAATGTGAAGAATCAAGAGTATTTCAGTAGAAAAAAATATATTGATGTTATGTCCTACTTTGCTTTTGCAGCATAGTTATAAAAGTTACGTAGTGTTGCTTTAATCGTAGGAGAGCATACTAAACTAGGCTATTCAAGAATCATATACATTCTTAATCATAATAACAAATAATGTATTGTAGTGTGATTCATATCAATATTTTGAAATACACCCATTTGTATTGTAATTTATGGCTCAGAAGAATTACAAATAATCGCATAAATTCATAACTCAAATTATATGTGAAAAATGTAAAACTGTTACAACAAATGCTTTGCTATGTATGATGTATGACAGCTGTTATCAAAAATACCCAAGCTAACCAAAACATTCACAGGCCCTTTACAAAAATAATGGAAAGATTTGATGCCAGAGCAGTTACTGTTTCATGTAGAGTTATGTATATTTGTGCTTTTGATTTGAGATGTGTGTGGCCATCTGGTCTCATGTCCATGTCCAAATCACACATCTGCCATTTTGCAAAGCTTTACGATCTGGTAAATCATCTTCACGTTCAGCTGTGTCATAACACATTCTGTCAGCAAAAAGCTTTCATTTAGAGCTTGATTTGGCAACTAACTCACACAGAGGAAGAGGGAGAAATACTCAGTACTCACTGCACATACACTAGCTATTAGGACTTCTTAGAATTCTTCTACATAGGTTCAGAGGGTTCAGAGGTATTCAGTCTATATATATATATTTTTTTTTACTAAATTCATTATTATAGTGACTAAACACTAAACAAACCAAATATATTGTAGGCGCACTATGTAATTTTACTGGTTACCGCTACCTGCTTCATTGAAATAGAGATATTATGTTATATATGAGATATTATTGATTTGATTGTAATATTTCATCGTATTGCATTAAAACTGTATCTTGCATTTACTTCACTGCAAGTATTTTTAATCCTCAAAAATATTTTGGAACAGATCTCTCCAGTAACTTGTCTCCATCAAGCTAGATACATAAAATTTCAGGCACAGGCAAATCAATAATGTATACTTGAGAGAAGCCTGTGGCCCTAAACCAGAAAAGTTACATAATCCACCTCTAATGTTGAGTTTAATGAAAATACAAATTAATTAACATACAGAATATATGTTCATAATTACATTCACATTTGACATCATGCAGTTTATAGCTTACTTAGTGCACTACCATTTTCTGCATGTACTCTTTGCATCTTCATTTCAATGACACTATTTCTGTGCCTGCCCTCTTAGACCTATTCTATGTTACTACAGTATACTACTTTACTTGTATAACACTGGGGTTTGTCATAGCTAGACATCACAGTGTAGGTGCTGTGATGTTGTTATTAGTTAATTCAATCTGGAGTTAGAATAGTTAAACAAATCCCCCTGGAAATCCTTCTGTGTGCTTGACTAACTGCTCGTCCCTCACCCTCATCCTTTTGTCTCAGAGAATGCAGGCCGCTTAGTCACGCCTGCCAAAAAGCTGGAGGAAACTATTCGCCTGGCGGAGTTAGTCATAGAGGTCCTCCAGCAGAACCAGGAACACCACGCGGAGGTGAGTGAGCCCGCCCCCTCCCTGTCGACGCACCCCTCCCCTCTCTTCCCAACTCTTATCGCACTCTACCCAGTTAGCCTTATTATTACCATCAGCCTGTACTATAAATAAAGCTGCTTTCATCTACAGCTAACTTAGAAAAAAAATATTTAATTTAGGAGAGGCTGTAATTGGTGTGAAGCCGACCGTGCCAAAATGAGCCAATGTGTTTGTGCAAAGAATGTAAATTTGCTTCTGCATGAAAACACGTGTGCAGTTCTGTGCCCTGATTACAGCTCAGAGCTCAGGAGCGCCGTTATGTAAGCTGCTGAAAGCCCAGAGAGATGGCACTGTGTGTTTTTAAAGATACGAAGAAGTAAAAGTTCAGAGGGTTGTGTGGATGGAGAGGTGAGGGAAAGCGCAGGTTAATCCAATGCTAGACGATTAGCATAAGTGTAACCTGTTTATCATGTTTACTGGCAAACTACAAACCCAAGTCCATATACAGTGGGGCACTAGAAAATCAGCAAATTGCACATATTTTATTCATGATGTAACACATTAGGAGAAGCTATTTTTATTACCTGTGAAAAAAGATAGTTATCGGAGCAACACATCTCAAAGAATTTGCAAGAGGGCATCAAAGGACAGGTTCTATAATAAGAAAAAAGGATTTTACCTTTCTAGTGGAAGGTCCGTAGCCTGCTTGTGGAGATGTTATCACATTGTCTCGAATGTTCCATAGTATGACATTAATCTTGCCTCTCCTTGGATCTGTCAGATTTGTAACTTGACCTTCTATGGAGATACATATGTTTGATGCTATGAAACATTCCAGGCAAAGCAATAACATCGACACAGAATCAAGTTTGTCAAGGTCCCTCCACCAGAAAAGTTACAGAGTTTACCTATTAATTTTCTGATCTTATTTTTTGTTGTTACTTTCACTTGCTGCCTAATTGCCAGTATACTGAAAACATGCCTTATGTTTTTGTTGTATTATGAATACAATATTGGAACTGGGTTTGTACTCCCCCTCTGCTCCCCCTTGTCACCCCTGTAGGAGTAAGCGTAATGAGCATGTGCAGATTTAAGCTTCTCCAGTTTGCTCCTAGATAAAGCAGATTTATTCTATCTTTTTGAATATGCTTGACAGGCGGCAGTCACAAGTTCTGCAGATCAATCGGTACAGTATTTTTGTTTCTTTTTTCCTCTTCTGCCCGCATCACGACCCCTCCTGAATGGCATGTTGCGCCACTACTGCTAAAGGCCACCCTCTAGAGTTGAAATTGAATCCATAGACAGTGTTAGCTACGTAGAGTAATGGGCTGGGTGCTTGTGTAGGAGTAGGATGAGACAAACTTGAAGAAATTGAAAAGGCACTGTAGCTTGCACCAACATAATTGTGACCATAAAGCATGTCCATCAGGCCATAAAAACGGTTTCTCTTCAAGCATGCCAAGCCAAAATCTATTCTGACGTTTGCTCATGTGAACCAAAGTTATCCTCCATAAACATTTCTTCTCCCTCCTCCATCCTGACGATTAATTTCACAGTCCGCCCTTGTTCAAACATTACCTCCCCTGGCTTTTCCTCCATCAGTCTCTGCTGTCCAAGTTTACAATCCCTGTTCCGCGAACTGCCTCAAAAATACATATTTGTTTTGTACGTTTTCCTGTTGTTTTCACTGTCATATGATTGGTGACTATCCCAGCAGGGAAAAGAGGTATGTAGTGAAGTTGTCCCTCCCTAAATGCTCTGTGCATGTCCCATAGACGAAGTTATGATGTCATGCCCCTTCCCCAAGCATCAGTACTGCCCCCTACAGACTGCTCCCAATATGACACTATTGCCTTGATACAGCACTGTTGAGTGTTTATGGCTGAACACTGGGTTAGGATCCTGAATGTGTTTCCCCTATCAAAGGTTGAGGTGACCTTTGCCTCCTGCTGGTCCATTTTGACCCCCCCGTCATAGAACCACTCCCTAAATGTGATGGAGAAAAGAGCTTTGTTTGCTGCCTGTTTTTTAAATTTTATATTGTTTTAAGTATGTTTGTTTGTCTCGAGAAGGTAAGTAGAAAGGTAAGTAACAGTTTGTGATGGCTTGACACAAAAGTTAAAGGGCACATTTCAATAAATTAAAATACTGTGGAAAATAAAATGTTATTTCTGTGGTTCAGCCGAAATATGCAGATAAGAAAAAAAATAATTACAATTTCCTTTGAGTGCAAGTGTGCATTAACTCATAGTCATAGTGGGCAATGCAGAAACAAAATATAATTTGCTTTCAATTTTTTGTTTGTCGTTTTAATTCAAATCCAAAATTGTAATATTAAAACCTGCATTGAACTACTACATATGTAACTTTTCACAATATTCTTATTTATTGACTTGCCCAATAGATAAAATAAATAAAATGCAAGTATGCGCATGCGGCACCATTCAAAGAGATTACACTTGGATTATTGAACTTGGCAACATGAGTGATATGCACAGTAGCCAAACCGAGACTGCCTGCAAAGCACCTACTGTAGTTTAAAAGGTGAAGAAGCCTTGACTGTGCCAGGGTACAGTCAGCTGAATCTCAACACTACTTTGTTAATTGGAGCTGACACTCTATAGAAATGATGCTATGTGCTGCAGTCTCTGGTGTGCCTTATTAAACGTGCATGACTAACATTCACATCAGTGGGAGATGCAGAGTTTGGCAGCGATGTGAATGGTACAAGCCTTGTCTCTTAAAAGTCAGACAAAAGCATGGAGCATTTGCATGAGAGAAGCTATCTGAAACAGAACATACACACACTGTGATTCTCATATTACACATACAGCAGAACAGTGAGTTACCCATAATCCCCCTTGGGGTCCTGATCAATACGTGCTGTGGATTTCAGAGATACTCATGGGCAATGGGTCCGCCCGGACTGCTTTTTTCTTTGAAAGAAAACACTGACTACCATAGTTTCCCAGTATTTCTTTTTAGAATACTAGGGCTGTAATCGACAACAGAAATTATTGACCTGCCCTGTCCATTGATTAGTCCACTAAGAGGGTTGCATGGAATTAGCAAAATATCTCAAGGCTATCGCTGTGATTTGAATATACATTTTAACCGCAAGTGCACCCACAAGATAAGTACTGTCAAATTGCATATATTTGTATGTAAAATGGCAGAATAAATAAATTTACTCACAATTAATTCCCAAATCTCCAGATAGCTCACTCCATACCTTCTTGTCCATAAACCTCATTCTTAATCCCAATACGACTAATAAAAAAAATTGTTCAACAAAGAAAGACACTATTGACTGATTAATCATTTAAATGACTAAAGGACTAAAGGACCACAATCTCCACACACAGACATCTATTTACTAATATTTAGTGTTCTTGAAACTGCTCTTCCTTCTGATGCCCCTCACATGACTCACCTGTGCTCTCACCTGTTCCTGTATCCCTGTAGGCCTTTGCCTGGTGGACAGACCTGATGGTAGAACATGCAGAGAACTTCCTGGCCCTCTATGCCATTGACATGGATGCCGCTCTGGAGATCCAATCACCTGAGAGCTGGGACAGCTTTCCCCTCTTTCAGCTGCTCAACGACTACCTGCGAACAGACTGTGAGCCCCCTACTGGTCACTCAAACACACTGCATGAGCATAGTGAATCGCATTTCATTATAGCTTCTTAAAATAGAACTTTTACAGCATTTTTGGTTTAGCAATAGTTAATTACTTGAGCATTTCATTATTTCATGCAGTTTTTGTCTACTATTGATAATTTAAAAAACAGACTGAGAATGATGTATTTTTATATACATTTTTAAATTAAAACAAATATAGTTACTACAATCCTTGAGCACAGCATTTTTAAGATTAATAAGCTTTTCCCATTCGTAAACTCAAATGAATATACAAGCACTTAAAAGCAGTACTTTAAAACAGTACAACCTTGTTTGGAGCTCTGATCTCTGTAATGTTTACCATGTGTTTTGCCCTGTCCCTCCTTAGACCATCTGTGCAACGGAAAGTTCCACAAGCACCTGCAGGACCTGTACGCCCCCCTGGTGGTTAGATATGTGGATCTGATGGAGTCCTCCATCGCACAGTCTATTCACAAGGGCTTTGACCGCGAGTCCTGGGAGCCCGTCAAGTAAGGAGCCTGTAGTTTGTAGTTGAGCCGTAGACTGTCTGGAGACCTGGGCCTTTTGTTCTGCTATGACAGGCCCACTGCATGGAGGTGTGAGAAATAGAGCAGAGATCTTGATAACCTATTTTCTTCTTCAGCAATAAGAGGAAATAGGTTGTTTTGTTTTAAAATAGCTTTGACTAATGTGTATATTATACATTTTCCCGACACATTGGGGTCAGGCCAGTATTTCTGTTGTCTCTGTTGCGTTAACTAACCTTCATAATATGTGTTCTTTTGACATGTTGCCAGATACAAATGGCCTCCAGTGTCTTATGTTGAAATTATGATTTATTTGCTTTGCTTATTCGCTGTTTTCCTTTTGCATTTTCAATCACCAGTGTAATTGTTAGATTGATTAGGTGAGATGGCAGTTTGAAATACGTGTTTTGCGTTTGCTTACTACCTCATTGAATATTATATCTGTATTCATCTGTATTCAGCCTATCTGACTATGTACTTTTATGTATAATCTGTCCTTTGTCTCTCTTACTGTCTGCAACATCTTTCTTTGTTTAAGACTTTTCCTTTATAATGAATGTTTACATGGCTTTGTACCGCTCACACGCCACTGTTATGGATTCTTTATATTTTTCTTTTTGTCTGTCTTTTTCTGCAGGAGTTTAACAAGTAATCTGCCCAATGTGAACCTACCAAATGTGAACCTCCAAATTCCCAAAGTACCAAATCTGCCAGTGCCAGTAGCTGGACTATCAGTTAACCTTCCACAAATGCCTAGCTTTTCTACCCCGTCTTGGATGGCTGCTATATATGACTCTGAGTGTGTATTCACTACTAGTTCACTTGAGAAATAACTATCAGAGACTTGCCCTGGTATGAAGATGTTCCCAAAAATGCACACTGAACATTGAGATTGAGAAAATTGCAGAACATGTCTCAGCGCAGCATGTGTGGACCAATATATAGCACATGTCTTCATGCCAAGGACTCTCTGAGAGGTGCTATAGACTAGATGGGGTTTGGAAATGAGTGGCTGAATCGCACTCATTTGCCTCGACTTGCATGCTGTGCGGAGATACAGGCAAGCTAACATTTAGGGATTTCAATTCACTGCAGTTGTGTATCTCCTACGCTTAAATTCGAACGGCTATAGAGTCATTCTTTGACTTTCCTGATAGCGCTTTGATTGGAGTTGTTGGAAATGTTACAACTAGTGCCTCAATCCAACTTACCCAATCAGTGCTAGTCAGGATATCCTAAAGTGCATGGTTTAGCAATGTTTTCAAGTGACCCCACTACTTTGGAGACATGGGTAATGAGAGAGGGCTTGTAATATTATCAATCAATCTTAAAAAAGATATAAACTGAAAAACGCTACCATACAGTTCAGTCTTACATGCCCTCCCTCACTGCTCCATTCACTATTTCCCTTTTGTCTTGACACTCTGTGACTAGAGCTGCGGTGACTTACCTGCATGTGGCCACTTCACACCTCATAACAATAACCATACGACTCAGCATGGTTATTGTTCCACTCTGCCTGCTCCCAGTCACCCATACACTGACTGCCAACCAAAACATTGAATCAGTCAGTCAGTGTATGGCGGGAGTTATACCTAACACCACCTCCCCTCCCATGATCTTATTGCTTTTTATTAATGACATTTTCTGACATAATGTGTGTGTTGTTCCTGATAGTAACGGGTCTGGGACATCTGAGGACCTCTTCTGGAAGCTGGATGCCCTGCAGACTTTCATCAGAGACTTGCACTGGCCCGAGGAGGAATTCGCCAAGCACCTGGAGAGCCGCATTAAGCTCATGTCCAGCAACATGATCGAGAACTGCGTCAAGCGGTGAGTTACACCAGGACCAAGCCAAACAAAATAATCCAGCACAACAGTAACTATGCTCTGAGGCAGCAATGGCAAAGAGTGAATGCATATTTCATAGCTCAGTGGACATAAATATTTCACATTCATGTTGCAGCACCAGGATGGCCTTTGAGTCAAAGCTGGCAAAAAGCAGCAAGTCCACGGATTTCCGCATCTCTCCCACATTATGCACCATGTTCAATGTGATGGTGGATGCCAAGGACCAATCTGCCAAACTCTGTGCCATGGAGATGGGCCAGGAGGTACGGCAAACCCTATTGTTACACTAGTTCACATTTGAGCCTTGTATTGCTAATTTAACATTTCTCCAAAATACTTCATTTGAAAGCAGATGCTGCCTTTAATGCTATGCTGCTAAGTCATATAGTAATAATATACATTTGCATGTAATTTGTATGTGTTTATTTACATTTATATAATTGGAGAGAATTATAAAAAGTTGAATACACCTCTTGTAGTTTGATGTCTCTTCTGTATTATTATACTCTTTTAATCACTTATAAAGAGTAGCTGAAGGACATTTTTATATATTTTTTAAATTCACATATCCATTCAACAGTACCGTAAGCTGTGTTTTGCTTTTGCAGAAACAGTTCCACTCCCAAATTGACGAGCTGATTGAAGAAAGTGTGAAGGACATGATCCAGCTTCTAGTCGCCAAGGTGCGATTTTCCAGTTTTTGTTTATTTTCATTGTGCCCCTGATGCCCAAGACAAATTTCTCCATTTAGAGAAAACAAAGGCTTATCTTAACAAACATTATTCACTGTTGCACTTTTAGTGAATGGTTAAAGAAGAATGTTTTTTGGTTTCACTTACAGTTTGTGGCAATACTGGAGGGCGTCCTAGCTAAGATTTCCAGATATGACGAAGGGACACTCTTCTCCTCATTCCTCTCCTTTACGGTGATACTTCAGATTACAAAACAATCATCTCATTATGTCAGAATTATTTTGGTAAACCGCTATTGTTGTATGATTTCAGGTCAAAGCTGCCTCTAAATATGTGGAAGTACCTGTAAGTCTCCTGTTGGGCCAGGCCCAGTGTGGCACAGCATGGTGCTCTGGTCTAACCCTGTCTGTCTGTTTTATACATGAGCTGTAGAAGGCATTCTGTGATTTACCCTATTTTGTTTGGTCCACAGAAGCCCGGGATGGACGTGGCTGATGGCTACGTGACCTTTGTGCGCCACTCTCAGGATATGCTTCGTGATAAGGTCAATGAGGAGGTGTATATAGAAAGGTTATTTGATGTAAGTAGATGCCTTCTCCTCCTCACACAAAGGGGAGGGGCCATTCAAAATGTGGCAAAACAAACTGGGCAGAGAGGGATAAGTCCCATTTTGAGCAGGACATGTTTCTGTGAGCTCTACTTCCTCTTTCTCTGTCTGTCTCTCTCAGCTCTCAGCTGCTGCCCTCTGCATTACTGTTGTACATTGCCACTGTGCTTTTGGGCCTTTGTGTATTCAAAAAGTAATGACTTTTATTTACAAAGAGTCCATAAAAGCATCCTCAGAAAGGATTATCACAAGCAGTGCTTTCTGGAAAGAACAGAATAATTGTCCATAGAAGCTCTGATAGTGCACCACATATACCACACCACTCTGTGCTTTCACACGTGTATACAGAAAACATGGCAGCCTCCAGGAGAGTGACACTGTCCACAGTGTAGCACCCAGGCTATTTGTGCATCTCTTCTAAATGCTGGGGCCAAACACACTGCTGGACCCTCCTGATACAAACAGAGAGGCTGACATGTTGTATACCCTCTGTCATCACTGTGGTTCCCAACGAGTGCTGCTTCAGACTATGTTTCCCTTACAAACTCAAATGTAAGAACTGAGAACAGGCTCATGTCTTGACTTATTAATTACAATTAATTACTTTTTACTTAATTTTTTCAGGGGGTAAATAACTTTCTTTGTGTCCCCAAACTATGAAAACTACCCGGAATCCGATACAATACCATTTCCTACAAATATTTACTTACTCCAGTCAAACTGATTGTAGTAATTTACAGTTTTGACATTGTAATCATGGTACAGAGTCATTAAGAGAACAACACTAGAGTTAGCTCTAGTGAGATGAGGCTGGGAACCACCCAGACAGAGGGTCAAGAGAGCACTGTCTTCTCCCCCATAATCCTGTTGGATACATCCACATGAATGTGTCCTCCATGTGTGACACTGCACTTACTGCTGTGATGTTTGTGCCTCATGTTCATGAAAGACCTGCACAGATTCAGGTCTCCTTTGTCAGACCTGCTTCTGTGTGTCTGAAGATGCTGTGTTTGGTTGGATGTTTGTCTTCTGCACTGGGGTCAGACAGATTTCACTGTGTCCGAGTCAGGACTCTTGTCTATGGCGCTTACTGTATGTCTAGAAGGTCCACTCCTGTCATTTTGCTTCTCCCCAAAATACCTCGTCAGCACTGTCATGTAACTTCTGAGAAATAGTTGTCGATGTGTCAGGTTTAGACATGTTCAACAATCCGTTTGCTTCTAGGATTTCATTTGAAGCCATCACTCCATTTGCATGCCGACTAAATGTTGCACTCAATGTTGCATAAGACTCTTCCTGGTCTATCTTTCTTTCACTGGTTTGAATCTTCTTCTCGATTCTGTTCTTATTAACTCCATTCCTGCTGCCTCCTCTATTCAAAAAGTGGCACTTATCTCTAGTGTTGCGTTGCGTTGTTTTCTCACATTATGTTGGTTGGCATGAGTTTTAGAGTCAGATAATCTTCCTGTGTACATCTCTTAGCATGACCCTCCTCTTCAGAGCATTTTGTACATATTGAACATAGAGCAGTGTTTCCTGCCTGTGTGAGGATGCCATCCATTCAGACACCAGACTGCAGCTAAAGTGTCTCTGTTATTTGTGCTTCGTTTGTGCCATAACTACTTTGTGCTTATATCAGCACATTTACAGTAGAAAATTCTATTATAGATACAGAAAACCAAATTTGTCAATCAGAACCTTGCCCAGTTCCTAATTCGTGGTCTTGGTCAGCGAGACCAAACTCCAAATCAGAGGTGGGTATAGCAGCCACAGTTTGTACTCAAGTAAGAGTAATGCTATTTTAAATTATATTACTTAAGTAGAAATAAAAAAGTAGTGATCCAAATAATTACTAAAATAAGAGTAAAAAAGCATTTGAAAAAAATACTACTTAAATGCAGTTTGGTTGAAAAATGTAATTGCAGTGCAATTTATGAATTTAAGTAATTTGACAAAACATTCAATTAAGAGCAAAGATTCTAGACAAAAATGACAAAAAATAGAACAGAATAATTGAATGCTCACATAAAGCTTTTGTCACTATGCATTCACTCACAATGGGAGGAATAACCAAAACCTGATTGATTAGATACTTGAGGCAGTAAGAAGTAAGTGATGACATGAACTATCACAAATACCTGAGACACTCTTCCTGCAGTTGTGTGTTTGTTTGGTGGGCTCTTTCATGCAGGTGTTTCTCCTCTTCCTTCCGCACGTATTCTGCCTCCACCCACCTGCCAGGTCTGCATGCACTGCATGCTCAACTCGACTGTGAAGTGGACAGGCATCAACCAAGCTCTAAATAAAACAAGCATAAAAACTACAACACGAAAACCAAATGAACTTGAATAATACATTTGGGCCTGAATATCTTACTTGTATTCCTGCCTACTCACAAGTTAAAAGTTGACTTTTTCTCTGAGTATGATGACGTATGTTTCTTCTCCAAGACTTTTGATGGTGCTGTTCTCTTGTAACTTAATAATGGATTAGACAGTAACTTGACTTTTCAGCCTGGGGGAAACCCCCTACTATACTTTAACAGGACCAATACAAGAAAATAGCACCGCTGCTCCCTGCCTGCTAACATGCATTTACTCACTCATTCTATTTTTCATTTGCTGAACAACTTTTGTCAAATCTAGAGTATAATTTCTATCCCTGGTAGAGGTTTTCCATCTTTACCACACAGTTCCTATACATTATAAATATAAGGTCTAAGTTATTTTAGTAATGCGTGGTTTATGTAAGTTTTCACCAATCATCTTAGGTCTTAAGTAATCACAAGTTAAGACATACACTGTTCAAGCAGAACATTATGTTCAAAGTGAAGTGAATAGCACATTATCATGTCATTATTTTGGCACTGATCCAACAGATGAACTACTTTTTTAATACTGGTACTGTAATGTTTTGCGTGATCAGTGTATTTTAACTGTATGTTGGTTTCCCCCCTGACATTGAGATGTTGTATTTTTCCAAGTTGCTAAACCCCTCTTCTCTCTAGCTCTTTGCAGTACAGTAAAGATGTGTGTGCATGGGGAGTGTGCTAGTGTGCGTGTCTTTGTGCATGTTTAGAAAAGCGAACAGTGATATCTCAAACTCGAGAGAAGTTTGCAAACTCCCACAGGTGCAGTCCCAGTGCTACACTCTGATGTTTTATTTAGGCAGACAAGCTGAGCTGCACCAGGCAAGAGAGGCCTTTGTCAAATAATAATGTCATAATAAGAAGCAAACCTGGTCAACATCAGGCCTGTGGGTTTGGCTCCATTTTGAAGAAGTTCCTTTTACTCTAAAATATCTAAATGGTTTCAGATACATTCACAAAAATTTTCCAATCTATTCATGAATTTTGGTCATATGACTTCTTCCTTTTCTTAAAACTTTTTGGTCATTTAAAAGATAAAATCTGTTATATGGTAACTGCTAGAGTAATGTCTCATCTTTGAAATAAATAAAATCTGCATTATGAGACACTCTCACAAACAAAGCCAACTATTGGCTTTGAGTGATTAGGCCCAATAAGTGTTCACATTCCCGCTGTCTGAAACAAAATTAGTCTAGTAATTATTTTAAAATAAATGTTTGATTAAGGACTTTAATCAAATTAAAGCAATTGATGAGAAAATGCTCATTTTGGATGCAGACTGCTCACATTTTGGACATGATCTTACCACTATGCCATATGGTTTCTTTTTAATTCCTGATCCTGCTTCCCAAATCCTGTCAGGGTTCCTTTAGGCTTCCTGATTTCTCAAGCCCTAAACTAACCAACAAAATACCCTGTTCTCTCAGTGTGTATAGGCCCAAAGGCAGCAGCCTGTCTCCATGTCCTGTGTGTGAGTGAGTGTTTAGCTGGAGAGTGTCTGTTTATGTTGCAGCAATGGTACACTGCCACCATGAACCTCCTGGGCACCTGGCTGACCGAGCGCATGGACCAACAGCTGCACGTCTACCAACTCAAGATCCTGATCCGGATCACCAAGGTAACCATGAGGAACTGGGAGAGTGTACGAGGGAAATCAAGTCATTCTTTTGCTGCATTTAAATAAAAGTCATGCAAAACAACCATCCTGGATGTTTTTAACCCTGTGATAGGCCATGGTCTTTCAACCAGTAAGAAATATTTTTAAGCAAACAAGCATATACTATCCATACCTATGGATATGTGTGTGAATGATTAGAAAAAAGACCTTTGGTATAAATTGAAAGCCACAACTCATGTCAGTTAACCCCAGGGCAGCTATGACTTCATGTTACCTACTGCCTCAGAGTTTTGTGAGGGAATACATTGTACAATGCCCTACATAAACCAGTGCATTGTCAAAGGAAAATCAGCACATGATCAAAATGAGCCACAATGATCAAATGTGTAATTTTTATGTGCAGAAAAAGTACCGGGACTTCCGGCTGCAGGGCGTGCTGGACTCCACTCTGAACAGTAAGATGTACGACACAGTGCGTAACCGGCTCACAGTGGAGGAGGCATCTGCGTCAGTGCGGGAGGGGGGCATGCAGGGCATCTCCATGAAGGACAGCGATGAGGAGGATGAAGAGGACTAGACACAGCCCTGACCCCACCCTCAAACACCCCTCACTTTTGACTTTAGCCTGGTTACCGATGCATGTACCAACTCAGATAGCCACTCTAGGACCTCTTTGTCAGCTCGAAATGCCTATGAAGGAACTAATAACTATAAAAATAGTACTTATACTGAGGAAATAAAAATGTAAAAAATAATATGATTGGCAGTTTAGCTGTGTCATGATAAAGATAGCACCTATCTTTGATTCATTCATTTCTAAATTCATTTCTATGTGTTACTAAGCAATATGGAGAAACATTTGTTTGACAATGTTGAGTGAGATTAATAGGTGTGTCCCTGTCCAATGCAAACCTATATGGCGCTACTTTGTCGTATCTACATTCATTATGGTACATTGTCGTGAAGATGAGTGTGTGGACCCTTTTCTTTGTCTTGTCTGTTTTAAGTGAATGCCAACTGCTTCAAACTGAAAATAAAACCTCTGTATTTGTTGAAGGCTGTCGCAGATAAACTGTTGTCTACTGTTCAACATCAACAGTAAGTTTGTACCATGTGTCTGCACTCTGTGCTCATCTCCACCTCCAATTAGACACTGACTTGCAGTTCAATAGAGATGCAATATTCTCATAGCTCCATTTTGATAACAGGAGATTCTATTTTTATTTCAACATTAAAGGCCTTGGAGCAGGTTCTATTTTAATTGAGTTGCACTTTTACAGAGAAAAGAGCAAAATAATTTTTTTTATTGAAAAAAGTTGGTCTGTCTTTGTTCTGTAATTGTGTAGAATGAGATGTCTGGCATTTGTTTGGGTCTCACTGTTGTTTTGTATATATGATATAAATATATATAAATATAAAATGCTGTACATTGCATTCTGAGCCATCGCTGCATGCTTGTGGGTTCCTGCCCTCCCCAAATGCTTTGTTTTCTGTGTCAATTAGCTGGTCCATTCATTCTTGCTTTTGCCTTATGAAAAGCCAACAGTTGTAATATGCAAGAGCTGTGGCCTCTAAATAAAATTATTGTACATGTGTATCCTCTCATTTATGTTTGCTGCCACTAGGGGACGCCGGAACAACAGACAGGAGGCAGAAGAGAGCCACTGCATCGCCAATACCATGACGCATCCAAACCCTTTATTTCATGTACAGCAGTACAAGTAACCTCTCAAATAACACTAGCTCAGCATTATATGGCATTTACCATCCTCATATGAACAACTGTAATGTCTCCAATTGTAATGTCATAGAAACAGATATTAAGGAGAAAACATGTACATATTCATTACAAAATAGACTTTGAACCTGGCTCAAGTACTGGAAACCTGTGGAGTCATTTGGGTGGTTGATCTAAAAGAACTGTGGACAAGGTACATTCTGTTAAGGTCCACTTTACAAACAACTGCTTCGTATAAAAATAGAAACTAATAAAAGCAGAAATGTACAGGTAAAGCCACCGCACAGAGATATACAAGAATGCACAAAAGTCATACAAAGCAACCAATGTTTACTGCAAAGAAGTGGGAGTAACTGTGTGTGGATAAAATAAATTCAATACAAGGTGGACAATAACATAGTATAGGTGCCAAAGGAATGTTTAAGGTTAGTGTGGATACAGACTTTGAGTCTAAACATATTCAACAAAACCCATTGCACTCACGCTTCCAATATCTGCACTAATATTCTGAACCATGTTCGATTGTAGCTGATAAATAGACCACATAACCACATCTTTGGTTACAAATAAAGCATAAACCCGAGAAATAGCAGCAGTGCCTGTGCAAAGTGACCAGCCCCTCCTTGGCCAATCTGCTCAGCTCAAAATGGGTTTTTATAATCCAAAAACAAATTTAACTATGACTAAATTTCTAAAGTGTAAATAGGTGTGATTTTTGGCTAAAAATAAGCACCATCAATGAACACAGACAAGGCACTGAGCTGTTCCACCACAACTTCCAAACATATGGCACAGCAGTAAAAGAGCGGGAGATTTATAAAATCACACACACAAATAGACCTTATTTAGTCATTTTGTAAATATTGAAGATCCTCAAACAGCATCAGGGTGGCACATCCCAAACACAGACAAAACACAGTTTAGACAGCTGCTGTGTCTAAACTTGTTTAAAACAGTAGGTCTAGACTTCATGTCTTAGAAGCACAGAAGGGGCACATTTGAGTATTTGTATTATTGTGATGGCTCGGTGAGAACAGGCAGGTGATTTCTAGTTGATTCTAATGGCATCTTGTGTTGAATCTCGTAGACTGAGACGCAGAACTTTACACAGGCACTGCACCGTGTGAAAAGATGATTATTGACTGTTGAGGTTAGTAACTGGGGCAAATAAAACATAAAATAATTATAGATATATTTATAATGAGTTACAAAAGAGTCAGTGGAACAATTGATAAAACTACAAAGAAAAGATACACTGGCTGGATATAATAGATATTATATATATTACAAAACAATATAACAATATACATAAATCCCTGCAAAAGCAATAAATGTTCACATTATATGTAGAAACACATAAAATAAGCAATAATAATAAGTACAAGTTTTACAAGACAGCAGTGAGAGTTTTGGACAATATATCAATAAGATTAAGTGACCAATATTCTTCATGTGACAAAGGCGGAGTGGCTGTGACTGACTGCATGCGGCGGGCTGTAGTGCTGAAGTGTGGTTAGATTAAAATGGTCCTCCTGTGGTTCTCGTGGGTCTCTGGGTTTGTCACTTTGGGGTCATGAACCCAGATCCGTTGCCACGACGACTGTTTTTTAGGCAGTAACACTGATAGTATAGTGCAAACTGGACAAAGCGGCTTCATCCTCGGTCAATCAACTTAAAACAGGTGCAAACGCTCAGCAGGGTAACGCTTAAGACAAAGAATTAAAGGACGAAGAAAAAACATAAATATCAAAAAACTTCATCAGTATAAAAGTAATAAGGTTATTTGTTTTAATCAATAGTCTGGCAAAAAAGGCCTCCAAAAGTCGTTGTATTTTTTTGTACAAATTTAAGTGCGAGTGTCCTTAGACGAGGGACTCCATGCTTTCGGCAGGGTCAGACTCGTCGGCCATCACCACCAGTCCATTAGTGTCCATGTGCAGCGCGCTCAGACCACTCTCCCTGTGGCTCACCAGACTCAGCATGGCTTTGTATAGGTACTGGTACTGCTCCTGTGCACAGAAACAGTCATCATTATTCAGCAGTGGAGTCGCAGATCAATAAAGATACTGCTTTGGGTTGCTTGTTTGGGAAGTTCGTACAGAAAGAGCAAACAACTTCTGATGTAAATCTACTTGTTTTTGTGCTGCTGTACAGAATGAAATCTGCAGCTCAAGGCACGAAAACATCTAACGTCAAAACAGGGTTCAAAGTTAACATCACATGAAAATAGACAAATAGATTTTTATAATGAACAAACACTTCTTACAAGGTACGATTTCATGCAGCCTGTGTATTATTAAATTAATTAAATAAAAGTAATTTAAAAGTAAATATGTGTTCTGTACACACTGTGACAAGAATATTTATTAAGATAAGGATTAGAAGGATTACAATTTATTAAAAAAACATCACCATCTGTCATTTTTTTCTTTCAGTGGTTGTCAGTGGAGCAATGTATCTGATTCCTCTAGCATGCCATGATGATTTACTGATTGTTTTATAATTTTACAAGATTACATGACATAAATTTCAATAGATCAATAGATCATAATAATTATATAAATTCATGACATATTTAATTTGAATTTATGTGAACTGAATAAGTATAGTTAAATCAAAAATATTATTTAAAGAAAAACAAAATTCACATAATCTGAATTGTTATTAGTTATGCAAAAAGCCTTGAAAAGAACTACAGCATTTGAATTCCTGGTTGTGCATTGGAAAGCAGTGAAAGAGTGACTGCTTACTATATCAGTGAAGACGCCCGGTCTCATGAGGTTGATCATCTTTGCGACCTGATATATGTCCACCACACCCTCATTCTCCAGCTGCTGTGACAGAGTGGTGAGGGCACACAGCATCCCCGCAGACACAGCCCCATACCTGCAACATCACCACAAAAATCACATATATCCTGTGGGCCTTCTGGAGCCAAATGTGTAGCGAATTTCTTTTCATCCAGATTTAGGACTGGCATAAAGAGTTTATAAGAAGGGCTGGTAACATCTATTTTTAGTATATAATTTTTGGAGTATTACACAGCTGCTGATTTTCTTCTCAGGTGTGAGGGGAGGCAGGCAGAGATCGTTGCTAATTGCTACCGCTAAACCCTAGAGCGACTTCCACACAGATTGACTGTGGAGGCTACGTAGAGAAGAGGTGGAGAAGAAGGTTTCAGAGTTACGAAAATGTAGATGTTGCCATAGGAATTAATCATGAAAAAGAAATAATACAATACAGGCAAAGGTCCTCAAAATATCACCTAAAAACAGGAAGCCCAAAAGTGCAAATGTTATGAACGCATCTTCGGCATTTAGATATATATCGGTATTCACATTTTCAATTTTATATTATGATAGAAGATTTTGATTATATCTTATAAACTTCTTGGTTTACACAAAACTCTAAACCTACTACCAAAGACAAATGCTCAGATCATCTCTGGACATCAATGTAGTTGTTTTGCTGTCATAAAACATGTCAAAAGTTTAACCACTACAATAAAACACAGATTAGCATCTCAGTGTGCATGTGGTGTGTTGTAAATTACAGCAGAAAGCAGCCTGGTGCTTTAAATGGAGCACTAATTGTCAGGGCATCCCGTAATGAAGACAACATGCTGATGCTGCCACTAATCACTGAGCAGCACTGGGAGAAAGTACATTAACTAAAACTAGAGCTTGTGCATAATTACACACAGGCTAATACTGATTAGGCTAATGTTGATTTTAGTAACTGATAAAATACTGTATTTAAAACTTCATACCCATTTTATTCTACTGCAGCCATTCAATAAGACAGTTTGGAGTTGTAATGTAAATAGAATAGAATAGCAGAGTAATACATTACATTATTGATGATTGATCAAATACCACATAAGACTATGGTAAAGGCCGCCACACGCTACAGGAGATTTTGTCCGATTTTGGCAGCGATTTGCTTCTCCCCAAGTTTAAGGAGACATGACCCAACTTTGTGACTTTGTGTGGGATTTTGAAGCCGCTGTGCTCCTCATATGTGTGGTGTCAGTGTGACTATGAGCTGCTCCAAATATCAGCAACGCTATGGTAACAGCCAATAAAAAAAGCGCGTCCAAGGCAGAGGAGAGACGGACACAGAGGCGCAAGATACAAACTTGGGATATAACGGAAATAAGAAGACTTTATTCCTCACCTCTTGTAAAGATGTACATTCAACCTGCAGCATCTCATCCACATTATCCATAGAAATTGTTCTCCACAAATAATGCTATCCAGTCCACAAAACTGCGCTATTAATCCAGTTTGAGGTGTTTGAGGTGCAAAAGCAAATCCTCACGTGTCTGTTTACATCCATATAGTGCTCAGATCGAGATGAAGCTGCATATTAGCCATCGTGACTCTACTTCCTGTGTACTTTATGACCAACATTTTATGCTTTAAAAATCATGTATCTGAAGTATTGCACCACATTTCACAAATAAGTGCAGCGCTCTGATCTTTGGAACACTTAGAGAGTCTCAAAGCGAGTGGTTTTACTGTAGACAGGAAACAGCTGATGTGCTCACAACTTCATAGTCTGTGGTATACAGACAAACCTGCTGTGTCTCATAAGATTCTCCTTGTGTCTGTGGTATGCTTTTTTTGTCACACGTTTAAAAATTGTTCTCCTGTAGTGTGTGGCGGTCTTAATTATTGCAATATTAAACCTATAATCGCATTTAGTGGCTATCTGTATTTTTTCTTCACCCCAGATGTAAGTGATGTAGCAATTACGTATATGAGTAGACAAACAGAGATGTAAAAGAATGTATCATCAAAACAAAAATTAAAAAAGCATTGTGAAAAATGTGAAGACTTGATATTTTAGCATGAGAATCCTTTTACCTTCAATAGAATTTTTTATTTAATTTTATTTTTTGCATCACGACTCAAAATGCAGGCTAATAATAATTGATCTTACAGTGGCGTGTCCTACTGACTGAAGTAGAGAATGAGTGTGTTTGAATGCTCAGTAAATATCGAACTGTGAACCAGTGGGTCATGGACGTACTCATCGTGTACTATGGTGGGACCGTCCCGTGTCATGGCCTCCTCTTTGATGACACTGATGAGCTCAAATGTGCTGCTGAGCGGGGCGTCCGGGTTTGGCCATTTGGGGCACTGGAAATGTCTGACCTCCAACACATAATCATCCTGTAAAAGGTATGAAAAGCAGTTACCATATATAAACAGTCTGAGGAATTATGGAGGTTAAAGGTGCACTGTGTAACTTTTCTGCTTGTCTGTGTGAGATGTTGCTGCTTTACCTGGTGTGTTCTACAGTATTGCATAAAATGTATCCATCTTCCATTAATTTTATTAAAGGTGTTTTTATAGCTTAAAACACTTTAAAACATGAATGCCGCCTGCTTATGTCCACAGAGAGAGATTCAGAAAGTTTAATGCCATATTGTGGAACATTCCTGGCAAAGCAATTTCTCCATGGACAGAAGCTGGTGGTGGACCCTGAAAAGTTACTTAATGCACCTTTAAGTGGGTGGATAGTTTACCTGTGTGGCCTCCAGGATGAAGTCGTGGATGATGATCTGCTCCTCGTTGGACAGGCACAGTCTGTCTTTGCTGATCAGAGTGACAGTGAAGGCAATACAGTTCATGGCCTCCTCACGACTGGGCCAGTACACAAATTCATCCTCCGCCTGAAAGAATAAGTGCACTTGGTTTGTATTATAATGGATATAATATGGTAATGTGGAATAGTCTATGGAGTTGCACCCCTAAAATCTGATTTGCTTCTTTAACATGAGGACAAACACCAACTATATCATATGCACTGTATCAAATATAAACTAAAAAACAGCCTTTACACATATATTTATTTCATTTGCCACTGTTGAATGGATACATAAAAGCTGGTATTAAAAGGAAATTCACCAGATTTGTTTACATACCAGTCCTTGGTTGTCGGGCAGCATTACAATAATCTGAGCATTATGGTCCCAAATCATTCTCCAAAAGTCTGTAGTGGTGTGGGGCAAAGGATGCTGGGTAATTATGAACTCGTTACTCCTGTAATATCCCTGTGAGGTGAAAGGTCAGGGGTTAGTGACAGACAGGTAAGGGGGGCAACAGCATGTAATAGCAGGAAATAGCAGGGGCACAGTACCATTATGTAGGAGGCATTAATATAATCGGTTCCTTTCATTCCTGGCAGAGTGGTGAGTCCGACCCTGGCTCTCTCAGCTGTGGAGAGACGCACAGATTGAAAAAAGCTCATGCCGGCCTTCCTCGATATTGTTCGGCTGATAATGCACACATTCATTACTTCTCCTGCTGTTGCTATAGAAACAAGTATCTCATTTTCCCCCCCGACCAGGGTTAGTGCCGAGGACGCACGGAAAGATTAACTTATAGGATTATGGAAATGGTTTCTAATTTTGGAATGGTCCTTAAAGATTTAGACTGGAAAAAGGAAACGGACAAAGAATCAAGGTGGCATAAGAAAGCACTATTGTTAGAAAAATTAACTAATGCTTTAAATGATCAACTAATATACAATATTAAAGGGACAATTAAGAACACAAATATATAGAGATATACAGATCAAGCATAATATGTATCAGATAGAATACTTAATATATATCAAGTGCACTGGAGAAGCTTTGACCAAGTCTCTAACCATGACATTTTGACATACCTCAGACTCCCTAAAATGGTCACACTTTGTTTTTACTAGTTTTACATAAGCCTTACTTTGGCTCACTTTATTGCCAATATCTGTGACGTTAACAAAGTTTGAAATGTGGTATGTTGCTACAGACAAATATCATGATTATATTGATATCATTGACACAAATAACCTTAACGCAGGATAGTCCCAGTAAACCCTGTGTTAAGTGAGCCATATTGCAAAAAACTAGTCCAATGAAACACATTTATTTGACCATCTACTAGAGGTCAGATACTATGTAAAAATAAGTACAATTTCCCTATAATGCAAAAAAGTTACAGAATAAATATTGAGCCATTTCATTCACCATATATTGAAAGTCAATATAAATATTCTTTTGACATTTCTGCCAAATATGTCCCATGCAGTAAATGGGTGCAGTGATGATGACTCACATATTTACCTGTTTGTGGTCTCAACATTATTACCTTGTTTTTAATCATAACAACCCTAACAAACCTTTAAATTCTTTCAGTACAAGTTTTTCCGTAAATGACATAAAATACACAGGGTCAAGATTTATGATTGCAAGAGAGCTTTTTACATATTTATGAATATTGTCAGTGTGAGCATCCATAAACCATTTAAATTATCTTTTAACCTGAAAGGCCTTGTAACAGCATCCCTACAAAGCCCACTTGATTCTGTCTGAAAACCTCTGAGTTCACAGATAGCCGCAGTGTCTTTTACAGCCCTGAGCGTAGACCATGACCTTGTATGCTGAAACCCGCAGCCTACAGAGAGTGCTATGGTTAATATGAAGACACTCCACTCACAGGGAACCACGGAGGAGTTGCGGTTCTTCTCCTTGTTACAGTCTTTGTGTGCGCTGAAGCACTCCACGAAGCGCATGTTAGCCTGAGACAGCAGCTGCACAGAGCAAACAGAGGGAAAACACTTGGATGAGAACAGAGAAAATACTAGACACAGTTTGAATGTTCAGAGTTACAGATAGAGCAAATTAAAAATGTGCTATATTCATGCCTTGTGGTTAGAGGACTGAAACAAACAAAACAACAAATACCTTTACTTCAAATTAAGCTAAAAGGGGCACTTATTTACTTCACTGAATCATTTTAATTGTTTTGTCATTGTGGTCAAATTGCTATTCTCTGTTAAATGTTCACTATGTAACTGTTCTGGTAGAGGATACATCACCTGTTTGTCTGGAATGTCCCACAATAGGCCTTTAAACTCATCTATCAGTGGAGACAACTAAGTGGCACCACCAGATCAAATTACAGGTCAAATCTGTGGCGAGGAGATTACAGTAAAAATATGTTTTTGAGATGTTTTGACCAATTAAATGCCTGTAATAAATAAATGGTAAATAGTCATGTTAAATGCAGTGCAGTTTACCCAGTGCACCTTTAAGACAGACAATGAAGTAACATAAAATAAGATAATTATCAAGAGATAAATGGATGAAATGGCAATCAGCAGTAATGTTGTCAGCTTTTTGTCAGTCATTTATCACTGTGATTTATGGCATACTTAAACTGTAAACTATTAATGGTGTCTCAACACCTATTCAAAATCCATTTCCAATTGTTCTACTATATTATAAATGGACTGATGGTTTTTGTTTTTCTTGGCCAGGACTCATTTGAAAAAGAGTTTTTAATCTCAATGGGATTTTTCTGGTTAAATCAAAAATAATAACTAATATGTGACTTCAATGAATAACTACTACAATTTCATAAATGTTGTTATTCAGATTGTCAATCAATATAGTCCTTCATTCACGTGTGGTAAACCGGTATTTTGCATTGGTCAAATGGAAAGTATATGACATAAGACTATTATTATTATAAGAAATACACCTTTTGACTGCTGCATGCAAGGACAGTTATTTTTAGTTTTAATTTGTGTTTCAGATTTGACAAGATACTCAAAGTAGAAATGAGTTTTTTACAGTTAAGATGTGTGAGAGAGGAGGCAGATGTGCAGACGTGGAGCAGCCCGTGTAAATGTACTGCACACTGTGTTAACAAGGCTGTGCTCTGAAGGCTGCCTCTCCCTCTGTCAGCGGTGAAACAGTGGGCTCACACAAACCCACCTGCAGCACGGCGGAGCACTCACCCTGAACTGTTTGTCTAGTCGTGTGCGTCCGGACGAGTTGGGCGTCAGGATGCTGTTGACATAACTGTGGAGCTGACAGGCCGGCACCTCCGTCTCCCGGCACAAAATGGCCTCCATCAGAGCATCGTGGATAAAGACGTACTGCTCCTGAAGACAAAATATACACAGGATGAACATATTACATTTGATACTTGTGCAGGGGACAATACTTTCTTATAAATTATTATGTTTTTAACTATGCAGAGTAGGCATGGTACAATATTCAAATTAAGATTAACAATTATATCATGATAAATATTAAAGTTGCTGACAGTTATCCATATAATTATTATACATTTAACATTATGGATAAGTTCCATATTTAAACAACTGTTGAAACTGTTGAAAGTGAAAACAACAATGATCTAGAAGAAAGCAGCAAGGATAAGTAGCTTTTTTGAGCACAGGATAAAAATGGCGATTATCTTTTTGGCGATTATCACGATTATATAAAATGTCCCAGGAACAATTACTGTCTACCCTTTTTAATCATGATCAACTATATTATTGTTTATGCAAATTACATTATAAAAGCACCACACAAAATAAGGGATTGTGAGAGTTAGAAGGTAGTTAGATTTTAATACATACTTTCTCCTTTCACAGTTTGGAAATCAAGCATCCCAGCTATAACTCTGACTACAGTATTAACATCTTAAAATCTAGGCAATCTTCATCATCAATCAAAGTAACATTATTTGTTAAAAGGAACTTCATTTGCAGAAATATGTGCACTGCGCATACATGGACAAGGTCTTCCAAATTATCAAAACAACACATTTGATTTGTTGAAATGCCTCAGAAACTATTTAGTTAGACCAGAAAGACCTATTGAATTTAAAAGTTAAGTCAGAGTAATTTTCTACAATTTGACAGTTTGAACTTTTACAAACATGACAATATGAAAAACTACATTTATGACATTTTAGTCGTTGTACACTGAAGTCACATATTGATTGATTATTATTTTTGATTTAACCAGAAAAATCTCAGTGAGATTAAAAACTCTTTTTCAAATAAGTCCTGGCCAAGAGACAACAAAAACAATGAGTCCATTTATAATTTAGTAGATACAGGAGGGTATTAGAACAATTGGAAATGGATTTGGAATAGCTGCTGAGACACCATTAATAGTTTACAGTTTAAGTATGCCGTAAATCACACTGATAATTGATAGACAAAAAGCTGACAACATTACTGCTGATTGCCATTTCTTCAGTTTATCTCTTGATTTGCCAAACAGTTGAAATTGTGCTTGAGATTACAGTCTCCATTGTGTTGTTTAAGCACACACACTTCTCAGTTAAGTATGTGTTTGCTGTAAAACAGATTCTGCTGCAACACATTGAGTAATTATGGGCTGATTAAACTCCGAAACATCTGTGTATTGTAAATGAGAGAATGCAGCACTTGGCAATGACTTTTTAATGCTTAGTTTAAATCACATTTTGCTTACAGAAGTATCTGGCCTAATGAGGACACCCTCTGTCAGTGGAGTCAAAGCAATAATAGATGTGCTTATTCATCAATTATTTAGATTCACCAATAATAACAATAGCTTTATTATATGACGCACACTGGAGGAGCTAAGCCACAGAATTCACACTACCAAATTCTGGAGGGCAGACAATTATGCTCCTCCATTTGTACTGTAAAGTTTGTCTACATAAAATATGCATCAGCAAATCCTGTTAATCAGATGTAGTTTTGCAAGAATAATAAATGGTCGTTATAAAGTAGCCATCTGGACTGCACTCTTGCCTGTTTCTGCTTACAAATCCAAATCCAACAATGTAACTGATGTTGACTTTTACACACAGTTCAGACTTGAGTACCTCTTCCAATTAACAAGACATTTTACTGGTTTGTATGGGAGACACTTTTCTCTGACTGACACAGGGTAGACATGGCTAAACGATTGTGAGCGCTTTCCCCATTAGTAACAGAAGATTCAATAATATTAGTTCACATTTTGTCAGTAGTCAGACTAAAATTATGTTACCCTTTGCTGCTTTTCCCATTACTTGCATATTCATGATTTTGTAAAACTGCTCTTTATTCCCTGATATCTGGCATTAGTAATGACACTGATCTTTAGCTGCTGATGAAATAACTTACACTCAAGAAAAGTAAAGTTTTCCTGAGCATGTCTCAAGCCAAAATGTTTCTGTTTTACATTCCATTGCTGTTTGTTTGCCATGGAACTGGTGCAAGTGTGACCTTTAGCTGGGCTCAGAGCATTAAACGAAATAGCTTTCCAAAGCCCCACATCCATCTTTAATCACATATGACCTTTTCAGCATTAAGAGCAGTAATGTGCCCCCAGCCCGAGCCCCCCTCCCCCTTTAACACCCCGCTCCCGGCCCCCTTACCTCCGTTTGGACCAGGTAGTTGCGTTGTGTGCGGATATGTTTTAGGAAATCCAGGACGCTCACTGTGCTTTTGTCCTTGATCTGTTGCAGCATGCTGTCAATGACAATGTATGTTCCTGTACGACCAACCCCTGCACTGTAAAATGTATAGAAAAAAATGATAAGTACCAAGGTAAGCCTACAGGGGGAGCTGTTAACCATAAATTACAAATTAAAGGTATGCAATGAAACTTCTCAAGTGGAAGGTCTGCTATAATTTATGCCACACTGCAAAACACTTCAGGCAAAAGGAGATGACTGACCCTCCACCAGAAAAGTTACTTGGGGACTAAATAGTGTCCTCCAGCGGTACCTGCAGTGCACCAGGACAGGGCCCATGTCTGCAGCCCGAGCCGAAGACGAGCGCTGGATGAAGGTGAGGACAGGAAGCGTGTACTCAGGGACGCCCATATCAGGCCACTGGGTGTAGTGATACTGCACCACTGTCCTCTCGTTTTGACGGCCTTTGGGGTTCCCCTTCTGACCCTGGGGAAGATAAATATAGATATACATAAAGAACAATAAGAACAAGAGGTGATGAGAGAGAAGTGAAGGGCATTATGTACTCAGTGTTTGCTACAAGAACTCTTTGATTAAACTTTGTGTTAAATAAATAATCTGAGAAAGTGCTAAGGGAGTATGAGTAAGGTTGACAAAGAAATCAATACCCTCAAAGTAATACTGAAACTAGACACTGATTGGAACAAGTATTGATACAGAGAAAAGTTAACAAGACAGAATTTCACCTTTCCTGAATAGCTTTAGGAAGTGGAACTAGTACAAGATCACATAATACTACTGTTACTACTACTAAACTACTATTTGATGTTATTGATTACAGTCTATAATGTGGTACCAAAATCACTATTAAAACACAGTATAGTAATAGAAGCATAAAGGTAATAATTTGGTGAAAAAATATAATTCGAGGGATTTAATGTTTGGAAATTTTTAATATAGACATTTCAGTACTGAATTAACACAAATGTCCATTCACCCAAATTACTTTTCAAATGATTTAACAAATACATTGATAAAAATTAATATAGTTTTAGCCAATTGTACTAAACATTTTGTTATAAAAACTCTTAGAAATTCTATTTATTTAAAGTAACTATGTTGTTATCTAAAAACAAGACAGACATTTTGACATGAGAAAATCAATACAAAGGCTTTAACTGGAGCAGTGCAGCATTATTATAACACTCAAGTTTTGGGTTTCATAACAGTGGTGTACCTTTTTGACCTTTGTGTTCCGTATAAGGAAACGCCTCAGTGTGTAGCAGGCGTGGACTTTGGTGCTCTTCAGTGTCACTACTATGTTCCCATACTGCTCACTGTTCTCAGTCGGCCAGTACTGGTCACATTTTCGCTTTAGAATAAAAGATAAACCAGCATTAGAAAGTTAAGGCAGTAAAATACCCATTTTTGTAACATTTTATAACAACGACATCTTAATTAATCTAAATAAAGCATGAAGAAGATCTACTTCATGATAAACACTATAGTTTATCAAGAATGATTCAAGCTTAGTAACTACCTGATTAGTGAGGGTATTTATTAAGTACTTACTATGCCTGAATCATTCTTAATAAACTAATTAACAAGCTAAGTTAATTATGAATTAAGTCTTTCTTTGTGCTTTATTAAGCATACTTAAAGGTGTACTATGGAACTTTCTCACTTGGGATCCATCACCTGCTTGTTTCTATGGATATGTCATTGCTCTGCCTGGAATGTTTCACAGTATGATGTTAAACAGCTCTACCTCACATTTATTCAGTTTACAGGTGGTTTTAAAGCTCAAATATACCTAGAAAAACAGGCATTCTGACTGTGAGCAGGTTGCCTCTTTACAGATCTGACATGTAACTTCGTTTGGTCAATCCAGACAAAGCAGTAACAAGTCCAAAGAAAAAAGTATGTGATGGCCCCTCCACAAGAAAAGTTACACAATCCACCTTTAATGTGTAGTTATTATAAAGTGTTACCAATAATTTTATTAGAGAAGCAAAAATGAACTTACCCGTCCTTTTTCCACTAGGTTGGTGATCATAACTATAATGCATGTATTCTGCTCCCAAACCATCCTCCAAAAGTCTTCAAATGTTGACTTGAGAGGACCTTGAGCTGCAATGTAAGCTCTGGGCTGGTTGTAGCCCTGAAACAAAACAAAAAAAAAGAGATTCTCAAAAAATATGTATGATCAATAACTCACAAACCAAAACAAGCAGTGCATTTCCAAATAAGATTTTGAACTTTGGTAGCTTTCAAAACAGCCAAAAGACATGTCCAATAAAATAAAATAACAAGGAAGCAGCGCGTGAAAGAGAAACAAATTCATTTCAAACTAAACACTGCACTGGGTCAAGCACTTTACAGTACTTACATCCACATAGTTGGCGTTAATATAATCTGAATGTTTGGCATCTTTTCCGGCTAGAGCTCGCAGTTTCACTCTGCTGTGGTCATCTGGGAAAAGTTGTAACAGTAGTAGTGAGTAAAAACAACTGAAGTATATGTTTTATAAAAGTAATAAGTTGATTTTTGCTGAAATAAACTGCATTTTCCAGTGGACTCACAAGCTACAATGTTGATGTATCTGTTTTTGTGCTTGTTGTCGGGATGATTGGAGTGCTCCGCTGTTATTTTCAGGTCGGCTGTGCAGCGCTGTACCTCCTGGAGAGACCAAAACACACATATTAGGAGGCTTTTATTACAGTTAACTATGAATCAAATGCACCAATATGAGCCAGGCAGTGCACAGCAGATATCTATTACTATTACAAATAAGCAGAGTATACATTTCCTTATTGGCTTAGATTTAACACTTCAGTCAAGGACACTTGAGTAAAGCAGATGCTTGGTGACACTGAGATTTGAAGTTTTGAACTATAGTGCCCAGTTCCGTTCAACTAAAACAACTCTACAAACACATCAACAGCATTTTTATGGGAGGTGTGGGCATGTGCTGTTTTGCATCAAATGACCCCAATTAGCAGGCCTCCTCTGGGGACCAGCCTTCCGCCCTTGTTTCTTAACCTGGTGGAACAGCGAGTGTGTTTTCATCCACAAACACAGCAGACAGCACAGCTCTAATTAACCCCAGTCTCTCTTGATCTCTCTCCGTGTCGTTCTTGCGCCATATGTTCACCATCAGAAAATGTTCTCACACTAAATCGGATCTCCAAGTGTAGGGCTCCAAACCAGGGCAAGTATGTGCCGTTCATATGATGCAGACAACTAGGGTAAAGCACAAGGCTGTGATGTTTTCAAACTGTAAATGTGTAATGGCAGCAGCTACTCCTGGTTTAATGACTATCAATTGCAGCCCATTTATTTTTTAAACCAGAGCTCAATGCTGTAATGTGCACTATGGAGAGGCACAGAGGCTGTGCCTGCGTAGAATGAAAATGTGATGTGATGGCTTTTAACAGTTTTGTATACATGCCATGTAATCTCTGAGATACAAGGCCACACATAACTGACGAACTACATAATTAAGTAACACTACTACATGTTCACTATATTAGTTATATAAACAAAATGAATATTCAAACATTTGAGGTAAAAACACAAATGAATGTAAATGTGAGCATTTTGACTGATCTTTTAATGTTAATAAATGAAGCAATATAACAAAATGCATGTTGCATTGACTTTAGGTATGACTAAGCTACATTTCAAAAACAATTCCTTATCACTACCACAGTCTAAAGCATTTACAATATATGCTTAAAACTTGATATCAATGTCATAAATGTTATATCGTTTGGATAATAGTAATTTATACCATTATAGGAGGTAGCAAGGGGTTATAGCAAAGTTTGGTACATTCTTATCTCCTCTTGTGTTTACTATAGAAATGCATTTGATAAAGGTGTACTTTCTTCCCCGATGAGTGACCATTGAACCATGTGTCTGTCAGATCGCAGCCATCAATCAGCCTTGTGCCAAAGACAGTGTCATGATATAGCCTGGATTTACCTCAAACTCCTCGGAGAAGCCTTGCAGGTTGTTCTTGTACAACTCCATCACGTGTTTAACAAACTGCTTCACAGGGACGGCCTCCATGTCATCTGCAGCACAATACATACAGTTAGCACGCTGCAGTGATCAGGGCTCATGCTTAAAGCCTGCAAGCTATGTATTTTTCTTGTTGTTTGCGTGCGTGACCATGTCTTTTGGCGACACATAAGAGTCTGATGCCATAAATCATTTTTCGATTCTTATGCAACCAGCCAGCAAATGTAAAGCACGGTTTGTTAACCCCTAATCAGACGCCCGCAGTGACTTGAAATGAAACACAGAAAAGGGAAAGAAAAGAAATGCTGTTATTTGAATTCAGAAAGTGCTAGTTCCCAAATGCAACAAGCTTACCTTGCAAAAATGTGACTCTATGTAAAATTTTAAATAAAAACTAAAATAAATGCTTCTCATATGCATGTGTGAATGTATATCCACTTTGCTACAATTTTGTTTATTGACAACTTGTCGTCTAGTTGTCAACAATATTGGCAAGTAATTGTTAGGGGTCAATAAATGATCATTGTTGGGTCCATAGGCTCTATTCACACTTGCGTCACAAACCAAGAAGATGTTAGGAAAGATGCAATTACAACTTCTCAAGTCAAGTTTTCTTCTTCTACATGTCATTGTAGCATTCCGTTATGTATGGCTAATCAACAATTATAACCATACCTCAGTTTTCATCATTGGGGATCATCATCCCCACTGAGACATAACTCCGAGCGAACTGGGTACATGTGATTAGAAGAGATGAGGGCGCCAAATTCACGATTATTCCAAAAAGCACATACGTATGCAGTTCTCATTTTACCACTGATCACATTTACTTTAATGGGATTCATCACTGTCGGTTTTAATAGATCCATGTTAGGCGAGCCCACTGTCGGCAACTACACCGGAAGTTGTAACTGCATCTTTCCCAACGCTCACATTAAAAGCTAAGAAGCCTCTGATAGCGCAGTGCTTACAGTTAGCATCAAACCCCAGGGAATGTTGATGGCATTAGCTGCAAAGTGTCAGTATTTATCGTACACACTGTTTTGCATTAGCAGTGATTTTCTTTTACTGGTATGTTTTTTGGGGGGAGATTAACATTTGAGCTGTATACATTTGTTTATTTCAATGATCAACACACTTTTACATATCGCACAGGCCAATGTAAAATTTCTGTAAGGGAAAAACCTTAATGTTTGTAATGTTTTTTTAAGCATTCACAGCAGGAAGCATGTGTGCCATTTAAGCAAATATGGGCTTCATGGCACAAAAGAGCATGTTTGATCAGTCTGGTCACCATTATTCTAGCTCAATAATGTGGAGGACCCAGGTGCCACTCCAAGCCAATGTTTAAAGTAATACGTCCACGCAGCTGGGCCCTGGAGGACTCCTATTTGCCTCAGCGGTTTCAACAGAAAAGGTGACATTGTGGTCATAAATCTGTTCATTTATCAAAACGTCTCAGCTCTATTAGAATAAAGGGCCTTAGGAGTGCGATGAGTTCACAGAATCGCAAAGGGTGAAATTTAGCGTCAGGACCAAGATATTAAGATGAACTAGGCTTCATTAGTCAGCTAAATGCTTAACAATATATAAAACTACTACACTACGTTCTTCACACATCAAAGGATCAATATTTCACTTTATCCTGTCATTGACTTTTCAAAAATCTATCATGAATAATGCAAACATGAGTTGTAAAAGACACTCTCGAATACATTTTACACATCAACATTTTCCTGCCCTGGCTTAGCCACTGGAGAAACTGTGTGGTTAAGATAGCGTGAGCCTTGTTGGACTAAAAACATGTGAGGGAGAAGAAAAGAAGACAGATAATAAAAGGTATGGATGTGGAATCGATACAGGCATCATCACCGCTCTGATATTACAGAGCAGAGACGTCCCTGAGCTGGGGAGAGTAAAGCTTCATATCGACGTGCTGCCTACACTTGCCTTTCACAACACTAAAGCCCATACAAGACACTTGCTACTTCTACAAAGAGCTATTCTGCATTGAAGTGGGAAAGAACTGCAGTTAAATATATTTCAATTTAAGTCTAACTTAAGTTCACATTACACACCATACAACAATCTAATGCAAATATAATGTAGGATCATTTCTCACACAAAACTCAAGGCTAAAGAATTTATACCTATTTTATGAGATATAGATGATAAACTATTTCATTTTACTAACAAGACAAAATGGATATTCAAAATCATAGGCTAAATAAATACATACATAATCATCTCTTTCATTTTAGGATCAATATAATGTTCTACAATACATGTTTCATATTGAAAACAGACTCCTTCCGGTATTCTAATACCTAGTTTCTTGTTACTGCAACAGCAGAAAACAAAGTTGCTGTTTCCAAAGACATTTTATTGCATTTTTTCATTGCAATTGCAATTGCAATGAAAAAAATAATAATATAATAATAATAAAAAATACGTAAGATCCACAGTACAGCTTCACTCTGTATTAAATGTACGTTTACTTCTCTTACTATTTTACGTAGCATTATAGGTCATGTAATTGCACAACAATAGAACTTTTACATCACATTAAATATATTTCATTATATTAGTGACCCTTGAACATAATTATATCAATAATAATAACAAAATTCAGCTTGTATAAATATATTTATGAGAAATGACATTTGTTTTTGTCATGTTGAAAGTCCAAGTCTAAAGTCTATAATTGATAAAACAGTACTATATATAATCCATTACTGAAGAGCAGTGTAGAAGCTGCCTTACCTGGGATTGGGATGACAGGTATGTTCTCATTGGCCACCACCCGTGGAGAGCTGCTCTCCTCCACATAAAAGTGAGCAGTCTGGAAAAACCTCCTGTATGGACACAGAGAGGCACAGTGAAACTCACACCACAGCTACACATCAAGCCACAGCTAAGTCTATTAGGGAGTCGTTATCCCATTGTTCTCAGATCCGGTCTGTCAACATGAGCGGCTGAATGCTGCGTACAATGACATGGGAACAGGAGCAAACTGCTAATGAAAAGTCCCAGTACGCGGGACACAGCTGATTGCTCGCAGATAGGGCTGTTGTCGATGAGGAGATAGAGGGAATGCTTTCTGAGCTGCTACAGGGACCAGGTAAACAACATCTGTAGCTACACAACACTGCTGCTGCTAAAATTAGCTTTTCTCAAACTAATCCAAACACAATCTCTCCAGAGGGCATCAATAACCCACTAAGACGATGGCTTTCTGATCCATAAGGAAAAGGAACACATTCAGCTGGACATTTCTTACAGACTGCCTGCTGATGCTCACAGAGTAGATTTAGAAAAGTTAAAAAAGTATAAAGTTTGAGATGAAAGTTCACAATGTGAACCCAACTTCAGGCAAGAAATACTACTTTCTCTTCTATAGTGGGATTTGCCGCATGAAGAGCAAAGGCTCAAGGAAATTTCCGCAAGAGCAGAGTTCACAGACCACTCAAGCATTAAAATAAGTGAACCCATTTTGACCAATAATATGAGAAAGTCAATTTTCACAGTAGAATATACATGCCGACAAATACATTTGAATAGCAGAATCCTGATAAGCTGATCTTATCCTACCTGTACTTGACGCAGAGCATGGAGCAGATATTGGTCATTCTTTAGGACAAACAGCACAGAAGGATGGACAGGATATAGAGGTAGAAAGAGGAGAAAAGGAGGAGGGGATCACAGACGTTTGCATCACTAGCCCATGCTCTAATGGCTCCCTGTGGGCGCACATGTGCTGGAGCTAACTAGCTGCTCGCGCTACACCAGCTCCTTAGAGGGCAGAGGTGCAACGTGCGCGATGGAAACTGCAGATATGTCTCACTTTGTATGCTGATAGAGACCAGAGTTCATGTCAGGCGAAGCAAAGTATGAAACAACCTTAAGGTCCACTTCAGATTTAGTTCTATTACACAGCAGCATCAGTGAAAAAGTGTGGAGAAAAGCTGCAGTTTAATGGCTGCACTGTCACTAAGAAAGGCTTTCAGAGCATTGAGTGTGTGAACGAGTTATTTCATCCTCAATCATGCGCTGGTCCCTGGGGGAAGTATGCAGTGTCTGAACTGTCTGGACTGTCACAACAACAGCTGTGATGGCCATGTCTAATATCCCAGCAGCCCCTGCTCTTAGCACCACTACAGTCTATTACACCAGCTTATTCTGTAAATTTACTACATTAACCATAGTTTATGCTTGAATAAATGCATTTTTCCCAATTATTCTAATTATTATAATTTCATAAATCTTAGAATGCATTAGTTACATAAACAGCAGTTTTCTACAAACATGAGACCAGCAGAGGAAATGGTCCATAGTACTATTTGTAACTCATTAACTATCTCAAGCGTGCCAGTGGCTTGGCCTGTGTAATTACTGGGCGTCCAATGGTAGGCCTGGAAAGCAGCCCAGCAGATGAAGACACAGCTGGGACTGTGCTGCCAGTGGAGAGCCTTCAGGACTCCAGTGAGAACTGAGGTGGATGATAGCTTCATGTGCACTGTGCAAGTCAGACTAGCCAAGAAAACACCAGCATCAACAGAAAACGACAAATAATGTAATGAGATGAGATAAGTGTGACAAGCTCAACCCAGGCAGGTGGAGATGTGTGAAAACTAGAAACTAGAAAATCCAGTAATTCAGCCAGCCGTAACGGTTTTGTTATCAACATAATGTATGGATAAAGACAGCCCTGTCACTGATACCACTGTTAGCTGTAATGAGAACAGGGCCTGGAGGGTCAGTGTCTGGGACTAATGCCAGTTTAAGGTCCCTCAGGTTTTGCTGTAAACAAATCTCTTCAATATGTAAGACTTTCATACACTTACCTCCAATAGACCATCACAATTAGCAGCATTATGAGGCAGAGCAGTGTAAGGGCAGACACCACCACTAGAGGCACTATCCACACCATCCGCCCCATTCCGGGTTGGGGGATCCGGGTCACATTTGATAAACTTGTCCTGTCTAACAGATAAATGATATATTCAGTTTACATTGTTGGTCCAGTGCTCCGTTTAGACAAAGCATAAAAATACATGTGGTTTGTCAAAGTGAATAATTGGACAAATTCAGTAAACAAAAAAACAAACAAACCAAAAAAAAAAATGCAGTGATAAATTTCACTGAATACACTGGGTACAACAGTAGCAGGGTGTAAATTCCTGTATGAATGCATGTATGAAATAACCAACGTTTTAAAAGGCAATAAATGAGTCTGAATGACAGCTAATGACTTGTGTAAGGAGTTCTCCTTGAAGCGAACTCTAAAACACAGTGTAGACTCAGAGCTATTCCTTGCGGCACAGTGCCTCTGGCACAGCTTAGATTTGCCTGCAGGCCTCAGCGTTGTAGTGACAAAAGCCTGGAGCAGTGTCTTTGACTGGGAGGGAACAGTGAAGTCATGCTCTTAAATGGAGTTATTAGCTGTGCCATGTTGGGCTGTGTGTTTCTGTCAATAAAAGTAGGGGGACACATGCATCAGTGTTTGTGCTCTTACCAGTGTGGACTGAAAAGGGCCAGTCATTATTGAGCTTTGGTGCCACAGTGGAGCTCTGTGGAATCTGCATCTCTCCACTGTCACTGTGCGTCACCAGATTGGGCTCTGTGTGAGTGTCTGTAGGAAACAGCTTCAGCCCTGCTGTGCTGTCCTGTACTGTGGTAGAGTGCTCCTTCGTGGGTCCCGGTCCTTTCTGTTTGGCGGTGGGTGCTGGGGTGGGTGCAGCTGGCACCAGTGCCACTGTGCTGTTATCTTGTCTCTCCTCATTAGTGGGCACAGGTTTAGGCTTTTTCTTCTTTTCCTCTTCCTCCTTTTCCTCCTGCTCACCTTCTTTCTCCCCCTCCTCATCCTCCTCTTGGTCACCCTCCTTCTGGCGCTCCTCAGTGGGAGCTTCAGTGTCTGGGGGCGATGCCTGCGTTGGGCCTTGCTCTGTGCTGGACGGGGCAGTAGGGGGGGCAGTGGAGGCGCGGGGATTTTGGGTGCCATGGGGAGCGTGGGTGGGCCAGGCTGAACTGGGCAGAGAGGAGATGACCCCTCCGCCCACTCCCAAACCTGCCAGAAGGGTGCTCGTCACCACCGATGCCACTGTGGCCTGAGAGCCGCTGGAGGAGGGGCCCATTCCTGTTGCCATGGAGACAATAGAGAAATGGATGCCAGAGGAAGTCCATGTGGAGGAGCCTGAACTTATAGGAGCCATGTCTGCGGAAGAGGCCGGAGACAGAGTGGGCTGTGGGCAAGGGAGGAAAACATGTAAGGTAATGCAGCACTCAACTATTATACAATACCACACATAAACATATAACATAAGTATTTTATGTCCACTTTAAAGTCCACTAACAGACAAAACACAATTTTAGGCTCACCAAATAATAATAATAATAATAATAATAATAATAATAATAAATAATTTCAGTTTCAAGATAAAATGGAATAATCTCAAGGATCAAATAAACACACAAATATGATGAACAAGATATTGTTTATATAGTGCATCTCACTGATACTGAAGTAAAGTGCTTAACTAACATAACATTCCCTTTGAACTGCCCTCAACTGGCCGACTCACCATTCCAGTCTTCACAATGCGAGAGCCTTCAAAGATTCTTGTTGTGTTGGCTGTAAAACAGATTATTGCTTAATGTTATTCAAGGACAAAATGTGCAGCAATGAAGTCAAGTGAATTATAATTAACAGTTCCACAGAGATGTAATATGGCTTTAGAGATAATTAATGTCAAAGTAAAAGAAGTATCTATTGTTCTTGTTAATGAGGGAAAAGCCAAACCAGATGAGGACACAGAGTGCATTAAGTTTGTATGTTTGGCCAAGACCTTAAATACTTAATAAAACATTAAAGGTCCGATATTATGCAAAATAGACTCTTGTGATTTTAAGCTATTTTATACTCATGTTTTCAGTTTGAGAGAAGACCTCACATTCAATATGCAGGGATTGCGTGTTAAGTATGTGTGAATGAGACAAAACACAACTCTAGGTACGTTTTTGATATCTAGAGTATAACATAGACATAAAACAGTGTAATATGGGCCCTTTAACAACCAAAACATACTGTCTATACAAGAAGAGGAAGAGGAAGGTACTTTGAATGAGCTGCAAATTCACTTTAGCAATTTGTTCAACCACACTAAGACACTAGAAATATTGAGTTTATTTAGCACTTATTTAACACATTGTACCATTAAAGGACAGACACAAAAGGTGCACCATTCCGTTTGTTTATATGGTTGCTTACACAAAATGAGCAAGCCCCATGTGTGGTGACCTTGACTCCTTCTTGAGCAAATCTGATTGAATATTCAGTGATTTAACAGTTGTGGAAAATTTTAATTTCAAGCAGAATTTAGAGAAGACACAAAAATCCATATCTTGGCTGGCAGTGGAATGAATAATAAGATAGAAAACTGATAATGCCAGATGGTGTGTCATTTTAAGGGTATATTATAAGGCTGTATGTGGTTTATCCTATAGCTTTATACATTAAGTAGCTCCTCTAAAAATAGCAGATTGAGGGTAAGCCTGTTTACCTCTGAAGAGCAGCGTCTGGCTGAAGTCACTGCGCAGGTCGTGCTGACATACTGCCTGAACTCTGAACAAGTACAAGACATCAGGGGACACGTTGGTGATGACCGCTTGCTAGAAGAAATAAAAATAAATACAGAAATAGATCAGTAAACTAATTATTTTTTGGAAGAAATACCCATTTAGAAAAACCCAGCTTTGTCAATTCTTCACCATTTCTGTATAGTTGCATTAATGAGAAGTGCAAGTGTATGTCAGATCAATAGCCAAAACATTGCACACATAAGCGGAGGATGTGCTTTGTGTATATACTGTAGAAGAGATAGCACACAGTCCTGGACAAATGCGCAATGAAAGGCTCCCACTATTTCTCCCTCTCTTATATCTTAGTATTTAAAATAGTAATAGAGCAGTTAGTTGACAGTTATTGTTACATTTCTCTGGGGGGACGTAGCCGTTCCGGAAAAAAAGTGTCTTTTACTGTGAGAGAATTCATTTACTTTTTGGTCATAAAACTTTGATAAAAAGGCATATAACAGCTTTATGGACTGCTTCGCAAAGAAACAGTCTGTTCCTGTCACCTCCTGTGTCTTCTGTATCTTTACAATGTCACATAAAGAAAGGCAGTTGAATAGATGTAGCCTGCGCCCACTGCACTGGGTTTGGAGGAGGGAGGGGAATTGATAAATCACATTAGAGTTGGATGCAGTTCCTCTATTCCACCAGTAGAAGGCGGTAGCAGCTGCCCATGGCCCCTGTCAACAACTATGATGGGACTCAATAAAACGCATGAACGGGCCACATGCACTGCCACTAGGAACATGATATGCAGCAAAGAGAGACTGTTATACCCCAGTGTGACTTTTTTATCTAAAGAAGCGGTCAAGCACATAGCCAGGACAAGTTGGGGTCAGCGGGCTTTCGGCTGGCGCACAGATGGGGCCCTAGATTCCCACAAGCGGAGGAAAAATATATATATATGGAGAGAAAGTGTATCCAAGGCAGAGGATGGTGGTGAGAGCAGAGGTGTTGTAGCTGTAGCTTCCTAGAGGGGAGGATATATTTCTGAGGCGATCAATGTTGTATTCAGCGTGTAAGAGCGGACAGGCACTATCCAATGATCGCGGGTGTCAGAAAGTGCACAGAGATCTGAGGAACTAACATCCAGCTCCGGCTTCCTGCAGCGATCAGCTAAAAGACAGTGAATGTTCAAAAGGATTCTTCAGGCAACGATGAATCCTTTAATGATTAAGGAGTTTTCAGCTGATATGAGAATAGAAATGTGGCTTCGTGTCAACCAGAGTGACCTTACAATATGCAGACTTTGATGGAAATATGATTGAACTAATTGAACGCATCTGTTTTTGTATTAAAATGAAAGTTGTGACAAAGCTTAAAAGTTGCATTGTGTAACTTTTCTGGTACAGAGTCCACCACCTGCTTTTCTCCATGAAGATGTTTTGTCTGGAATGTTTCATAGTATGGCATTAAACCTTTCTATCATCATGGAGACCATACCAGACCAAGATACAGGTCAAATCTGTAACACAGCCCCCACCCCCACAGTCAGAATACCTGCTTTTCTTGATATTTTTGAGCAATAAAACAATATGTAATAAAATAAATGTAAGGTAGATCTGTTTAATGTCATACTGTGGAACATTCTAAGCAGAGAAATGACATTTCATAGAAACAAAAAGGTGACCGACCCACTACCATTACGCAGTGCACCTTTAAACAAAAATCTCAATATGATATTAAAAATTATAATTGTGTAAAAAGGCTGATCAATAATAAGTGTCAACTGTCTATCTAATCTATATGAATCTATTTTGTAATCTATTTTACGAGCACGTTACAGAGAAAATGTGGCTATAGCTGTTAGGTTCAATTGAGCAATAAAAACATACTGTATTTTTGGATCCACACTGAATCACTGGATCCTGAATACAGAAAGTAGGCCACTGACCAAATAGCATATTGAATAATTGTCAATTGTGTTTTGAAGATGTGCAAAAATGGATTACCAGGCATATCAGTTATAACAAAAATAATCTGAAAAGGCTGCAAAGAGTTGTTTGAAAGATTACAACACAAATTTGTTCTTTTTTTTTTTTTTTTTTTTTTATGAAGTGGTATTACTGCACTATTGAGGGTATTTATACAGTCCTTCCACATTCATTTTGCTCTTAAATAAACACAAGTACCCAAGCAGTACATTTAAATACAGGTTTTAGCATATTTCTTCTGATATCTTCTGATTATCTTCAGGATACACATTTTTTTGGTGAATTTCATCCACCGTAGTATACACTTTCTATAGCTGAATTTAGGGCCAAGAGATGAACATAAAATGCACAAAGGCAAGAAATATAGTTGTGCTGTTAATGGGAAGCAGGTTACATTGGGACATAGGAATAGGAGTGTAAATGGTGGGATAGATAAGGTTGGAGCAGCAGGTGTTTTGGCCGATGCTTAAAAGGTTTGGCCAGCGCTGACACGTTATATTAGAGCGCGCAGCGTGTGGCGTGTCTATTTCAGGGCGGAGCAGAGCACGAGCCCTTGTACTGAGGCTGCATGCAGAGTCCATCACCAACTGTCACTGCTCCTGCTGCCCTCTGATCCTGCCAACCACATCACAACTGTTTCAAGTCTGCTCACTCATTCAACTCTACACAAATCCAACTCAAATATCTCCCACTGACATTCTTTGTAGATTTTTTTTCAACCTTTTTTTTTCATTTTGGTCATAGAAGATGCAATTGTAGTGGGAATACTGTAATCTTCAGTGGCGTGTGTGTTTAAGTTAAGACACGTTGTTTGAATGTAGTGTGTGTGTGTGTTAATGTTTGGTGGTGGTCGGAGGAGCTGACAGATTGGCAGCTTTGCATTCATCAGTCTGCCCCAGAGCATTTGTGGTTAGAATAGTAGTAATAGTCGTAATGTCTTGGAAGTAAATGTATTAGGAAAGAAAAGACTGCAGCATAATCTAGCCAGGATGTTTTGCGCATGTGTTTCAGTGCAGCCAACTTGAAGAAATTACTTAATAAGCAGATGCCATCTTGAAAATGTGCATCATTATTCATTGTAAAAGAAGCTTGTTAGGGCAATTTTGAATAATTATATAGAGAAGTTTTTCGACAATACCGTGCATTTCCCTATAGCTTGATAACATTGCATATTGTGAATTTAATACCACCAAAATACCATGCCAGAAAGATAATGAGGTAGTTTGTTAAAACATGCAGAACAGGCTAATTTTCCAAGTTTATATAGTTTCACTGATGGGCCAAGAATACATATAACTATAGAGACTATAACATGCACTTCTGCCTATACCTTACAACATCATATTCCTTTTCCCATACTTTTTTTTTTCCATGATAGCCTCTTCTACACTCACCATGCTCTGATCCCCAGTCTCAGTGAAGGTCTTCTCATCTGCAACGTCGCGGTTCGCCCAGCTGTAGGAGACCATGTAGCTGGTGATGGGAGGGTGGTATATGGTCAGAGGGCGCTCCCAGCTGACCACCAAGGCTGTACGGTTCAGGGGCTGGATCTTCATGTTCACTGGAGCACTGCTACAAACTGAAATACAACAGAAATACAATAATCAGGCTTAAAATCTTAAAACAATATCCAGTAAATAATACAGTCTCTTCATCATTGCTTTTATTAGAGAGCGGGTTTCATAAATCTTCTGTTTTGTTCTTCAAAGTAAAAACAGGAAAAATTTACAAACATATGGACTGGAGGGAGTTTGACAAGGGGAAAATTATCATGGTTCAAGAAGGCTACAGCATAGGGGCAAAACAAAACTACATTTATTCATTAGTTATTATATAATTAGATTTAGTTAAATTATTGTCTTTTTAAATTTGAACATACTAATGTCTGTTAGTATATTAAATCTGTATAGAAATAAGTAATTATGCTTCAGTAAAATATTATTCAAGAAGTGAATAAAGAGTACAAGAGTAACAGATACATATATCAAGTATACAAAAAGGATTTTTTAAATTATTTGATATTTTCCAACAAATCCCCATAGAAATATTGTAAAGAAATAATAGCAGTACACAGATGTCAATTTAAAATGACAGGTGGTTAGCAGGAGGAGCACTTCACCATAAAGGTTTGCATCAGTTCAAAATCATTTTTTTTATTTTTTTTTTATAACAATCCTATCATTACTGCTGACTCAACTTTAAATCCCCTTCAGTGGACGAGCCTGGGAGGTGTCGCAGATACAGTAACTCAATAAAAGAAACACTCCAGGAGGCTTTGGCCCGGGTCACTCCCAATCTCTGCTATCCGTCAGAGATTTGCGCATCTGTCTGCTGCGCGCACGGAAATGCCAAACTAGAATTTAGCGTGGCAGGACAGACAATCGCCTTAGTCCACAAAAATAAATTTGAATAGAGTAGTCAAATCAGCAAAACATTGAGAAACACATAATCCTATGTTTTACAAATATTATTATTATTGTTATTATTATTTTTTTTAAAAGGGTTAAAACATTTCTTTCAAAGTAGAATATAAAAAGGGTTTGAAAATTGAAATGTTGGGAAGTTGATAACTTTTAATATGACAGAGAAAACACAATTTAAAGTGTCTAAAATGTCATCCATACTCAACAGCTAATTAGGCAAACTGTCTGGAAAATGCAGTTTCATTTTCCAGGCCATTTGTTGACTCATTAAAACTTTTTTTTTTTTCTTTTTTAGAGTAGTTCTTCTTCAATATATATATCTTTCATTTTGTACATTGTATTATTTAGTATTGAAATAACACAAAATCTTTTTAAAAACTTGTTCTTTATAGAACTATGTGCAATAGTTAGATTATACTGTTAGATAGTGCTAGATATTTCACACAAATCCAAGCTGGTAGTCATATTTATTTATATCTAATGGGAAATGACACACCGTTATAATTAGTAGTCCATGTTAACACTATGTTGTCATATTCATAATGAGACAATGGTACCTGTAGGGGGCAGTATTGTCTGGGGCATAGACACACACACATATTAGGTTCTGTCACTCTGACTACTGGAGTATCTGGACATGGTTGCAGGCACATCAGGGCAACAGCAATCAGAATATGTGTCGACTGATTATGCACATTCGAGGTTAGTGCCAAATTGAAATTGTCACCACAATTTTCTCCATTTGCACAGAGAAAGTATGGTGCGAATGATGTGACGTGATATGTGCAAAACAGCCATCACTCAGAGGAGCACGAGGGACTCAAAAACAATCGCAAAGGAAATCTGGGGGTGTTGATGAGGTGTGAAAGGTGTCAAATGCATTATAACACATCAAACGACAGGAATCAACAAGATGCAATGAGTAACAGCTGAAGATATCATCATGTGTCATTACAGATAAACCAGCCAACAGCCCCGGCGCCCAGCAACACCAAAATCCACATCTGGCACAGCACCCAGTGTAGGCAGTACATCTCTAATAAACAGATGTTTGGTCTAATCTCCCTGCAGATTTATATGGATGCATTTAGTGGCTATTTAACAGCATTTAAATACAAAGGAAAATATATACATTTCCTCTCTAATTAAAATTGAACTATTGCAGGGAAATGTTGATTTGCAAATGTCATCATATTACACAATATAGAAGATAAAAAATATATTATATGCAAATTGGCAGCAGAAACAGATATTGAAAGGTGGGACAGTCCGTGACAGGCAACGAACGCTTATTAGAAATGACTGGAAAAGCAATTTAGATTAACTCGTAACATTTTGGTAAAATGAGACATTAGACATTTTACCTCAATCACTTACCCAATAGAAATACACACTCTAAATCAATACCAGTTTTTTCTGCCTAATACTACTACTACATAATTTTAGATGTGTTGCCTCAAGTAATTCCAAATTCTGTTAATATTTACAAAATAGCAAAACACTAGAGTTTCCACAGCTCAGATGATTTTTAATGTTCATGTAGATCAAAAATTACCTCTTAAGAGATTTTAAAATCTTAACTTTTCGGATTTTATTAGCAGTTTACACATCATCCAAACTTTCTCTCCCAAACTGGTTGAACTACTGCGGGCAAAAGCTGAAAATAAAATGAAAGATTTTTTTTTACAAGTTACAACAGCTATTCAGAAAAACACACAAACCCTATTTTATGCACGCCCGTGTCTCTGTGTCTTCACCTCAGCAGTACTCAGAACATTACAAAATCTTTCTCCTGGCAGGTTTTACCACACGGGGCTGCACCAAACCCACTGTTGTCAACAAACATTCACATTCTGAGTTTTTGTGCTGAAAATGCCACAAAAACTAAAACAGCTCAACAGTTAATATTTCATGTCTTCCCTTTTCAAGCAATGTTTTGATGATACTTATTACTGTGGATATAGCCGTGTGCAGCCGTCCTGATTCCCCTAATTGCATGCGTATTTCCTTCACTTGTGTCATCCCCTCCCAGAAGCAATAGACGGAAAACATGCAAGCAAAGAGAGGATCTTTTTTTAGATAAATAAGACGTCCTTGTGACTGGGTTGTAATGCGAAGCGGCATCTCTTTACGGCGATGACTGCGCGGCTGATCAGCTGTCATTTGGCTCCGAGATGCTCTCTGGAAACAAGGAAAATGATCTCCTCAAGCGAAACAAACTCAAAGTGTGGTACAGGTCCCACCGGTGGTACTGGCTCTATATAAAATATGAACAAGAATGGTATCTCATATCTCCATGCAGTACTAATGACGATAATGACTCTAAGGCTTTGCAATTTTGTTTGCAATTCTGTAACAAGGAATAATTTAAAGGTATTATTACTTTAGATGTAGTATAAACAGTTTATTAATTATTAATTTAATTACTGTTGCTTTCATAGGCTTTATTTATTTATTTAGAAGCTGAATAATTAAATAATGTGAAATTTGGTCATAAGTTTATGTAGCTATGACAGATGAATATCTATGCAACATGAGACAGAGACCCTACACAGAAAAAGTTTGAAGGAAAGCAGAGGAAACAATGACAGCTGTGCAAACTATAAATACAGATTTATAAATACCTCGGTCTATGCACTGTATAAATAGAACTTTGAAAGGTGCATATTTTCTTAGGGAAAACTTGGTGTAAATAGTCTGAGAAACACTGTCCAAACAAATCATGTAACAACATTGACTGAAGTGTTCCATTATATATCACTTAAGTCTTTTCCCATCCAACTCAACTTTAATGGCATCCCTGCACTTTTAAATGCAAATATGACATATACAAAGCAAGGACAAGAGTAAATATGCATCACGATTCGATTAGGATCAATCATTCTATCAAAGGTAGGAGACGTTAAGAATGCAGAGTCCTTGAACGACCGAAGACCAGACACATCTGTTGTTCTCTCAATATTTACACAACAGCTGTCATTTACCAATGTCGCCCCTGACAACAACAAGCCCCGCCCCTCAAACGATCTGCATCAAAGAGTCTTGTGCATACCTAGTAAAGAGGGGAAAATGAAAAGTAAAAATGGCATACAAGGGATGTTAAGACTAAGCTATTTAGCAATTAGCATAAGAGTTATTCATTGTATCTCTATGAGGCCATTACTGCATTGCTGGAATGTTCCACTGAGTGACATTAAACTGCTGCTCTTCCATTTATTTGGTTATACAGGTGTTTAAATGTAAAAATTTAACTGGGGTAATCACCTGTTTATCTCTATAAAGATAGCAATGTTTAATGTCATAGTAAATTCCAGATAAAAGCTTTAAAAGGCAGATAGTGCTCCTTTAAAGGGCCCATATTGCAGTATTTTCTACGTTATAATGTTGTTTTCTTATCACAAACATACCTGGAGTTTTGTGATTTGTGTTTTGTTTCATTCACAGATGTTTAATACACATATTTAGGCTGAGTTCTTCTCTCAAACAGAAAACACTCTGTTCCACCTTATGATATCATGTGGAAATACAGGAAGAGCTTCACTGGGGTTTTAAAGTCCATACACCTTCAATAGAATAATGTGGATAATTTCAGAGCTGGAATAGACAATCTCTACTAAACAAAAGATAAAAGGTAGCTGTTATGACATCGCAAGATGGTACAAAGCATTTTAAACTTTGGAGATATAGACTAATAATAAAAGATTACTTAAACATGTGTAACTGAAAAAAAAAAACATAACTCCAGGTATGTTTTGGATGACGTAACAACATTCTAACATGGCTTAAAGCTCACAATTAAATTAAAGATCACAATTTTGTGGACTAAATATTCTGACATCATCAATTGTTTTCTTTTTTGATATCGTCGTCTTCAACCTTGCTTTAAAAAATGTATAACCCCTTTGCCTGGCACTACAATTGTTACAAGCAGAAAGTAGCACCAACAAGAACAGGAGGGAGGGGCAAAATACACATCTGGAGTTCACATTTTTCTAGCTGCCTTCTGACATAGTGCCACAAAAGCAATTTCACAACTTAATTTGTATGGGTCTATTTTAGCCGTGCCACATATTAATGATGATTGCTGATCAGGCTAGTTCGAGTGCTTCCAACTTCATCATAAGCATTCCCAATCAATTCTGCGCGCCAGACACCGACAACACCACTTTAAGCAGCAGCAGCCTTTCTCATTAGTCTCCATATTTCCTGTACTGTTGACTTGAAAAATGAGCCCCAAAATGAACACAGCAAACCAGCCAGCCAAACAAACATGGAATTTAGTTTTAATATTACATGTAATTCTGGATTAAGTACCCAGAGTGTGGGACAAAAAAGATATTGTTTTGTTTGCCCTGATTTAGCCTGCTTATCCATCACAACAAGAGTAGATGAGGCTCCCAAAAAAAAATTCCATCAAAGTGCTCATTATTCATTCCTGTTGTGGCATTTGTTGATGTCCTGACCAAGAACAAACACTCCAGAAAAGCTCCAGAAAAATGTAACTTGAGGATAAAGGCTAATAGGGAGCCAATTAGGGTGCCTACTGAAGACTATGAATTTAACACTGGACAAAGAATATTTATTTTTTACCAGTGTCAGATTTTTTTTCTTCGATATACCCTACAGACTACAAACTTGAAGTTCCTGCATGAAAACATTTTATGCCAGATCAAACACAGTACACAGTGGGTTATTCAAATATGCCAAACACTGCTTAAATGTAAATTCACAACTTAAGTAAAGAGTCTGATATTCATAGGCCTGTAGTTCCCCTATGGTCAACAAGCTAAACTATTAATACTAATGTTACTGCTATTGATCTACTTAGAATTATGGATATTAAGAGTGTTTGACTAAATAATTAGTCATGATTATTTAGGTCACAATATAATCATATGAAACAAAAAATTTAAATTGTAAGTAAAAAAAAACAAAACAACTTTCACAATGGAGGGAAAAAAGTCTGAAATCTTTTATTTCATAAAGCTGGTGAAATACCGGAGCAGTGGTTCTATTAGACAATATGAATTAAAGCCAGTTTAGGATTCCTCTGTTCACAGTTTTGTGTTAATAATCATGAATAGTTGTAAATTTGCATCATGCATCATCTTACAATACAAAAAAAAACAAAAAACATTTTATATCATGTCTAAGAATTATGAACAACCTTTTCATCATTTTGTCATCTGAACTAAAAGTGGCGCAGCAGTTTTGACCTGACAAACTGCAATTCCAACCTCAGTCAAGAGAATTTTTTTTTTTGACACTCCAGTCACAATATGTTGCCATATTAGTGTGTCCTAGTTCACTGTGCCAAGAGAGTCATCTAAAAAGATTATTGTCAAACTCCATGGGAACGAATGCTACAATCAATATCAAAATGCACTTATCCTTTCGTCTCACCTTTAGAGGCCTCTGTACTTTGCGGGTTTCCTAGAATCTCAGTCAGGTCCTTCTGCCAGGCATCTTTCACTGCAGACTTAAAAACCTTTCTGCCATCCAGATCCTGCTGCGGTCGGAAGTTGTTTCTTAGATACTCCACTGACTTCACATGGTCTTGCTGCTCCGTGGTAAATATGGAATAAAAGGACTCCAGCTAAAAGAGAAACAAAAACAGCAATTGTAGGAAGAATTTGAATGATTTTGTCAGTGTGAAGATGCTGTTGCGGCCACTTGCAAGACTGGAGCTCAACATTTGCTTGGAATATTCTCACCACAGGCAGCGATGGTACTGGCTTCATCATCCTGGCTACCTACGGGGTTGTAACTTCTCAATGGGGCAAATTTGTGGCCATTGATTGCTGTGAATGATCCCCCGCCGTGCGCCGTAATGACTACACATTACCAATACTGCGGAATCAATGTGTGCTATGCGTGGCTCGGGGAGAAATGAATTACAGGTTCATAAAAGACTATCTGAGAGAGTCACCAACACAGAGGCCCTGGTCAATATTCTGTCGCGGCACAAAGTCATTTCAAAACAAAAGACTTGTCCTGCCGCAAGCTGATAGATATTCCACCAAGCCCTGCACATTTCTGTGGCACTAGAGGCTCTGCAGCTGGAGAACTGGATGTGAATAAAGGGATGCAGTGTAAGGGATCAGCAGAAAAGCACAGGGCATGATTTGGCATACATTATCTCCCCAAATCACAAAACACTGGGAGTCTGAGGTAAGCCCATAGATACCGGAGTGGTATAAGGGCAATCCAAAAGTGTTACAGTTAAAGAAATATTAAAATGAAACTAGGATTTTCACACAGCAGAAGGAGGAAGTAGGTATTTAAATCTCTCCAACTAATTCCCAGCTCTCACAAACCCTTTAGCATATCGTTAATATCAATATGTGTGCGTGGCTTTAGAACCAAAACTGGGGTAGACTGACCAAGTGCAATTGCCAATCAGAACAAAGCTTTTGGTGCCTACTTCTGGGTTAATGAGAAATAAAATAACTTATTGCGGCAGACAGTGTACATGTGTCTCATATTGTCACAAAGTGCTGCTTTAACAGTTTCTTTAAAGTTACCTTTTCTTCTCTGTGGTCTGCGTGTCCATTGTAGAGGTTATTCATTTAGAAAAAAAAATGCATTACCGATTGCTATGAGGATGAGCAGCTTACAACAAGAATGTATATTTTATAAATGCAAGATAGATTTGCTTAATGGCGCACTGTGGAGCATCCACGGCGAAGAAATAATATCTACAGAGACAAATAGGTGGTAAACCCTCCAAAGTTACAGAGTGCACTTTTACCTTTTCAGATCATGTTTGTATTTCAGTAATTTCTCTTAAAACATGGTCATTCATACTCAATCAAATTACAAATCTCTTACTGAAATATTGATAATAAAATGTTATTAGTATACTTGGAAGTGAAGGAAGTCTTTGAGTCCCTGCCTAGGCTGCTGCCCCCGCGACCCGGCCCTGGATAAGCGGAAGAAAATGGATGGATGGATGGATGGATAGTATACTTGGCTTTTTGAGCATTCTGTTGAACCTCTTTGAGGTGGCTGTCTGCAATCTAATTTAAAAAGGAGCCACTGTTTGGGAAAGCCGCTTGTTAGACTCTGGGATTTACAGTAAATGTTTATAATTTAAAACAGGACAATAGGATTGAATACGAGTCTAAATATTACAGCTTTTATTAGATTTACTCACCATTACAATATGTTTTCATTTACATTCTACAGTGCATATAGCTTTCTTGGAGTTGTGCTGAAAGTCAGGATTAATTTTAAACATATGTTCTGCAATAATGCAAATTAATGAACATTTAAATTAATATTAATACTGCCATCCAACTTTTACAGCCATTTAGTATGTATGAGCTCACAGACATTGTTTCAGGCCAGCAGTTTGATATGCATATAAGCGCCATATAGCCGGTGGCTCTACCCTTTTCCCCCTGTCGCTGTGTAATCATCCACTACATTGGTGCTTGTGGAGTCATATGCAAAGGAGCTAGACTGGAATATCTGGAATATAGAGAGATAGAAACAAAATAGAGATATATAGGAGAGGAAATGCCAGTTTTCTTCAATGTGTTGGCAAGCAGTACACAGACAGCTGACAAATGGCATCTCAATGTGTGTGGAGGATATGGCTTTTAGTGGCAGTGTATATATGTGACATATTGCTACAGAAAAAGCCACAATAAAAGTTAATATTGAAACTACTTTATCTTTAATACTTTAAAACAGGGTAATCCCAACCAACTACTCTAAATTTACAGTATTGTTAAGAAACACAAGCTGCAATAAATAAAAAGCACAATGAAACACAAGAAGTTAGTGTTAATAATGCCTAAAATATTATTATTACCATATTGAACAAAAGGTAAACAAATAAAATGAAAGTACCTGTGAAGGAGAAACATAGACAGGCTTGGAGAAGATGATCCACTCCACCACTTTGCTGCACGGAGGAGTGGTCAGAGATCCAGTGTATCGGTAGTAACTGTCCACCGATGACGGCAGCAGGTCCCTCAGGACGAAAGACCTCAAGTTGGTCTCTTTTTCTGCATAGATAAAAGAGGACAAATAGAATGTAAAAAGGTTCACTACTTTAATTTGGGGTTCTAGTCTCTATAACCATAGTTTGAAGAAATATATTTACAAAAAAAGCTGGCATCTGTATTTGATATTGATAACCAAATTATGCAATGGAAGAAAAACTTTTCAGCGGTTCCTACACCAGTCATATAAGTTACAGAAAATAAGCGATTTATGTATCATTATCAAAAACAGCTGTAATGATTTTTGTATTCAGTGAAATATTGTTCACATTACAAACATTGTCATGTGGTATATTTTCTTTGCTATAGTACAAAGCTGTATTTATATCACATTGCAGCACTTCCCAGGTGTTTGACAATGCACAAAGGCAGTATAGCATGACGTCCATTCAGACAGTGGGCTTTGTTTGGGAGACTATAGGAGAAACGCTACGTACATTTGAGTGTATACATTTGCATATAATGGCCCTACTTGTATTTCTCATTCTCTCTCCACACTGTTTTTATCCTGAAAGCGTACACTAAGCTATGTTTCTACCAACAACAAGGTCATTCAATTTAAACAGTCCCTGTGGCATTTCACAGCCTTCCCTGCACCATCCAGAGGAATGCTGGTGGCAACATTTAAAAGGCTTCAGCAGTTGTTATCACCGTGCCTAGATCAGTGTTCCCAGATGGGCTGCGCAGAGGGGAGTGGAGAGAGAGAGGAGAGCGAGACAGAAAGACAGAGATGGAGGGAGAGAGAGGGATGGGGAGAGGGGAGGAGGAAGAGAGGCAGATAAAATGGCCAGCTCAGACAGACAGCTGATCTCTTGTTGGGTGGCATCCCACACCGCTTCATGTAACAACTGTGGCGCAGGCTGCCGGGATTTCGTCGGATCTCAATGATTACCACATTGGTTCAGGGCAAAGCCATGTAAACCAAACAAGACACAGAGATCACAACACCACCCTCTGCATACACTGCATGGCCACTTCAAGTCACTGCTCACTCCATGATTGTGGATAGAAAAACTTCCACTTTATGTCAGAGCCAATAGCAGATGATTTGATGTGGAAAGTAGCCAAAAGCACATTCAAGTAGGATTACTGCAACTTCAAAATGGTGTACTATAACTTCTGGAGGTGGGGGGGTCTGTCATCTGCTTGTTGTCATAGAGCGGTTATTGTTTTGCTTGGAATGTTCCACAGTATGTCAAAATAATGCATTAGTCTTATACAGTGCTTTTCCAGATTTCCAGTTTTGTGGATTTTTCATTCACTCTACACTCTGTGGTGGTAAGATACTTTTGTAGCCACAGTTGTCCTGTGGTAGACTGACAGAAACAAGGCTGCCAGTCTGCACTATTTGGTCCCTCTGACCACAACCAATACTCATTCACATGCCACAATCATACTAAGCAATAATGTGGATGACGTGCCTTGCCTAGGGACACAACAACAGCTTTTGTGTTTTTGTTTTTTGGCAGCTTTCTGTGGCACCTGTTATTCCCAGTGAGTGGTCTCCCACCCAACTACTGCCCAGGCACAGCCCTGCTTAGTTTCTGAGATCTGACAGGATTAGGCTTTGAGAAGGAGGTTTGGGGTTAAACTTCTCTTACATTTGTCAAATTGCAAATGTTTTTATTGCTAAACAATGCCTAAATACATGGGTGAGTAGGGTCACCTCAGAACACAAGTTTAATGCCATACATTGGAACATTCCTGGCAAAGCAATACTGATCAGAAAGGTGACACAGTGCACTTTTAAAGTATAATTATTATATTGTAGCAATTTTCCACTAAACAATGAGTCAGAAACTTAACTTATATATGATATAAAAACTGCTGGGAAAAAAAAAAAAAAAATCAGCTTATGTAAGCATAATGTAGCCATCACTTACTTTCCACTGCTCATGTCCTTATCTAAAACGCACAGAAGTAGGGTGTGGTTTGTGTTTGATGGCAGCACTACTGAGACACTGGGCCTCAAATTGAGTATTCACTGGCTTTCTTCTCCTGTGGGTCTGCAGACAAGCGTACGTGCCCTATCGCTCACAGGCCAGAGAGATGCTGATGGATGCATGACGCTGGGATAACGAGCTTGAGGAAAACCAAACCATTTTAACGAGGGAGGAGGCGAGCGGCGTTTAGCAGCCAGCAGGAAGACCGCCATCCAAAAAGAGAAGAAAAAAAAAAGAAAAAGAGAGACCACTGCTTCCACATGCACGCACAGATGAGAGATAGTGGGGGGCTAGCACAAACACTGCAAAATACAAACTCAGCCAGAGACAGATTGGGCTTCATAAAGGGCTACAGTGTAAGCAATACTCTTCATCGCATTCATATTTAAGCTCCACTGTTCTTTTGGCAGCTGTGAAATTAAAATCACATCCAAAATGGCCTCCCAGCTCATAATCAGCGAATCGTATTAATCAAAGCAACTCACTACCACGTAGCGTACTTCCAATTATCTCAATATAATGTTAAAGGTTGCCTGTGAACCTTGGTATTAAGGACAGACGCACCATTAGTGGAAGTGCAGTAGTTTTAGCTGCTAAGTTTTTGTTGGAGACCAGTTTGTTTAGCTAATGATATCTGCCCAAAAAAGCATTAAGGCACTTAGAGGGGAGCTTCCCTCATTATTAACTGTGGAATAATATTTCCCCATGCAACATTATTGGGTGATTAAAAATGCTATGGTTGATTTTGTTTGAACTTTTTTTTTAATATTCTGACATGATAAAAAGACAACTACTGTAATCCATCAGTATACATATGATACTATACATTGATACTATAATTACTATTGGTGGCTTTCAGATTCTATAATCATATCACATACACAAAAATGTTGTATCTGATCATTTGTATTAATAATAGCCATAAAATATAAGTGAATGAAGATTCATTGGACCTTTCTTGAATAGTTGATTTATATTAAAACTTAGTATCAAAATCATGTATCGAAGTCACATTTGAAATTTTTCTTTCATGACGAAACTAATATTCACACAGCGAAAGTAAAACCATAAAAATATATTTGTGATGTTAAATGGGCATAATCAAAAACTGGACAAAGGTACTGCAAGAACAAAAGTGAATGGTCCAGATAAGAATCAACAAAAACAAAAACTTCTTCTCAAAATGAGTGGGCAGGTCCAGTTCTTGAGCTAATCCAGCAAATCAACAATTGTTATTCAAAGCGCAGTTCCTGTTAATCATCATCAGTGCCTCATGCACAAAATCACATGTTAGCAGCCCCCAGGAGAGTCACCGCGACCAACCTTGATATTATTTAATCAGATTCAGATATGCTCCTTCAGTTTGCGATGTTAAAAGTGCCGACAGCAGGTAGTCAAGCAAGGCGTTCATATCCATGTAAACAAACCTGCACGTCCCTTGATACAGTGAAGGATTACACACTTAAGACCAAAACAGATGCTTATGGCCATATAAGCAGTAATGCATAACAATTTGTGATAAAATATGAGCCATAGCATAAAGTGCATCTTAAACATAAAGATCATAATGAACATGAAAGATGCGCTGTGAACGCATTTACAAGCAGAGCAGAATAAAGCAAAGTGCTCTCTAATTGATACTCCAATGTAATTAATAGTTGTGTCTTTTGAGCGGCGCTCCTTGGAGGTCTATGTACGCAGAAGAGGAGGCGGTATCTTCCAGAATTTGCCTCCTTTTGAAGTTAAACTGCAACTCATAGCATTCATTTAGATTCTAATTTGTGATTTTTATCATTAATCTCGCTACCTTTGACTGAATGTGAAATGTATTTGTTTGGAATCTGCCAGTACTGTAATTTGAAAAGTATTTTTTTGTGTTTCAAAAAAAATTTGAAAGTAAAAGATAGAAGCTACATTAATGCAAATTAAAGGTGGTTTCATTAAACTAGTGAGACAAATCATGGTCATGGTAATGGTAAATAGCTTGTCCAAGGACACAACAACAGCATTGATCTGTGGGAGCTGGAATCTCACTGCCAACCTGTGGGTCAGTGGGTCTGACCGGTCAACCAATTATGTTTATGTCAAGAGCGGGATTCAAACCACCAACCTTCTGATCAGTGGACAAACGCTCTTGCCAACCAATCAGGTAATGTGTCAACAATATGAAGCAGTTAGAATTGATAAATGTTATTAAATCACACAGGTAGTCAATCAAGTATTGCAAAATTAAACTTTGTCATAATTGGATGGAAGTTGTTTATTTTTTTTTCCAAATGACTCAACAAAACCAAAAAATTTAAAGACTGAATTTTTTATTTAAAAGCAATACCACTAGTTGACACTGCACTTAATACTACAGCTACTATTGAAATCATGGTATGTGTTTGTGTGTGCAGTCTCACCATGATGGACGACTCCTTTCAGCCCCTGGATGATAGGCTCCACAGCTGGATTGTCTTTCTGCCCCAGCTGCAAAAAATGTCCAGAGAAAAATGGATTACAAAGAGATTACAGGCCTGGGCACCATAATCTGACATAATAAGTGAAGTGGGTCAATATAAACAAATCAGAGTGTCACCACAACACTAGCAGCAACCTGGTAATTCAGGGAAATGTATCTGCAACAAGATTAATGGACCATGTGAAGATGTAGAGCTTGTTGGAGACTGCATCACACAAGCAATTTGTGGAAAGATCTTTTAGAGAGATTTGCAGGTACGATGTTGTGAGATATTGGTTGACAGGTGATCAGAATTTGCCTACAAACAGACCCCAAAGTATCAGTGTTGCTTATTGGTTATCAGCTGAAATGTATTATAAAATCTAGCATTAGCTGTAAAAAAAATAAAAAATAAAAATCAATCTCTAATAGTCATATCAAGATCTGTATTTCTAAGGTGAAACAAATAGATTACAGTTTAGAATGCATTTTATAATACTAAAATATATGACATGCCTTAAAAATGTTGTGCTTTAAGCAGGGTTGTGCCTGGAAAGCCCAACATAACCTTGATTAATTGGACACCCCCAAAGTTATGTTTTCCAGATTTGGTATAATGGACCGGAATAATGTGCAAAACTTAACAATAATACGCCTAGAGCTAAAGTGTCTCTGGAGAACACCAGCGGATACCTTTTAAGTCTCTTTATGACTCCCTGTACAACACGCCATTACTGTTTAGCACCATATTTTACATTATTCCCAATGTCCTACTTAATAGACAAGGCTGGACAAAACAGTGCTGGGACATGGGGACCCGTACTCCCCTGCCGAACATTAATTCAGGTCAGTCAAAGGAGAATAATTGTGTGGGAATGAATGCTGAATGTGGATAATATGCGCACCTTAGAGGCCATTAATAGGCCTTTGGGGAGCATCCAAAGAAGTCCATCCATTGATTAGAGCTGGTAAATCTCAGCCCGTGTGTGTGCTAGCTTTAGAGTATCCCACAGTAAACTGCAGCTCAGCGGATTGTGTATGTTGGTGCTAATTGCAGTAAGCAATAGGGCTGTCAGGATCCAGCGGAGGCATTTAGGTGCTGCTTACGTGCGCGGTCCATCACTGTCTAAGAGCAGACCTACATTAGAAACACCTGTGTCCCCATTCCAGCCTGACTCTGCAGGAGAGCTGACCCTGGCTCGAGTACCATTAAGTCCAATAGAGGCTGCTATTGATCACATGGGATTAGGCTCACACTTACTTTGAACAGAAAATTAGGGGGACAGGCTGGGATCTGTACTCGCCATGGTTCATTAATTTCTGGAGTGGGTTAACTCAAATTGGGAATGTTCATGTCCAACTAAGAAGGGACCTTTCGGGGCAATTTGCAGTATTTTAGAGTACATATCCAGACTACAGGAGAGCCGTAACAGTACGTATAATTACATGAAACTTGAAAGCTATAAATCCTTATCCATCTTATTCCAAATTGGGCTCATGGATGGCTGGAGCCTATCCAATCAACTATCAAGCTATACAGGTGGAGCGCCCTAGGCTACGGGCAGCTGGTCACAAGTCTGATATAGAATGACAAGCAACAGTTCACTCCAGTTTATTCACTAAAGCCTCCAAGTCACCTACACATGCACTGGGTGGTGCGAGGAAGAGAAGAACTGACAGAGAGGACATGTACTAGATCAAAGACATATATAGGGCACTGATCTGACGATTGCAGTCTAAAGCTATAAACTGAAAACTATAGCAAGTAATCGAGAACTATATTTCTTTCAATGCACTGTACATTTGGTAGGGATGGTCCAATATGGATATTTCTGAGCCAATACAAATCCAATATTTAGCTTGCTGCTACGACAGATAAGCAATATTTGCAGATACCAATATTTAGCTTTTCAAATCCATAGCCCCACAATAACAACAAAATGTATTTAGAGTATTCCTTTCAGTGTACTGTGCCTGTGGTCCCATCTCTTTAGTATAGTTTTCATCCTATTATGATGTACAATCCCTGTATATTAGATGCATTACAGTACAAAGAGTAATGATAGGCATTGTCCCTCAGTATCACATGGCTCTGGTGATTTTACCTCAAAGAAGATTGCCATGGCAGCGATGATGCGTCTCTCCTTCATGGCTGCGCTGAGGCTGTCAAAGTCGTCCGAATTGTACAGGTAGATCTGCATCTGCGAGAGGGAAAGCAGAGTGTAAATAAACAGCTGAGCTCAAGGAACGGACAAGGAGAGGCCCGAGTTGCACTATCAATCACCCGGACATAGTGCTAAGGAGCTGATGAAAAGCTCTTTGGAGGGGCATAAAAGAGGCTGTATTTACCACCACCATAAATCTCCCATAATCTGTGTCATTCCTTTTTGTGCTCTGCCACTCCAAGGATGCAGGAGAAATACGGCCCTAGTGTCCTCAAACGCGCTGCCAGTCGGGAGCATGGCGTGCCCAATCGCACTGCATCTCTGTGATCAGATCAGAGAGAATAATAGCCTTCTAATCATTACCTAAAATCCTCCTGCACAGAGCCCTGCTGACGATGTGTAAGTACAATGCAGCAAGCACAAAATAAATTAGTCCTGTCACGCGCTGGAGATATTTGAAAAATGTATTCCTCTCCTTTCAAAGCAGATATTATGGTGGCGCTGATTAGGATCGGCAAATGATTCTAAAGCTAGCAATTGGAGCCGTCTATCATCCCACAGGCACAAACCTCTCTAAATAAAAATCCCTTCATGTCTCTAAACAGAGTTAATTGCCAATAAAAAAGGTCCTACATGTTGATTTAATTACAGCTTTCCTTTTTTCTTTTTCAAAGGAAAATGATGATGACGAGAGCTGACTGAAATGGCATCGCAGACAACACATGCAAAAAGTCACAGTAAACATGCATGCAAAATAACCACAACCATGGACTCAGTCCTTTTAATTTGGGTTAAATACTTTGAGTACCTTAAAGCACTGGGCTAATTATCACATAGCAAAAATGATCTCAGATATTTGATAATAGTCTCAACTAAAACAAAAAAGAAAAACTGCACCATTTCTGCATAAGTTATTTTGTTTCTCTCACAAATCCCCACATGTAAAATGCTTGCTGTATGACCAAATGCAGAAGCAAAACATGTGTGCCCAATACAAGCAGTCATTTAAATAATACAAATTTCCTTTTAAAACATTATAAAGAGTTTAAACAATACATCTTTGACCTTTAACAAGGTCGTATCCATTCATTCATTTATTTTGAAGTTTATTTGAACACCTTCTGAGGAAAAAAATCAGAGGACAGTGGAGAGGGTGTCAAAATACATTACAAAATATTTTTCAAAATATATAGAGAGTATACTCCATTTTGTTCTCATTTAGAAGTCTTGTTTCTATAAAGCTAACAATGTATTTGACAATGTGAAATGAAGTTAAACATTTCAAGCTGGTAAAATAATAAAACCTAAAGACCTAAAATTAAAAACATAAAACAACACACTCTGGTTGAGGGTACACCACTTGCTTGATTAAATGGAGACTGCATTATACCTATCAATCTCCATGGAGACAAGAAAGTAACAACACCAAGCCATTTTACTGGTCATATCTGTGGAAGACCCCACTCAGTAAGAATGTATATTTTGCAAGTAGATAAATTTAATACCATACGGTGGAACATTCCAGGTAAAGCAATAACATCTCTATGAGACAAGCAGCTAGCAGACCCCCACCTGAAAAACTGACTTTAACCAGGTCTATAGCAATTGTAGCCTGCGACATAAGCACAGAGTAGTACCACGATCAGAACCCACACTTTGAGAACCACTTGATATTCCATATTAGTCTAATCTTACAGCCCTAGAATTCTTAATGACTTGCCATCAATGCATGCAAATAGACCCAGTAAACAAGCAAAACAGCCATTACCACAGCCTGCACCAGCTTCACATGGCTCTATCCAGATAATTTGGGTTAATCACTTTCTCTCAGAGTTCCTTTAACCGAGCTTTTAATGGGACTAATTTGTTGTGTGAGAACTCAGCAAGAAAGAGCAGTGGCCATTCATCAGCCTTCAGATGTTATTAACTACATTAGCCAATTACGTTGCCCCCCCCAGGCTTCATTTACTCTTTCAGACCGCCTCACGTGACCTGCACACTGCAACGCTACAGAAAAAAGTGACGTTCAATTATCAACCATTTCACAGCAGCCACTAAAACTATAAACTGCTGCCAAAAGCTTCTCGCAATAATAACGAGAGTTCATTTGTCTCTGCCATCTCCACATAAAAGCTATTGAAAAAGAGCAGACAGTGAGTTAAGTGTTGGACATAACGCACTCTCAAATCTTTATGGACATGTTTATGCGTGTTTGGTTTGCCTGGATACGATCTGCAAGCAGTGAGTGTGTGACTGATGTAAAGGCAAATTTGGAAATGATCAGCGGTGATAAACAACGTCTGCTTGCAAAGAACAGGTGGAACGTAATGACAGGAAAACATAATTTAAGCTTTGTCATTTTGTCAGGGATTTCTCTACGGACCACACGCACCAGACTGTCCACGGGCTTTTTTCCGCCGTTGACGTCTAAAATTCGGCTCATTTCTTTCTGCTTTCTTGTTGTTGTTTCTTGAGTACAAAGTGAAGGCAAACTCCAGCTCAAAGTCGTTCTGCATCCCCAGGTTCGATTTAAGCACAGCCGTGTTTAGCATGATTTCCCCAGACGACCGAAATATTGAGGCAAAACAAGAAAGTTATAAAAGAGGTTTTTGGAGTGAGAAGTAGGCTTGGTGGAGGCAGACAAGTCCTCTTTTAACACTTTATTTCCTCTATACAGTACAGAGCAGCTGTGAGTATTCAAGATTTTGCCATGTAAGATTTCCTGACAGGAATAATGCAAAAATATACACACGCATACATATACAGCTAAAAGTGTCTCTTGGATCTCATAGAAGTAACTAGGCAGGTAAAATTCCCAGCCTGGATAAAGTCTCTTGTGTGCTTTTGAATTCTCCTAATTGTTGTAAAACTACTAAAAACTGGTGTTGTCACAAAACTTCAAACTGGATTTTTATAAGGAGATGCAAATTTTAATACAACAATACCCACTTATTTAGACAATAGAATGTAATTTTCAATACAAAATGATGATAATTTCATAGACGTAATTTCTCCTAATATTATCACACAGCCTTATAATAGTTCTGAAGTATAACAAGAGCATATTAAAACTACTCAGGAGAGGTTTATTAGTGTCCTACCTGTTTTTTTTTTTTAAGTATCAATACTTGAAATGAGAAATGACAAGTTTTTTGTATTCATTAGTATATGGGTACAAGTATTTATAATGATAAACCACTTGCGAGAGGATTCTATTTGTATAAAAAGATCACAAGCAATAAAAGCATTAACTAACAAAATGAATAAATGGGGTTGTAATCATGACTTGAACTGAACATTTAAACATAATTCAGTCTATATAAGTTACTCATATATATTAGTTAGTAGCAGTATAAAGCTAAAATGAGCTTTTTAACTTTGCATATTGCTGCAGAGGAAGACTGCACTACTTTTTTCCAACACAAAATCCCAAGTCGATTGAATTTGAAAACATGTATCATAATAAGTCAGCCTACTTCTAAATGCACCTAAAGCGTTCCCATTATGTGCGGTAATGTCCCCACAGCCCAACACATACTCCTACATGAACAGCCCAGACTATCAAAGCCTGATTTGTAATCCATGTATAATTAATCTAACCCCGGCGACACCATCATATATTATTAGAAAAGATCTCCCTACGGTGGCCTGAGGGGGAAAAAATTCAGCTCTTTCATTTTTCATTATGTTGTTTGTGCGAACAGGTGGTCCATCTATCGATTTCCCCACTTCACTCATGGAGGAAGGAGCGTGCTTAAATTAATGCTAAGATTTTGAGTCACAGCCTGAGTCCAGAGCTGACATGTTTAAATAATCATGTGACAAAGGCCAATTCTTAATAAGTTTTCAATTTTCAAAGTATTTAAAATCTCAGGAAATCTTTCAGTAACAAGCGCTGAAACAAACAAAAAAAAAATGCATGAATTGGAGCTCGGGAGATATGGCCTGAAATGTTAATCATGATTGTGCTATAATGATTTAATTCACAGGTGTTTTGTCATATCTATTTCATGATTTGAGTTTTTACCTTCTGCTAAGGACTCAGCTCTGTCTAAATTAAACTGAACCAGGAGTAAAGGCGGCCATTTCTAAATTAACAGCAGACTCATATCATCAGAACATTAGCACAACAGTTTTAAAACCAATACTTTAACACAGTCCACTTGTTTTAAAGTTCAAGATCTTCCAGGCAAGTGTGCTGATATTATCATTACTGGGTGCGTGAGGAAATGCTTGAAGAAATCCATGTCACACAGGGCAGCATGCAACTCATTTGTGCAAAAAAATAAATAAATAAAAAGAAAGCTAATTAGACAGGCGATTGTGAAGCGTGTCTATTTAGTGAGACAAACAAATCCAGGGGCAAGCACCTCCAAGGTTAGACCACTAAACCTCCACCAGGCTGCAAAACAGACCAGCGACCATGAAATGCAAGGAACATAAACAAAACATTTGGAAAAAAAATGAAAGCAACGGTGAGACTGAATGCACCAGGCTACATAAAGGCACCAATTTAGGGCCCAAAAAAAATGAAAAGTCACATATCACAGGATGGAACAGATAAACAGCCAGCGGCGAGTAGATCCATATTACTACATTCCCCTCAGCTATCCATCATTTGGGTTTACTTTCACCTCCCTGTTTCTCCCTAAGAAATAATGCATCATGCTGGATACATGAAACCTGAGTTATTAATAACAAGAATAATATAAAAGTAGACCAATACGGCCATTTCTCTAGATCTGGGCAAAACAACACAACACAATACTTACTGTTACTTATAGTTGGCTGTGCGTGAACAGAATGCTCTGTGCTGCATTCTCCAAAGCAAAGGTCAAGTCCTGTGTACATTTGAATACGTCACTGTCTCGCACTGGGGCTGAGTTTTTTTCTAAAATGGTAATATCCTTGGGCGCGAGGTTTGTGGAGTCTCATATGAATCTTCAATCTTCTCCATACGTCAGGCTAGCTGTTCTTGACATGCATGTTAACAGGATGAATGAGGAGCGGGGCCTTGCGATTATGAAAAATCTACCGGAGATTTTGTTTTTGCATTCAAATAGAAAGCTTCAATCACTACGGCTGTCAGCAGAAGGTCCACAGGTTTGTATTTAACCATTGCAGTTGGTTGTCTGCACTTCTTAAAGGTAAATGGCAAAAACAAGCTGTGAAATTGTTCCCACAGCAAATATTGGTGTTAAGATTGTTGTGAGAACATTGCAGTTTTACAATTACTCACAATTCTTCACACCAAGACCTAACCATAGTCAAATCCTTATTTCATTTCTAATAAAGTGATCACACTTACAACAATCTAACAATAAAGAGTGAACAACTATTGCAACAGTACTATGTCAGAAGCTAGAGAGGTAGACAGCAGCTCTGTAAGATTAATGAAATGGAGAATATTGTGAATGTTGTTTTGGAGATATGTTATTCAAGTATAGTTTAGTACCATTACAGTAACAGTATGAGTAAATGAGTGATGTATATGACCCGTCTATATGTTTACTACTTTCTACATTTTGAGTATTTAACTTAAATTTTTTTTTACAGTACAGTATCGTGCTTCATATATCTGATGTCTTCTGTATGTATATCAAATGTAGAAAGTATGGTAGTAAGTATGGTAGTATGGTAGTAAGTAAAACTGTTTTAATTAGATTAATAATTGGATGAGTCTAATGTAAATGATAGGATGATTTACTAATATTTTTAGTGTGTAGCGTATATATTTGACAGGCTGCGGGGGGGCTGTACCTTTTATCGGCTGCTGAGTTGGTCATTAACACTACACCATGCAGTCTTATTTAGCCGCTCGCCATCACAGCCTCCATATGCACATCAGCTTTATAATGGCCCTATATATCGCTGTGCCCTTTAACACAAGGCTGAACACAAAATGATGTGGCAATAATAAATGTAATTACTCAGGCATTCAGCAGAAAAAGACTGGGGAGCCACCAACAAATACAGTGATTTGTGGTGCCTCTGTCACATTTCAAAACACACTATTTTAAAACTGAAAAAGACAGAAATGCAAATTATGCCGATAAACTGCCACAATACTGCAAAAAAAAAAAAAAAAAAAAAAAAACAGATTCAGAAGTAAACTCACAGCAAAAAAACTAAATGGTAAAACTTCAATTAACACAGAGAGCAAAGCATTTAGTGCAAAATGACCTACACTTCATGAAATCCAGTATCTCTAAAAATGATTGCGCAAAATATAATAGTGTTGAAATGATTTAATGAATGTACTACACATGTTGGAAGAATAGGGCAGCCGATCTCTTTTTGTCCTGCTGTAGTTTTGGTGCCCTGGTGTCTGGAAATATGTGATGCGTGTCAATGATAGTGCTGATGGGACATGTTTTTGTGCTAGAAACATGTGGCACTGTGTCAGAAGACAAAGATAAAGTAGTATTTTATTAGAAACTCAGTGAGTAGACTAATTAGGGGGTTGGTGGATTGTAAAAATACATAAAATATAAAATCTAATTAATAGTGTATGGGCAATAAAAAAAAGGATCTAAACAAATACAATGGGGATAACAAAACAAGAACTATAGTTGTAGTTGGTCTTTAATCCACAGTCAAAGATATAGGACTTAAAACACTTTGTATTGGTACGTAAGGGCTTGGCAATGTCCATTCACTCTCCACTTTTTTTTTTTTTTTTCCAATCAATCACTTCTGCTTACATCTATCAAGTTTTTTTTACTATTAACGCAGATGAGAAACCTGTTCAATCAAAGCTTTTCGAGTAGCAGCTCTTCACCTCCATCATCTTGTGAGAGCCAGGTTTCATTTTTGTATAGTCTTAACTCAGCTGTATTATTCTCAATTAAGATCAATTTGTGAGATTTCAATTTGTCTGTTCCAGTTTCGCTCTTATGGGCTACTTGAACTTTGGATTTTCATTTTGATAGAGAGAAGAATGTAATGTGTGAAGAGGCCAGTAGCCAGTATTAATCATGTATAATAATGTTGTTTACCATAATGTTCCCTTTGACAGTTTTAATATGGCCAAATAACTGAACTCAATATGAAGAGATTTTAATTGAAATTCAATAAGTTTAACCTAGGTGGTAATATACTGAAAATAAGGACCTTTATTCTGCTTTATTAATCCAATGACACCACAAAATAGATTGGACTCTGACTGGAACGCAACCATTTGTCTGAGATAAATTATAAAACGGAGATGAGCTTACCTCGACTGGAAATGTTCTTCCGTTGATGCTGTGCTCAGATCCAGCAGAGCCATCCGCTTGGCCCCAGTGAAACTCCATCTTCTCAGCTCTAAAGCGCCCTGGCAGCCCCGCCCCAAACACAAAGTAGTCATCCTTCAGGTAGATGGCCACTAAAAACAAAACAAAAACAATGATCAAGAGTTAAATCTAAATTGCTGTAATTGTGGTAATATGTCTCAAGTCCAAGACTTTTTCTGCCCAGGATGAGAGACATATTATTAAAAATATTTAGTAGGTATCAACTGATATGGATTTTTTTCATGGCTGATGCCAATATGATTGTTTAGAATCCAGAGAGACTGATGGCCGATAAGCTCTGTCAATATTTTTGGGACCATATGTAGGATATTGTATTATTTTGAATAGTTTTCACTAAATTATAAAATTTGAATTTACTACAAACTCCCCCACAACCCCATTTTACTACAAATCTTTAAGAGTCACATTTAGTGCAGCTACTTCTTAGCAGGGTTCAAATAAAGCTTTATGTGTCTTTTTTAGGTAGCTGGTTGACCAAAACAAAAATATTGGATTGTGTTGGAGATTTAACAACCGGTTTGGTAAGAAGTGCAAATCTATCTGATATAGCAGCTGACTGATATATCAGTCTATCTTTAATAAAAAGGACTGATATAATGTGTGAATTATTCAACAAAATGCATACATAACTCGGAAATTTCAATCACAGCAAATATCTATATCATTTTTTCTAATAAACAAGATTAAAAAGCAATGGGTATGTTTTTGGCAGAATTAAGAATATGTTATAAGCAATTAATTGTAATGAAAATTTGATTTTCAACACAAAAGTACTGTAGCAGCCTACCTACTGTATGTAAACCCTTAGATAACCAAGAACGTTCCATTTGTAGAAAAACATGTTTTTGAAGACATTTTGCTTTTTGTCCAAGAGCCTCCAGTGTATAATACTGTACTTGCCATACTGTAATAGTAATTCACATCCACAAAACCCACAGATATTTTGAGGTTGGTCTATTGAAGGCCTGTACAATGTTTAAAGGTCAACTTGTATAAGACATGTATGATACCTAGTGTTGGCCTACTGCCCTTGGCGTCCCACTGCATCCCCATCTACCTGGGACATCATTAGGCAGATTAAACCAGTGCTCTTTCCACTGATCCCCATTTTACACAGGGATTTAGTGTGGCCTCCATGGCACATAAGGACTGCCTCCTCCTGATTGCACCACAAAGAAACCTGCCAGAATGAGCATGTGTATACAGCCAAATACACACAGAGCCCAGACAATGCATCCAACAAGTAAGGAGCCATGTTGGTTTGGGGCAGTGTGGCGCGGAGGAGTGAGACGCGACAATCTGGGCAAAAACAAATAAATAAATCATTAAACTGTGGGGAGTGCTGATGACAGATGAGACGGACATTGTTTCCCAAATAGGCGTACACAGGCGCTAAGAGGGTAGATTCAAAGTAGTAGTATTCAAAGTATTTGAATGGTATTTAAATAGAAATTGTTCATTGTAAAAATGTTTACACAAATAATTGGATGATTTTAGATCAATATTATTAAAATAAGACCTAACTGGCAATACTACTAACAGTGAGAGTTTGATTTAACTAGTACAGACGTTGGACACTGAGTGTGAGACAAAGCTGGTCAAGACAAAAAAGAATGATAACAACTGAATTAACGTATCAACGGTGCTCAAGTCTTCTACATGAAAGGAACCATTTTAGAAGGATTTGGCTAAAGATAAATGCAATACATGACTTTACGCACCAGTCGGATCACTGACAGGTGCAGTGAATAACATGTCTTGGCACCTGTTAGAAGGTGAAATATATTAAGCAGCAATTGAACATCTTGTGTTGGAGGATGGGAAAAGGAAAAAATAGACAAGTAAGGATTAGTGTGAGCCAAAGGGACAAATTATGGCATCTTGATGAGAATGTCTCTGAAATGTAGCTAGATCATGGTTTATAAATAGGTGAAGTAGTGAATAGTTGCATATATATTGCTCTTAATAGTAATAACAATAATATTAATAATAACAATATTGTTATTAACATTATTATTAATATCAATATTAATAATAATAACAACAATAACAACAACAACATTTTTGCAAACAATATAAAGACAAATACAAGAATCTGTTGAAAAAACATGATTCAGGGGTTTGATGGAAGGAATTATGTGCACTAAAGACAATTTGTTATTTGCGAAGAACATTAGCTTAATAATTGCAGCCTGTTGACTGATTGTATTTTTGCAGCAACTGAACTTGCCATTTAAACATGATTGTGATTAATCTTGTGGCCAATTAGTGATACACATTTCTAATTAGATTCAATTTGCTGAAGAAGTTAACACAGGTTCTTATAGAAAGCCCAAATCCATTTAGTTTCCATTTGACCTAGTTCCCAGTCATTAATTTTGAGCACAAACATATTGATTCTTCTGCATAATAATGTACATCCCACCATTCCACCATAGTGAAGAGATAGTCAGCTCTATTCACTTAACCTGTCACTGGTTATATTGTTATGCTTGATTGGTGCATTGTGCATTCTTGGGCTTGTTCAAAGAGATAATGAGGCTGTGTGGGGAAAACCCAAGACTGGCTTGTCACTTGAGCCTAAATGTGCATCTGTCTTGAATACACAAAGCACATTTTAGAGCGATGGCCCATAATCCACGCCGCTGGTATTGTTGGAGCAGTGTAATCCCACGCAACAACACGGCCAAAGTCAAGTAAAGGGGATACTCATTGGCCTTGGGAGACTTCCATTAGGATCGGGCCCTGAGTGCGTGTGAAGCCCTCCAACAGCAGCGCAGGAATTAGACGCTAAGCCAAAAAGACCTTGAATCAGAGGCAGCGATAGAGGAGCAGTGTGTGTGAAAGTAAATCCGTGATCAATGCACATGTCTCTGGGGGTCTCGCCATTCCTCATGAATTCGGTTGAAGTGGTTGTTTGAAAATTTCACAGCGAAATGTTTTGTTAAAAGAAAAGGCTTGCCTGAATTGGCGGCCAATCAACTCATGTTTAAAGCAGGTCAAGGCACAAGGGAATGCTGGGAAATCAATCCCCATGAAGCCGAGATCTATTCACTCAGTTTTTAATTACGACATCGGCTTTTAAATAGTGTGGAACATGTCGAGGGCCCGGCACGCTTTGGAATAATCAAAGCAACTAGTGTTTGTCCAAATGTTTATTGACATCAGGTAAATAAACAGGCCAAGTGTCATTGTAACAGCGAGGCAAAAGCACTTCAGCCAGGCAGCAAAAGGGACCAAAACAAATAGCACTACTCTCTGCTATTTCACTTTGTTAAAATGGGAAAACCTAATTAATTAGACTATTTTGTTGCCAAGTGATAAGTAACAATAAAGCCACCTAAAGCCATCTAACAAACATGCAAAACAATTACAGATACCAGAATATACAATGTCCACTTAAATGTCCAACTATCGGCACAGCTCTTTTTCCACAAAGTTTTATTTTCATTTTACTATTTAATTTATATTTATGTATAACAGTGGCATATACATGTTTTATCGTCTCACATTTTGAAAAGAAAAGAGCTATTCGAACATGTGCTATTTACCACACCTGCTTATGGCTGGAGGGAAAGCTTGGCACCTAAACCTCCTTCCTCTTGAGTTGAGTCCATTTTGGGATTGCCACAATGAATCAGTTGCCCCCATCTCACCAAATAATCTCCAGGTCCTCTATGACTGTATGGTCTGGCTTTAGGCTTACTCACTGTGCAGCATCTATCTTGGCATTACCTGTCCTGTATATTTGCTATCCTGCCTGGTTTCCTATGTTGAAATCTGCTCAGTCTGGACACTCTTGCCCACATCTCCAAAACCTTTAGCATCCAAAGTCCCTCTGATACTCTATTTCTTAAACTATGTTCTTATCAAAGTGAACTTCAGAGCTTTTCAAATGTCTCATACATATATTGCTGGTCATACAGTTTTGTACACTTTTTATTCAAATGTGTTTCTGAAAATTCTTCTATATTAAAATGATTTTACTCCTTAAATTCACCATGTACTCTTTATCCCTGGCCGATTAACTCAAAACTACAATCTTGTTAGTGTGCAAAACAAACCAAAGCTCACATCATTTCATAACACTCTTTCTCCAAGCCCAATCTGACCTTTTTGATGTAGAAGGCTTCAAGGGAACTGAAGGCAGACTTTTTTTTTTTTTTTTTTCAGAACAGTTGAATTCCCTGTGTATTGGTCCAAATTACAGGCCGCCATGTTATTTCCATCTTTGTAAATAAGCAGCCTAAAGCAGAGTCGCCTGTCCCAGTGGCCCTGGTTGTCATGGAAGCTAACAACTCTCATTATGAACAAAGGCAAAAAATGACAGGATCCTCAGCAACAAACAGAGCCCACGGCACACTGGATCAATTCAGGTCAAAACACTGTGAGCAATGGTCCGATAAATGAATGAATGTGAGATGAGTGAAGAAATGAACAGTTGATGATGTCTTTACTAAATTACTACCAATGACACCATTAAAAGCAAATGGAAAAAATAATATTGTCACATGTTTCATAAATATTAAAGGAACAATGTGTAACTTTTCTGGTGAAGGGTCTGTCAAATGCTTTTCTCCTTGGGGATGTTGTTGCTTTGTCTGGAATGTTTCACAGTATAGTATCAAACATTTCTATCTTCATGGTGACCAAACAGGACCAAGTTACAGGTCAGATCTGTGGAGAGGCGATCCCCCTCAGTCATAATTTCTGAGCTGTAAAACCTACTGTGGAACATTCCAGGCAGAGTAATGACATATCCATACAAACAGTTAATGGACCCTCAACTGAAAAGTTACATAGTGCAAATTTAAGAATACGGTTACATATGGCCTATGACAAACGTTGCAAAACATTAACTACACAAACTGTCAAATTATATGCGTATCATAGATGAAGAAAATAAAATTGGAGAATGAAGTAAATACAAAGCAATGCGCATCTACTGGTGGTGGTGAAAATGGCAGTTGAGTGGCAAAATGGCGTATTGAAAATAAGTGATTAAAGACTCAAACATGCATGACTCGCTCCAAATAGAAAAACATTCAGTGTTTAGTTTCATATATGGAGAGACACTAAGACATGCTTGTAGTGTATGCATTCAATGTTGCCTTCACAACTAAAGAATCTGGGGCGAAAAACATTTTTCTACATTTTTGTCAATACCATATTGTTTCAGAGCATCAATGGATAAGGTTTTATTGAATATGCCACAAAGGCAGCGGTGCGAGCCAGCTTCATATCCTGCAACCGATCCATATCGTATGTTTTTAAATTCGGCAAGTCTCAGATAGACAAGGACAACCTGTTTATTTTGTGAAATATCTTGCAACACAGATAAACTTCAGTCCTAAGAATTTTCTGTTAGTGCTACATAAGACACTGGTATATTTGCTTAAAGAACATTGACATTATTTGCTTGATATGGTTGTATGAATTTGCACTTTAAGACCGAAAAGCAATGTTGGCCTTAAAACACTGATGACATATGTACTTGAGGTCATTTCGCTGTGGGCTGAATGCATTTGGTTGTTGTTTTGGTTTCTCATGTCATAAAACATTTACATCCGAAAGAAAATCTACTCATGGGGCATTCATGTGTTTTCAAAACTGCACGGGATGCATGGTAGAAATGTGATGTTCTTTTATGTTATATGTGTTCAGATCTAAAAAGTTATTGCAGATTGCCATGTGAAGCAAGATAATAAAGATCATACTGAAGACAATTTAATCAAGACAGCAAGGACAATAACATAATATTATTTTAATTTATTATCAGTGGTTACATAAAACATGTCGGCTAGGTAGGTAGCTCCACCGTAATTTTGTTATATTTTGAAATAACTTGTGTTGATCAGTTTTGACAATAGTAGTGGTAGAACTGACTAAACTGGTTCCCGGTTGATAGTGCTTTGAGTGAAATGTTCCACAGTTTAGCATTAAGCCAAGTATATCTTGCATTTGCTGAATTTCAGGGGCTTATATTTCTTAAAATACCTTGAATAACATGTACTTCAGATGGTGATCGGCATTGCCTCCCCACAGATCTGACCTATAACTGGTGACGTCACTTTCTTGTCTCAATGGTGATAGACAAGTTTAATGCTGTAGTGTGGACAATCAAAGAACAAGAAAAAAGAACATCTATACTGAGACAGCAGGTGGCAGACCATCCACCAGAAAGGTTTCATAGTTACATAGCATTTAAAATATGCCTAGTGTGTTATTGTACCTGTCTTGCCAGTGTTTTTCATGGTGGTCTGGTTGGAGGACTCCCTGTTGAAGTTCTCCAGGCCTAGTTCTTGGTATTCCTCTGAGCTCAGTGCCTGCTCGTCTGCGATGTCCACCGGGGACTGGTTCTTTGCAGCACATTCAGGGTATAAGGCTGGCCAGCCCCGAGGTCCATGGCTCCCTGCACAGACACACAAGTACAAAACAACTTAGAATATGCACAAGGTAAGGTAGAGCACAAAAAAAATAATCATAATTGCATTTATTTGACTCATACACCTAAAGTCTCAGTCAGCCGGTCTCAGAACTGTTAGAAAACCAAACTATGAAATGATTATCGCTCAATCAATAAGGACAAAATCTGAATAAATAAATGATAACTTATAAAAGAAATGTAAGCCACCAGGAGAATCACAGCGAAGGAAAGGTCCATCTGCCTGCTGTGAGAAGGAAGGGATAACACCTAACCAACGCCATTGTGCTGCCCAAACGAAACACGGATCTATTTAAGACTAATTATAACATGTTAACCTTTTAACATGGTAAACACAGCCTTAAGCAGCTGGATAGACTGCCTGCCATCACGAGTCAACAGACAATGAATGCTGCTTGCCAACTTTGGAGAATTCACACTTACTATTTTAATTTGGACAGGTGACTACTAAATATTAATGTGCAACCTGTCTCTTTTAAATAAATACTAAGAAAATAAATCTCTAGTGGGACTTTAGGCCAGAGTTTTGAGCACCTGAAAAAATCAACAGGCACATTTGGCTGGAGATGGAGAGCCAGAGGTTCTGAGTCTGTATGACCCTCTACAGCTCCACAACAGCTGAGGAAACATGTCAACACAATGAGAACCCATCGAGAGGCGGCAGGCAATTTCACCACTAATTGAACATGTTTGAAAATAACAATGGTAAAATGTGACGCTTGATTACACCTCCGCTATATTAAAAGGTACGCTAGTCCAATTATTTTAGGTCAAGGTGCCAATCTCATCTACTACCACATCAAAACAGCAGAATGACTTTTTTGTTTTATTGAAAAGATAAAACATACTTTCCTACTAGAAATGCCAGTACATAATTATCCAATTAAGTTTTTCATTTGCCACAAGTTCTTCAGATTTCAGTGTGGTATTGCAGTAAAGGATCAGTATATAATGTATAATGCAATTTTTGTGTGAGTGGACTATAAATTTAAAAGGTGAACTGCGCAGCTTTTCTGGTGCAGGGTCTGTTACCTGCTTGTCTCCATAGAGATGTTATTGCTTTGCCTGGAATGTTCCATGGTATTATATTAAACGGATCCATCGAGCATTTATTCATTACTGGTCTTTCTTTTGCTCTAAAGTACAATAATTTCTTCTCTGAATAGGGGCGACTCTCCACAGAGCTGAACCATAAAGTAGTGTAGTGCTGCAACCTTCCTTGTGGACAAAGCAATATTTCCACGGAGATAAGAAGACAGTAGACTGTCCACCACAAAAATTATGCAATGCACCTTTAAATTACATGTACAATGCGCATAAACTTGGTATAAAAAAAAAAAATACTGGACACAATTTAATATAACAAAAACTCAAGATATAAATTTCCTGTTTTCCTGTGCCACTAAATAGCACTTTTCAGATGACTTTTGACGCAAATGCAATATTATATGATAGAAATGTTTACCTGAAAAACATGACAAAATGTACCAATTTCCTTTCGTAACCCACCCCAAATGACAAAAAGAGCATTTCAGTGCAAAACGGTCCACATTAAGTATTCATGTTTGGCTGGATGCTGCTACTTCCTGTTGGCTCCCCATGTACTGTCTGCTCTTTTAATCCCGTCTCCCCCACAGTGACTCACAACACAAAAGAATAATCCACAAACAACAGGGGTCCTCTTCATCTGTGTACTGCTACAATGGCCTGACACAACAACAAAAACGCTCGGATCAGGGCTACAAGAAGGCAACGCAGTTCAACTTTTCTGGGTTAGGATAATAACAGTCCCAACAGAAATGAGGCAACTCTGCTTGTCCATCCCATAAAAGAGGCATGAAGCTAAAAAGTGAGGATGAAGGGCAGCTCAGGGGCTTGATATGGATAAATACCTCACAGCCAAAGACTGAACTCCTGAGAGGGACTGAGTAAGTAATTTGTTGTGTTTTGAAAGACCTTCTGTGATGTAAATACAAGAAAAGTTCATGGGTTGTATAAGAATTGAATAAAAAAGACGTGCTAATAAACATTTTATTTTAATGGGCAATTCTGTAATGATTTAGGAGATGTTATATCAGAAAACTAATCAGTATGCCTCAACTTGTCCTTGAAGCTTTACAACTGCCATCTCTGTGGTTAAACCTTGGCAAACATTTTCTAAAAGCATTTAATCTTTGCATTTGTTAAGCAGATAACACTTCAGCCTTGTTAAGTATTAATTGATTGCCACAGATTTAAATAAATGATATCATGAATTAAGATGATTTTTTTTCTTGTTTTTTTCAAATTTGCACAACCCTAAAAATAATAAAATAAAATAATAATCAAATAATCATGATTATTTGTTTTGGTACATAATGTGAAGACAAATTGGAAATACAGGCTACTGTACAATTTGATGAAATAAGTATTCAGCTCCAGTGGCCCCATGTATTATCAGACTGATAAATACATGGCTGGTCCAGGAAAAAGTGCACTTAAAGCTCTAAAACTGCTGGGATCACTTGTTTGTGAACTTTTATTGAGATCAATTGTTTTCCGAAGGCAGATTCAACTTGCTGCGCTGGTCTGACTCCTCAAAATAGAGCTGCATCTAGGACATTAACTGCAGTGCTATTTTCATGGTGTTAGACCAAATTACACCATATTGTGTGGGTCACTAAAAGAAACTGGGGCTCGGTGATTTTAACTAAAATGAATATCTCAATATTTTTCGTAGTATTCTGTTAATTTTCAGACTGTGGTCAATCCGAAGATAAATTTAAATGAATATTTGAGGTGTGATTATAAAGTAAATGTGAAATGACTAATGATTAAACTACCACACCTTTTTTCCCATTTTCACTTTTAATCAGTTCTTTTTGCAGCATTTTTAAAATAAATGTCAAACTCGATATTCAAGAAACCTAGCCTAACACAGGCAAAACATACAAAATCGACATTAACAGACAAGACCTTGTCTGGGAATCAAACCCAGAACCATCTTGCTGTGAGGAGAGTCGAACCCACAGTGCCACCGTGTCATATAAAAGAAAAGAAAGAAGAACATATGAGCTACATACTAGAATAATTAACACAAAAACAGCCAAACAATCCCTGCCACATTCAAAAGTTCAAGAATCTGACCAGCCTTGAGACTTGCTTCAAGTTCATACAAAACCGAGTCTTGGAATGAAAAATAAAAACGCTGAAACCAATCCCATAAATGTAAAACTGTAAACATGCCCATTCTGGTGTGACGGACTGGAAAACTTTAAGTCTATGCAACTCCAAGAAAATGCCTAATAGCAGTGTGTCCTACTTAGTTCCACAAATAAGTGAGAAGATTTCCACTGTGGCAGCTTTACACTTGGAGCCATCCATGTTTTTGAGCACTGTCGTTTTGCGTTGTATCATTATGGAGACACAGGCTACACTTATTTCCTGCGGACGAATCCTTGAACTCGTATGCAAACCTTGAGGCAGATTTGTGAGTATCTGCAACAACAAGCGGTATGCCTTGTGCACAGATGTAAGCATTCATGTTGAAAGGGCTTCACAACAGAAAGTAGGATCTCCCTCGGGGCTGTCACAATATCAAATTTTTGTGTTTTTATTATCATAAGAAGAAACATCAGAATTAAACATACTTGACACCGTAATAAATAAATAAATAAAACTGTGACATACTGGTTCATTCATTACTGTTGCTTAAAAGTGCACTATGTAACATTGTTTGGGGGTCTGTCACCTGCTTGTTTCTGTGTTACTCTGCTGGGAATGTTCCACAATATGACATTAAACAGCTCTACCTTACATTTATTAAATTACAGGTTGTTATAGCTCAAAGATGTGTACAAAAACAGGCATTCTAAGTTGTTGGGCATAAAAGTGAAGATTTCTGTTTGCAATTGATTAATAATTGTACCTGAACTGAAATGTACTGATTTGAAATGTTTTAAAGTAACTATCGGTGTTGATGTATTGTCTTGAAAAGGGAAAAGGGGGCAGATGACATAAGATGATTCTTCTTTATGCTCCTTTTCATTCATTCATTTCTTATGTTTGATGTTGTGACACTGTTGATGTATTTTTATACTCTATGAACAAAATAAATAAACAAATAAATAAAAAATAAAATTCTGACTGTGAGTGGAACTGGGTCTCCATAGATCTGACCTGTAATTTGGTCTCCATGACAATAGAAAGGTTTAATACCATAATGTGACACCTTGTAGACAAAGCAATAACATCTCCAAAGCATGTGACGGACCCTCCACCAGAAAAGTGACACAATGCACCTTTAAATGGTCAGTGTTTCCCAACCAGAGGACAAAGATGAGGTTTGAATACGTAATATCTATAATAGAGCCTGACCGATATGGATTTTGTTGTGGCCGATATTAAACCGATATAATGGGAGTTGGAGCTGCCGATAGCCGATATATTCGCCGATATATTCAGTGATGTAAAAATTTACTGTAAATCTTGAATTGTTTAAAAAACTTAGGTTTGGCTCTAGTGGATTTTAAATTGGGTTTATTTAGGCAACATTTATTGTTATTCTGACACTTTATGTCATATTTACATACAGTAGATTGGCCTAATGGCATTTTTGCATCACATTCTAGCTACTAGCGATGGGTATTCCAGTTTTTTTTTTTTGAGAACCGGCTCTTTAGATTGTTTTGTTGCAAGCAGGACTAAACCAAAACTGAACCAGGACTGAAAAAGGACTAAACCAGGACTAAAACAGATTTAAACCATGTGTAAAACAGGACTAAACCAGAACTGAACCAGGACTGAGTGTCAGGACTCGGTCTCTCCCTCACTCGAGCCCAACATTAGTCCTGGTTTATTCATTTTATGCTGAACTGCAGCCAAATATGCACTTTTTTTTTTTAATCCTATGCACACTCATATTTCTGAAAGTTTCGTTTTCAGCCGCTGCTGCTGTCAAACTACGGGTCTACAAGCGGCTTGAAGAG